CGTCACCCCGTGACGCTTTCTTGGGGTGTGCAGCTGGTGACTCACGGCTTCTGCTGCTTCTGCTGTTTCTGACGTGCTAATCTGGGACGACCGCCCTGACATGGTGGAAAATTTTTACACCGTATGTAAACAAATGACGACGTTCAGGGAACGAGCAATCCCGGTCGGTCAGTGCCGTCTCACCGCAAAGTCAAAGGTGAAGGCCCCTGGCCTGTGGTTTTTCTAGAATGATGCGGCCCGAGAGAAGAGGCGGGGCACCCTGACGCAGTGAAATCAAGATGACAGCTGCACTGGCCAGACTGGGCCGTGACCGGGGATATGGAAGCCAAAAAGAGTGGGCATTGATAGCGGAAGAAGAAGTGGGAATGTGGATTCGTGCATAGACTTGAGACGCCTGCGCGGGTCACTCTGCAGGGATTCGATAATGACCGACCATTGTCTGCACGATGAGGGAAGCGCCGACGAGGGGTGGATAAATGGGGCCGGGCCGTGTATGCACACACCAGTGGACTCTGGGGCGTGTGCGAAGCTCACGATGTTCGAGGCCACTCGACCGGGCCTTGTGTGGCTGCTGCTTTTTTTGCCCGGCCGACGTGGCCGTGCAGAGCATACTGTACGGGTCGAGTCGAGGAACGCACCGACTTTACGCCAACGATGTCGTCATGTCTCCAGAGGAGGATTGGTTCTCGCGACGCCAGTGCTCAAACCTGAACGGACAATTCCTTGTTAGTGGTCGACTGCCTGCACGCTGCGAGCGCGGTCTCCGGCTTTCAATCTAGCATACCCGGCCGAAAACGAGCTCGGGGGGCGGAGGTTCCGGGTCCGGCGCGCTCGGCAGGGCTCTTGTTCATCGAGCAGGCCCTGATGCACGTCGTATGAGAAACAATTTACTCCTGCACAACATTGTGACGGACCTGTCCCTGCATGTGAACCATGAGCCATATTGAGTCGAGTCAGAGGAGGACAGCCGAGAGTGTAATGTGGATATATTGATCACCCCAGGATGATCCCACCAGACCAGAGTCGTGTGGCTTATACGAGTGAATTGAATTGAGTTTGGCCTGGTGGCCAGTGGGCCGGTGGGCTTGATAAACGGCCGCGAAGAGGATCACACCTGCGGCCGCCTGCCTAGGCCGTTGGGGCGTGCATTTCCGTCCCCTTGGTTGGTGGGAGGAGCAAGAGAGACACACGGTCAATGGCCAGGCGGCCACTGCCTGCATCGCAATGAGGGGTTCCATCAACGAGAGTTGGAAGAGGCTGACTTTTGGGGGCCAGCTGAACGCGTCTGATGTCCGCGTCTGCCGACCAAACTGGCGCTGGACTAGACTGATTTTGTCTGGATCCTGGGCGAGCTGGAAAAGACGGGGGGGAACGGGCCTTGGAGGACAAGGAATTTCTCCCATTCGCCGGCTGTCGTGCATGAACGCCCTCGTGAAAAGTTGCGCCAGGGATCGTGGGTCGTCTGGGTAGTGTAACTGTGCTCGGGCCTTCCCTGGTGGTTAATATCCTGCAAACCCCTACATTAGGGGCGGCTGGGATTTGCGATGAACCCGGCAGTGAGGGCGAGGTTTGCCACTGGGTTCGCCGTGCTGGACGGGAGCTGCTGGGCTAAACTCCGTTCTGGTGATTTGTTGGCCGGGAGGCCTTGGCCTTCATCCTCCCTCCCTTGCACCAGCAATACTCGTGGAATGTCGTCGTCTAAGGAGTGTTTGGATCCTCTGGGTACGACGAGACGAGTTGGGGTTTCAATGACAGTTGAAGGAGCGCAGCTTGTCATCAGGGTGTCAGACTGCGATTCCGCTGTGCATCATCGCCATTGCCTGCAGTAGTGAACCCCGCTTCTGAGTCTGGTCCAGCAGTACCTGGCATCGAGCTGCAGGAATGACCGTTCGCAGGACCTCGGTGCCGATCGATCATTAACGGACCCATACAGCGACATCAGATCTGGAGCCCGTCCATGAGGCTGGCGCTGGCTTGCTGCAGGAGTAGGAGGATCTCGTGCATATCAATTCACCGGCCCGCCCAGCTTAGGATGGGAGTCTAAACTGTCTGATTGCCAGAGCGTGGCTAGCAAGAAAGAAGGCGGAGGCAGAGTTGTGCATGTGAGGTGCACCGTTGTGAGATGACGACGATGACTGTGATGCCTGCACAGGGCAAGATAAGACTGAGAGGATTCAGAGGTCGACAGTTGCCAGCCACTCGCCCACGCATCACTTGTCCTGGCTCTTCATGTGATTAGTATTGCGAGCCCGGGTCGATTGGATCGGACCTGGCAGACACTGTGGGGGTTGTTGGCCTTTGCGATAGCCCTTCACAACGCTGTGGTCGCACGGCTCGGGCTTGCGGTGTTCCCAGGTGGTCAGATCAGGCGGACCGTGAGACCGGAAGGAGGGGTACATCCGCACAGACGCAGTAGGCAGGTAGTCACCCAAGTACTGCTGCACTTGCCTCAAGGTTGTCGATGCTGTAGAGGGGAAGGGAGGAAGGGGCCATGAGGAGGGGTTCGACGTGCAGAGAATGTTAACGAATTCACGCAGTTGCACTCGTCAAATGCTGTCGTCATGCTCAACAATCCCTTCCTCCCCTCGCCCCTCAACCCGGAACCCTCCTCGTCCCTTCGTCTCTCCCTGAAACGTCACCGTCACCAGAGTCATCGCCTTTGGTGATTGCGACTGGGACATTGCTCCCACCACGCGCGGCAGGTACAGGCAGCCCACGCCCCTCGCCGGAGTCATCGTCAGACATGTGCGCTTCTGTCATCCCCGTCGCCGCCTAGACACTTCGTCTGATTCTTCCTATCTGTTGCTCACGGGTGCTTCACTTGTTCACGGAGGGGAAAAGCAGGGCAACCGACGCCCTGCCTCCAAGTCTGGTCACCTGTCATCGCCAGCAATCTATTTAGTGCCGACCAATCACCTACAGTCCGGTCTTGATCCTGCGGGCGGGGACTCTTGCTCTGCTCTACCAACACGGCCAGAGGTCTAGGGTCCAAGACCACGACTTCATCTCTTGTCCGGAGCGGCTTTGTGTCTCGCACTCGCGCACAACCTGCACCATCCCGCAGCTGTGACACTATCACAACCGCAGCTGTTAATGACTCTGGGCGACCTACGATACGAAGGACGAGCCGGCCTTCTCCAGCTGTTGCAGACCACGAACCATCGCCTAGACGCACAGAGTCTATGCTGGCCAACGCCGCACGTTAGTCAATAAAGCGACCGTCCTCCTCTTGCTGTCTCGTTCTAGACCCACGTCGGTCTTCGCCCCTTGCCACGCAGCCAGTCTCCCTCCCTTCCCGATACCCAGACGAGGGCTTCGACCTCCCGGGGAAGTGCACCCTGAGGCCGCCCAGGCCCGCCCGGCTCAACGGTCCACGCGCGTTAGAAAACATCGGCCGACTCGAGTCACCTTGACCGCCCTCGTATTTGTCGTCTTGTTGTGGCTCGAAGACACCACGTCGACAGGGGTGCCTCCGTCTTTTGGAACCTTCCCGACCTTCCGGAACGCTTAGGTCTGCGGAGGAAGGATTGAATGCGGGCCTCCTCCCATCTGAACCCACTATCCACCTCTCCCGAGTCCTACCATAGACTAGCATCGTATCCACGCTGCCGCGACGAGACGAAACCTTGCAGTCGACATCACATTCACCAGCAGCCACGGAGAACAGGGTCTCTCGACATCGAATTTGCACTTCTGGACGTGACGACAAGGAAGATTTTTCACGGAGCCCGGTCTTGGAACCTGACATCCGGAGCCGCGACATTGGGGACCATCCCGGCCGTTGTGCAAATCCAATCTCGCTTACCCAGTGGTCCAAATTAAAGCTGTGTTCACACACCGTTGAACCAACCCAGTATCAGTTCTTCACCTTCGAAAATTCTGCATCGGGGCCAGGACCAGGGCTCGGACCAGGGTGAGCTCACCGAGGATTGTCTGCGAATCCTGCTCACCTAGAAACAAAGGGTGCGACGACGGCTTGAACTGCAGAGACAGGAAGTCAATGATCGGTCTCAATTTCAGCCGTTTTGCGATGCCGCAGCGCAGTTGAGGATTGCGCAGCCCCTCTTTCCTTCTATTTTCAGGAGGCTTCACTGCAGCTGAGCCTAGACTTCTAGCGCTGCGAGTGCAACAGGTCTTGGGTGATTGGGCTGCTCGCTGGCTCAGCACTGAACGATTGAACAGTGTTCAGACACCACGCAGACCAACGAGAGTGAGCCACGGACGGCAGTGCGAAAAAGACAGGCTCTTGACCGTGTGGAACATTGTGGCTGGTTCTCGCAGGGGTGACTAATAAGGTGGTCAGGTTCCCTGGTACTTGGCTCCTATCGCCACGCCCCCTCCATCACCAGGTTTCCACGAGGCACGGAACTCATTTGAACTCATCCTTCAACCCGGTCTAGCGTCGCACAGGGGACGGCTAGGTCTATCCCTGCGCAACCATCGACCCTCCCACCCGCCTGTTTTCGCACACTCCTCCGCGCCTGGGGTCTTGGCCGAATTGATTCTTAATAGACCCGTGGTACCCAATCTCCAACCACACGATTTAGTGTGTCCTTCTCCTGCCACCTTGGCTTTCGCCAACCTCACCGTCCAGACCAATCTTCACCAGCGCATTCTCACATAATCAACCACGCTACTCAAGTGACTGGACTCGTCGAGTGTTCCAGTCTGTTCCAGAAGTCACCATCAGAGGCGTTTTGCGACGTACTTTGATGCCATATGCCCAACTCGTTCTTGCGAACGGTTTGAAATCACCAACAACCTTGGACATGTTCGCGAACAGAAGACGGTTTTCCTCTCCTCTTCCAACCGACCATATACCAAGGTGACAAGCTTCACTTTCCCATGCGTCCCGACATAGGCGCCACTTTTGAAATTGAGACGGGGAAAAATCACATCGAAAACACAACAGCATCTTCATACCACAGCACGAGGGGATAACTGGGCAGCAATCTTTTTCTGAGTCGGGTGTCAGCGAGGCATCGCAAGAGTTTGGGAAAATGAACGGGCACTCTCCGTACGGCCCCAGCCCCGGCGCGGGATATTACTACAGGGACGAATTCGCAACTCCATCGCCGACTCCATCTCCCCGGGGGCCATCATACTACACCACCCCACAACGGCCTGCGACGCGAGCGCACTTCCGGCACATGAGCAGCGGCATGAACGACTATCCGAGTCCGCGCCCGGCAGCATTCTCGCCGCGGTACAACAGCGATGGGCTCTACTCGACCAACGCCGCAACTGCTAATGTGAGTGCAACGCGATCATCGCGGAAACAATCATTTTCTGGGACGACGCGCCCCAAGCGCGAGCGCCGGACTTCATATTCCTACTATCGGGCCTCTGACTCTCATGGGGAATCCGACGAGGACGAATACGTCGAGGTCGACGGTATCACCTACGTGATACCCGCGCGGTCGAGGACGAAGCGCCACAGCAGGCAGGACGAGGGTCTCTACTATTCTGGATATGTTGATGGGCATGCAACTGATCGCCACCACTATGCACAGGCCTCATCCCGCCGTCAGGCCAATGACTTTGACAGGTACGACATTTACTACGAGGAGGCGCCCCGTCGCTCGTCTGCACACACCAGACGTGCTTCTCACTCGGTTCCCCAGCGGCCTCAGACAACTCGGCCCGCCAGCTCCCACCACAAGGCTCCACCGCCGACAACCAGGAAGGCGACCGAGTCCGATGCCAAGAAGTATCGCATCCCTCCAGGGTACTCATTAAAGAACTGGGATCCGACTGAGGAGCCGATCCTTCTGCTTGGCTCCGTGTTCGATGCCAACAGCCTCGGCAAGTGGATCTACGACTGGACGGTTTACACACACGGCCCCTCGACCCCGATCTCCGAGATGGCGGGCGAAATGTGGTTGTTGCTCATCCAGCTTGCCGGAAAGATCAAGAGGTCCAAGGAGTGCGTGCCGAGGATCCGGGCGATCGACAGCCGGGAGATGGTTGAGGACTTCATCGAGTCGGGCGAGCGCATCACGGACAAGCTTCGCAAGCTGCTCAAGACGTGCGAGCAGCCTATGCTCAAGGCGAGCAAGAAGAAGGAGCAGCTTGGCAGGAACTCGGGCATCGAGTTTGTCGAGACGCTCTTCGGGCGGGAGCGCGAGCTGGAGAAGTCGGAGCGCTTCATGCAACAGGTGCGCCTGTGGAACATGCGGTTTGACGCCAACTGCGAGGAGGTGCTCAGGCAACCTACAAAATAAATCAACACAACTGCACTCCTCGGCGGCCTCGCGACGAACGCCCAAGCGCGTGTCAGCACATCCCGAACTAACAATGTGCTCGACACGGAGATAAAGAAAACCAGAAAAAAAAAGACGAGAAAACCATACACGGATCACTGTACGATTATGTTCACAGATCAGCGAGGATTTTCTTTACGGGACTTTTTTTACCATTTCGGTCTCATCTACACTGTCTAGAGACTCACGTCTCAAGGGGCGGCTGTCATCTTTCTGGTCTTTTCAATGATACCCAGGGATGTTATCATATTTGGCTTCATTTCCTCCCCGGAGGAAGGGCCTAAACACAGGCAGACAACAGCAAGGACGACATGAGTCAACGAGACACCGTTGAACGCTCTCTTTGTCTGGCGGCACATAAAAGTTATTTTTCAAGGATAATGTCACCACTCGAGCGCGACGACTGACAAAGGGGATCACGGGATATTTTTGGTTACTTGGATGGGAATGTGCGGCAAGGCAACGACACGAAGCGAATGCGAAATTGTAATGGACTGGATGTTGGGTTAATATCTCTCGTTGACCGCGTGTTTGTTTCTGGAGGGGGAAAAAAGGGGAACATCCTAGGCGCACATCGTGCTGTTCTGTTTCTCGATCAGGATCACTGTTGCGATTACACGAGCGCGTGGCTGTTTACGGTGCTTTCTGGTTTCTGTTCTTCATTTTTCCAGGCCGCCACGGGTGTGTGGCAAAGATGGAGGAGATACCCCCATTCCCTTACTCTCGATATTGTTTATTAGCAAACAGAGGACGTGTAAAGATTAGGATGGGCGTGAACAAATTACAGAATCTGGATTTTGAGCAGCAACACACTTGCATATATTCGTGCCTGCCTAGTGAAATGGCCCTGACGAAGCGTGATGATATGATTTGACATGACATGTGATAAACAACACGAGTAGAAGGGCTGCTCCGTCACGCCAGTGCCAGGGGCTGAGTACATTCCAGGGCTGGGTCCACGGGCCTCAATTGCAGTTGCTACGCATGCGTGACAGTCAAACATCACGCTGGCATCTCGAGCGGTTGCAGATGGGGCGTTGCCTGGCCGTCTAAGGTTGTCATTCTCTCACAGGCAGGCCGGGCGTAATCAGTTGGACAGCTCAGCGTCATCAATCACCAAACCCCCTGAACCTCTCCTTCATGTGCAACATCATGGCAGTTGACAGGTTGAGAAAGTAAATCGCTGTGTGACTGTGCCGATCTCCGTGTTCCCCCCCCCCTGTCCCGTCCGCCCTCACCCCCCCGATTGAGTTTTCATTTTGCATCTTGTCACATTTGTTGTTTTTCTTATTTCCCTCTCGTGCGGCGCTGAGACGAGACGGTTGGGCTGCAATCCCGCCCCTGCCCAACGCCTGTGCTGGTCATCCATCACGCACGGAAGGACAAAAAAAGGAGATTACGAGACCGGGGGAACGAGAGTAAACACCCAAGCAATGTTTTGTTTTGTCTGTTTCAATTGATCCAATGCCAATTTTTTTTTTTTTTCATATGTCCATTTTTAATATTGTGGCTTTGCCAATAATCAGAAAACAAGGAGGGAAACCCTAATCCGTGCTTGTGCCACCCTCCTTCACCTCCCCCCTTGACCTTGACCTTGACCTTGACCTTGACCTTGACCTTGACCTTGAAAGGGGACACGGACTGGCCAGCGACTCATTTTCCTTCCTGCGACCCTGCACCCTGCAAGCCACCCAGGAACGAGCAAGATTTTTTCTCACCCTCCCCTTCCTTCCTTCTTCTCATGTCGAATGATGTACAAGAAGCAAGATCTCGACGGTGGTGGCACGGGTGAGAGTTGGATCCGAGAGGGGTGCACCGCATGTTTCGGCGTGCTGTCGATCAGGAGTTTCTTTTCTAGCCTGCCCTCTCGGTTCAGCCGTGCAGTGGGCTGGTTAATTGTCGGCGCATTGGGGGGCAAGAATCCCTCCTCTCTCTTCACCACATTATCTTCTCTATTATGCCCTTTTTTTTCTCTCACTTTACTCCCCTGGCTTGTGCGGCGCCGCCGATGCGCTTGATTCGTGGGCACGCTTTTGCGAGGATACGCGTGTGCGCGGCGCCGCGCTCGGAACCCATAACTCAGCCCTGCGCTGCTCCGGGGGGGGAGACGAGACGAAACGTGAGCCTGCGTCGGTCAGTCCCTTTCGTCCCAAGTTCTGCGTCACCGGTAGGGTGTGGGTTGCATGGGCGAACTTTTGAGGTTTTGGTGTTTGTTGACCCATGTCCATTGAATTTTTTTTTTTTTTTTTCTCTTTCTTGATTGTGGTGGTGTTGTCGTGAAGCATGGGTTCCAGCCGCACCGCGTGTAACACCTGTCCATATGCGAGCAGGAGCTGAAGGTGAGGGAACACAGCAGCGGTAGTCTCAGGAGGATGGTCTGTCGCTGAGACATGTCCTCTCAGCCTCTCGAGTCCTCCATCGTTCACCAACGGCCGCTGTCAGTTCCTCTCGTCCGCGAGCTGTCTCGGCTGGTCTCATCGTCGCCACATCCGGCAGATGGCAATCTCGACGGCACGGCCGGCACACTTGGGCACGGATACCGTCTCATCGTGGCATTCATTCGTTACTGCCCCCGGGCCCAAGCACACACGTCACTCGGTCCCAAAGCCTCTAAAGTTTCGATGTGCGTGCACATTGACAGGTGAAGATGTGCTTTTGTGTTTATACTGCAATTGCTGTTGTATCCCTGTGTCGCCACGGCTGAACAAGCCGGGCACGCGGCCAGCCCGTTGCTCGGTGTAGGTTCTGTGACGATCCCTTGCATCCAAGCGATCTGTCTCTGTGCTTTCCCTCGCACTGACAGCCGCCTCCGCGTTTATCTTCACGAAAAGCCTGAGGAAAACAGGGCACAGTGTGCTGAATATCAAAACTGATGCTGGTTGTGGCTGGTGAGACTGGACGAGGAAAGGTAGGGGGAGGAGGGGAGTGAGCGCAGTAAGAAACCACCCCCTACGTGCTTTTCTGAAACTGTTTCTCAGATACTTCCACGCCACTGTCATGTAGTATACACACCAACATTTTGCCGCGCCGCTCCCCTTTATCCTCCCTGCTGTGCCGCGAGGATGCAGTTAGTTCGGTGGGATGGTGGGAGGTAAGCAACTGCTCCTTCGATGCAAGCGAGGATAGACAACATTATCGCGATGGTGTGCAACATATAATTCGGGTCATCTTCAGAAGGCTCCCCACTGCCCAATTCCAAATGCTGCCACGGGTGGTCAATTCTGGCGAGGAGAGAATGGGGATGCATGCATAGCGAGCTAGACGGGCAGGAAGGGCCCGGATCGCCCGTCTCCCGTGCCCGTTGCGCCTGGTTTACGGGCTCTCCCTGTGTTCGTCTCGCCCGCGCCGGCTAGTGGTATTCCGTCGCATCTAGCACAAAGTAAATCTATATACCCTTAATTTGTCATCGGACGCGCCGTCGAGGCAGAGGCTATCTACACCACCAGATGGATGCTGTTGGTGCAGGAGGATCGGATGCACGGCGGTACACAAGGGATCCTTCAGGGCAGCAGCAGAGTAATAGTGTCGATGGTGTGTGTGTGTGTGTGTTGCAGTGGGCGTTGGTTGACGCTCGTGAAGAGATCATTGGTCTCAGCGCCTAGGTAAAATTTTCTTGGGGGCCGTTGTGACACTGGCTCTGCCGTGGTCTGGAGTCTAAACCCAAAATTAAGCGCCTGCATAGGAGGATGTCCTGGCGAGACAGGGCCCTCTGCCAACATTCCCCGGCACACATGTGGCACGTCAGTGTGTGTTGCTGGTCTATAACATTCCATCTGATAGCAGCAGCCTTATGGGGGCCGGATCTGAGAGGCCGGATCTGAGAGGCCCCGCGAGATCTAACAGATACCTGAAGAGAGACGAGGTGGAAACATGCGTCTGATGGGCGAGGGTTGGGGCCCGGTGGCCGCTTGATGGGCCGGCCGTAGGGCTGCCCTTGTCGAGGCTGTCTTGGGCGAGATGCGTGGCATCTGATACATGTTTATCATGCGGCTCAACATGTCCATGATGTCTTGGACGAGCATCATGGCAGCCGAGTGGCTCGAGGCTGTGGCATTCTTGTGAGGAGATACATGTTGTCCTAGATGCACTCCCCCCTTCATGCGACGCCATCCCTTTGCTTACTGTCACTGCAGGTGTCGTGCCTGCGCCATGGGGGAGGAGCGAGCATATGGATGGGAGTCGAAAAGGTGCAGTTTCTATAATTGGGGGCCAGATTGGCCCGCTTTAGCACCTAGATGAATGCGATGGAAGAGTGACAGTGAGAGGGTAGTCCACTGTAGTCCACTGCATGACGCATGGCTGCGGGTACTGCGGCTTCTGCAGGCCTTGTGTTGCGCCCTTCGATGGGGTTCGGACAGCCCTACCATGACGGTGGATGATGGACGATGATTATCATGTGGTTGCCTTTCCGTTGCTCACCCAGTCGTTGGTCAGATGAGGGCACCACTTCCCTTTGCGACAGTCAGCACCACATCACCGGTGTGGTCGAACAAACTTCGCGGCGGCTGCGTGGTCCATTGGTAGCATCGGAGCCTTGCTTAAGGCTAGCAGAGATCTGGGATCGAAGATGAGTCGAGTCTTGTCGTGACTCGACCAGCGCAAGCAGATGTCCAGAAGTCAGATGTCCAGATATCCGGGCGTCCAGGTGACTGGCCGTCCAGACCAGTGGGCCATTGTCGGATGTTGTTCCTCGAATGAGAGAGGGAACCTCGACCCGACAACCCTGGGAGTGTGGAAGGCCACGAGGGTTGCAACATTGGGATGGGTTGGTTGCACACCGGCGCACCTTTTCGCACAGCAGCATGCAGAGATGCAGTCATGGAGGAGAAAAGCACCCGAATTGGGCATGTGGGTGGCCGCCAGGCGCTTAGAAGGCTGTCTCTTGGGCCCAATCACCTGTGGCCTGCCCCGCCGCGGGGGGAGTCTTGGGGACACCTGGGAGCTAGGGCCACGCCGGTGTCCGTTCGTCCTCATCAGATGTCTATCTAGACTACTCACTGCGAACTACACTACACAGGGAGTTAGAGCCCGCTGTGGTTGAGTTCTCACATCATTTTGTTGCAAGGCAGCCGTCTCTTGCCAGAGACACTCACCTTGTGCCCCTTCGCAATGCGTCGTGCACATCTGTGTTCGCTGTAGTGGTGATGAGTCAGCTGATGATGATTTGCATCCTTCGACGGCGAGCCTACCTTGGTAAGGTAGCGCAGGAGACGGGCCGAAGAGGCTTGAGAGGCAGGAAGAACGCCCACAACAAAAGACACCAACACCACCTTGCCTCTGCCGCCCCCTTCGATCCTTTCTCGATGCAGAATCCTACGGCTTAATACCCATGGCCGCCCTTGTCTCTCCGCACTTTCCAGATACAGCCAACACCCCATGCAAGCAACCAGCCGAACATGATTATCATGGGGGGTGGGTGGGTTACACCACGCAATGTCCTGTCTTTGGGCTGACAGAGTGTGGCGCCCACTATCACCCCATGGACCAATCGCCAGGGCATCTCGGGACACACCTTGCAGATTTGCAGGATGCAGTACAGTAGGTCCCGCAGTCAGCACAACGTGCGACCTTCACGCGGCCCAGGGAGAGGCTGTGTGTACCTACATACACATACGCCTTCCCTTCCGCCATGCCGTGCCACAGTGCTGATGCAGATACACAACCGAGGGTCCTTTTTTGGGATACACACCCCACCTTTCTGGCTGTGTCACAAGGAGGATTACATCGACATTTGCATACGCCCAGGCTGAAATGCGCTCCGATTGCTGCTGCAGCAAGTCTTGCGACAGGCGTGGCTCTAGGAAGACGGTATTGACGACGAGAGCCTCTGTCTAATATCAAGACAGATATTATCGTGTCTAGAAAGTGAAGATTGCCGGTCACTAGAGATTCGACATGTACCTGAAGAGCCACGCCGCCCGAAACTCCTGTGTGGTTTCCATGCCCCTGTCACAAAGACATGGCTTCAGACTCGTACGACTATGGTAGTACAACGACGCCAGGCTGAAAGTCTGACCGCACACCGTCAAGTGACCGCGCTCAAATATTATGTCACAGATGTAGGTCTATGGAGGTGGCCGGGCTAAGATCACAGTTCTGACAGAAAGGCTTGGGGCCGGCAATCGACATGTTCGCGCTGACATTGTTGGGAGCACAGGCCTGGTGGCTAACCCGTGTGAACCTTGTCGACTTACTGGACATATCCCACACGATTACGAAGCCACAAGCCTCGTGATGCTATGTAGCTCCCCGCCCTCGGAATGCTGTATAGACTGACCTGGGGAGTGTTCTGAGCTGATGAGCCTAGTGGCCTGCTGCATGGTGCGTCGGACTGCATCGCTCTTACCGCGCCGTTCTCGACGCTGATGCTTCATCTTCAGCTTGAGCCTCATCTGCGTGAGAACGGCGAGCATCGGAGCAGGGCGTCGCAGTTTGCCTGCGATATGGTAGCGCAGCATGGTCAAGCTCAGGAGGTACAAAGGGACTGTCTCGCCAGCTTGACCTTTCGGTAGATATAGCGTGGGTATCAATGCGCCGTACGACAATCAGCCCTTGCGCACCAACACTGGTTATGTTACCTTTTCTAGTTAAATCATAATTGAGGTAGACCGGTATATAAATGTATTCCTTGAAATCTCAACTAGTAAAACGCACTTTGGCACAGTTGTAGAAGTCGGAAAGTTGACATAAAACATATTTCCTTAGAACTATTCCAAATTGATGCAACCAAAATATCGGTTTTGAAGTGATATAGATATCGGGACCCCTCAATAGTTCTAGCTTGGAGGTATAATAGCTGTTCAAATCCTAATCTGTGGGTCAAGACAATTAGTTCGTGCCATTGCCTATCTAGGTAGCCCTCAAGACCGCATGCCCACCGTTCACGAGGGTCAGAGCCATTGAGGTAGCTGCTCGAGTACTGCTTCATGCCATACATCCTAGCCAACACTTCAAACGCTCCTTGCCTTTGGAGAAATACCCTTCACTCACTGCCAAACACTCGCAGTCTCAACCCCCTTCTTCTTCCCCTCCTGATACGTCTCCGACAAGCCATTATAGAGCTTCTTCACCCTATCGATCTCACCTACCCACCTCTCCCTCTCTCCCGGGGTCCTCAATCCCCTCCACCACCTCCGCCAGGCTCCTCCCCGTAAAGAACTTGTTGGCCCTGTTGTAGAGCGGCCGCGGCGAGGCTCTCGTCCGAATCGCCCGGCGCGCGCACGCGAAACACCTCCTGGAGGATGTCGATGTCGTACGGGATGGAAAACAAATCCCGCGAGTCCTCATATGTGAATAGGTAGTAGAACTCCCTGAACCCGGCCCACGTGATGCCGCTGAGGCACAGCGAGCACGGCTCGTGCGTCGCGAAGAAGACGCAGTCCCGGGTCGGCGGCAGGGCGGAGGACCCGTCGGCCCCCTCCTTGAAGAACTCCTGGATGCAATTGATTTCCCCGTGCAGCAGCGGGGACGCCCGCTCGTTGTTGGTCGCCACCGTGTGCGCCTCGAGCCCCGGGCGCGTCAGGATCGCGGCGCCGAAGAGCTTGCATCCTGACTTGACCCCTGCCGCTGTGAGGGGGATGATGTCCTTCTCTGTGGTCGTGAGGATTGCGGACAGGAGCTCTGTGGGCGAGTGAGCGGTTTTCGTCATGATGTGCAGTGTACTGGGACTAGGAGCTGTTGTACCGCTAGTAGGAGGTACGAAAGGAAACAGGAACTTCTGGGCAGGATTACGAGCAGAGAAAATGGGACCAAAAATCTTCCGCGAGGGTGGTATTTGTAAAACCTTATATCTCCAAGGTGTCATTCGTAGGACGATAATGAGCACCGATCCGGCCTGATATCAGGGCGTCGGCCGTAGAGATGTCGTAGCGGCGTTGGGATTCCCGGCGACCTCCGAGTCCGCGGCCGGCCGTTCACAGCTGTCCCATAGTACTTTGACCCGTGCTTCAGACTATCACTCAGGAATTTGGACTCGGTCGACGGATCATAGTCTTCAGGATAGATCTATCCGACATGAGCCTGCCGTAGGTTCGCGTTGAAAGCATGGGGATGTGTTGGTTTTGTGTCACGTCCAGTGGGTGCCTGTAAAACCTGAGCCGGAGCGGCCCGCCCGGTGGACGCCTTAGTGGGGCTTCCGTGCGGTCGGGCCCAGGAACTGAAGCTTCGGGCCAGAAACCGTGGAAATAAACTCAACCTCGAAACCCTAAACTTTGCCCTTCCACAACTCACTCAACAAACAGGGCCTTTCATATACGTCCGCGAAATGCATTATATCCGCCTTATGAGGCCACCGAGCCTCGATAAGCAACAGAAGCTGAAGCTTGTCCTCACCATAACGACGGATCTGGGTGACTCGTTCCTCTGTCCAGATGATCCTGTGCCTATCTCGGTGTACATCACTGGGAGGCCCGTTGCAGGTACCGACGAAGACCAAAACGAAACATTTTGCCTCACTCCCAGGACAGCCGGCAAAAGCGGTACTCTCTGGAAAGCGGGCATGAGGATCCTAAAGCTGGAGCTGCCAGTGCCTGACAAAGCTTTCAAGAGCATCAAAAAAGCATCGTCACAGATAAGGCCAGTGCCCGCCATTTGCATTGTCGCCTCACACAACCTTGAGGACCCACCCAAGGCTGCAGACATCCCGTTCGATGCAGAAGGCCGGATTATAGCCCTTGAATCTGGGTTTCCCTACCCTTCAGATGGGCAGCAGACCTTCGAGTCTTTGAGGCGATTCGCACTTGCCGAAGGGGGCTTTTTGCGCGTGGACGAAAGGATTGGTGAGAGCATTGACCGTCACGTTTGGGATGCCGGTGTAGTCACCACTGGTGTGCTTTTGAACCTGTGCCAGGACGGGGGCTCGGAACACACGTGGGACACGACGCCACTGCTGAAAGAGCTCCTATGCAATGTAACACCTAAGTGCTCTCTCAACGTTATTGAGCTGGGTTGCGGTGTTGGGATCCTGGGCGTAGGGCTGGCGGCTGCTCTGTACCGGCGCATGTCTTCGTCATGGGACCCTGAAGATTTTACACAGTCACCCAGCAGTATTCTCCTGACTGACCTGACCGACGCCGAGGAAGTGGCAGTGCGGAATATTGCCGATGAGAAGCTGGCTAGGGAGCCTGTCCTCTCAGGGAAGTCGAGTGTAGAGACAGCTTTCGAGAGCCTCGACTGGGACGAGGGAAAGACGGGCGTGTTTGGCCCAAAGGCGAAGGCGTCGAGCTGGGACCTCATCATCATCAGCGACTGCACGTACAACGTAGACATGCTATCTGCGCTGGTGAAGACTATCTCTGAGCTGCACAAGCTCTCGATGGACCGGGACAGCAAGAGCTCCAGAGTCATGCTGGCAACTAAGCCACGGCATTCATCCGAGAAGGCACTGTTTGGCCTGATGGATGAGGACGGCTGGAGGATACTGGAGAGTGCCAGCCAACCGTTACCTGTGCTCGGCTTGGAGGAGCAGACGGTTGAGATCTATCTGTTCGGGAAGGACTCTGCGCAGCCGTCTGATGGCCGAGCACCTACACCGTCTGCATCCAAGCGCAGGAAGCTGCGATGAGACCAATACAGAGGACTACAAAGCAAAGCCTCGCCGTGTTCCATCCAAGCAAGACCTCCTCATACCGATTCACGCGTGGGTTCGAGAAGGAGAGCCGGTCATGCCTCTCGTATCTCGGTGGGCGCGACCTCGACGTCCTCCAGTAGAGGCTCCTGATCAGATCTTGGACAGACGAGACAGAACAGAAGATGGACTTGACAAGCTGCCTGCGTGCGGTAGGGGAAACCATGTCGCGTAGCCTCGAAAGCATTGTTCGATGCGGTGTCGGGCAAGCCGTGGTCCCATACGACCAATGAGGCAGACGGCAAAGAAGATGAGGCTCTGTCAGGTCGTGGCTTTCCGAGGGTGAATGGCTTGATGATGCGAGATGGAGTCCTGCCGATTGGCAGGAGCTTGATCTGAGCCAATCAGCGTCGAGCTGTATGTCAGCTCTGGCAGCTGTGGGCCCACGGCCTTGGGCAGGTCCCTGCAGAACGTTCCACACACTGGCCACCTGCAAGGCCACTGCATGTCATGACAGTCCGATATAAATACATTGGCCTGCCTTCCCAGTTCCTTCCTGTGCACAAGTTGAAGAAGCCATCCCACATCCACAAATATCAAGTCAACCTTCACCTTCTGTGACTCAATTGCCTCAACAAACCTGTCAACTAAACAACCACACCCCTTCCCTCCATCTTACCACTCTCATCTCAACAATGGCCACCGAAGCTGCCAAGTCTTCCACCTGCTGCGGCAAGGGCGACACTTGTGTCTGTGGTAAGTCAACACTCACAGTCCAATGCTCGACGGACCCCCTCGTCCAACGACCATGTTCTGACATCAACACGCAGCCCAACAAGCTAAGTGCTCCTGCGGAAAGCAGTCCGCTCTGCACTGCTCCTGCGACAAAGCCTCCAAGGAGAACACCGTCTCCGGCCCCCGCTGCTCCTGCCGTGCCCGTCCCGCCGGCGAGTGCACCTGCGACAGGGCCTCCACCGAGAACGTGAAGCCCGACGCCAGCTGTGCTTGTGGCTCGCGACCTGCTGGTGAGTTCAATTCCCCAGGCGGACAACATGGCTAGGCAACAGGTGGCTGACCAATTCTAGGTGCCTGTACCTGCGAGAAGGCCGCTGATGGTGGATACAACCCCAACGAGATCGACTTCACCACCAAGAAATAAGGGGTTGAAGAGTCGACAGCTGTCCAAGCCGATGGAGACGAGATGGACCAGCCGTCTCGCTCTCCTTGTGCACCATTACGCGGCACATGACTAGCGGGTGCCCACTGTCCTGCGTCCCGACATAGTCACTAGCATGTTATTGTACACCCTCCCCGTCAATGTTCCCCTTGCAGCACAAGAAATCGACACACATCATCGCCAGTCAAGAGAGCTTGGCCCTATGTCGTTGGGGCAGGGAAACAAATCAAGCATTACGGTCAACGGTCTCATACTCATGAGCGCCCAAGGGATATTTACCCGTCGCCGGCGGAGAGAGGAGAGGGAGGAGGAGGAGAACCAGAACGAGCCCATCAGATGTCGTTCACATGAGTGCCTGGGTGGACTGAAGGAACTACCACAGATGGGTGAGGCTCAATGAGCTTCGAGCGCAGTCGGAAACCTGGGAACGATGCCAGGGGCCACCCGTCATGCCTTGTACCTTCGTTGGAATTGGCTACTGCTTTCAAGTCGGGGTTCGAATTCTCGTTTGAAAGCTTTCAAAGGCGGGGTTCGATATCTGGTTTAGAGCTTCCAGAGAAAAGAAGCCTCCGTCTACAGCCAACGAGGCTCCGCACTGATCACAACGCTTCAGTTCATCGTCATCATCGTGATGTTAGACTGGTAATTAATGCTTGGCCGTCTTCCAATGAGACACAGTCACTCTGGCAGATAGCAGTCTGCATGACCGCCGCAATAAAAAACCATCATTAACTTGTCGCCTGTTGATCACAGGCCTAATATTCCGTGAACTCGAGTGATATCCAGAAGATGATCAGGAGACTGCTTCAGCCTCGACCAGTCACCCTGAGCACTGTAGCCTCTCTGGGCGGCAAGGTACAATTCTTCAAGCCAGCTTCACTGTTGATATATGTATGGCACCGTCTCTGCACTGTCATTCTTCCAGTGTTTTCATTCTTGCAGACTTAGATCTGAGCGGCCAGACACGTCTTTACTTTCCATTCGGAGTGAGAATATGTGAGAGCGCCACACTGTGTCTAATGCCCCACCAATCAGGCAACCTTCAATATCCCTGTCGCGGACCTCTCGTCTGACACATGCAGGCAACCATCTTCACTGTAACGCGTTTCCTGCCCATCACCAGTATTCACTTTCGAGAGCTTCAATCTCACGTATTCGTTAACTGAAGATCACACTTGGTTGTCTTGAAGTACCTCCCTCGCCCTCCCTAAACAATGGCGAGCGGCTACACTGATACAGCCACCCCTTCCGGGGACCAGAGAGCCTCGGCCCCGAGCGACACAGCAACCTCGAATCGCGAAAGTTTCGTCGGCACGGGCGCGGAGGCGCCTATCAGTCTTTTCAGTCTGCCACCCGAGATCCGCCTCATGATCTGGCAACTGCTGCTCCCTGGTCGGAGAGTTCTCAGTGTACGAACCAGAAACGGAAGCGATCCTCGCCTCGCATTGGAGGGTCAACCAAGGCAGCCGATCCTGTCACAGATTTGCCAAGAGAGTCGGAATTTCATACTTCGCTGCGGAGCATTCGTCTTCAAGAATGGGAACGATGGTGGCTTCTGGTGGAATGCAGAAGACGACGTGTTTCTTGTGGACCACCACTGCCTCCTTGGACCTCTTTCATTCGCCCTGGAGGACCTCGACGGCCTCAACATGATTCAGAACATCGCTGTTGATAGTTACCAGTCCGTGGCGTTAAAGTGGTATAAGCAGGAGCCCCGGAGCGCTGAAACAGGCATGAAGGCTGACAGCGAGGGACAATACACGGTCCGGTGGCTGCTTTCCTGGGGCAAAGTCTACGAATGCCCTTCTTATAAACACCCGATCCTGCGGTTCTTCCTACACATCCGCAGCCTCACAGTACACTTCGCAGAGCCCTTCCACGGACCTCCCCACAGCGGTCCATCGTGCGACCTTCTGGGAGACTGCAGCTTTACGTTCGAGATCCCAGCCGAAGATATGGAGACGGCTATTGATAGGTTTGCGGAGTTTCACCGAAAATGGACAAATCTACCAGGGGGTTCTACTTCTCTCGGCTCTCTGGGTCGATTTCGCTGGAGGCCTTTATATGTTTACCAATATTCACCGCAAAATCTCGGCCCGATCGAGTTTTGCAGGAAACCTTCATTCGTAGACGGTGGAGATTACATCACGAGAGAATGGGCTTGTTCACATAGAGTTATTTGGACACTCTGCCAGTCTCGCGTTCGCAAACGCAATCGAGGCCGAACCTAGATACGGTTCCATGTTGTTATGAGGTAGGAAGGGCGGGAATATTGGGTCTGGTGTATGGTTTTCATGTTGTTTGGTCTTATCCTTCCAAAAGGCAAAGCCGAGGGCACAGGTCTCTCACATCAGCCATAGGGATTGTCCTTAACTAGGGCTCAACTGCGGCTCCTGTCCGCTCAAGCACACTTTTTCAGATCTGTTGGCAAGTACGACCCTCGTACTAGAATGGCTACTTTAGTTATCCCCTACGAGGCACGTAGCCTCTCAGAACTTAGCCAGAACAACACCAATAAACGATTGCTTACCCATACGAATACCGTACGTACGAGAGACCTACCAACAAGATCGTCTCTACTTGGTGAAACAGAATGATCAACTCGTGAGTTGAGCTTACCATGGAAATGGGTGCCTCTCATGGCAATGCCGGGGGCTAGACACGAGTCTGGCCTCACCAAATTGGTGCTTAGAAGCTCTATATACATATCTCCGTGAAGGTATTAGCAGTATACAGAGGATATATGTCACCATGGGTTCTGCAAAGTGAGTCGACTTAAATGGAGTCTCAGTGTGCCATGCGGCTCTGACCAGTCACCCAGAGTTGTACATTGCCACCTCATGCCTTTTCTCTTCGTTTCGCGAAATGCTCTCTTCATGTTACTCAACCCAGAACGATTCGCAAAGTGCCTCTCGTCTGTTGATTTTTCACCACCATCACAAGACTGGCAGACACGAGGCACTTTGCCCAAAACAAGTGAGCGGGATAATGGCTTTCCATGGCAGTAAGCACCTGAATACCGCGGGATTTATCATAAAGAAGAACACGTAATTATTGCTGCCTTGCAAGTAAGCTCGGAGGCCACGTCCAGTTGCGCTTGTGCGGTGCCTGCTTGTCATTGATATTTGCTCGGTGCCTGGGGAGAAGCCCGGGCCAGGCGCTACTTCAACCAGTGACAAGACGCGTCATTAAAGGCATTGATGGACAGCCGGGGAGATGTGTCCTCATGAGATGGCCGAGGATAAATTCTCAGCAATCATTCGTTGTCTTCCAGATGGGATTGTTCAACCAAAGTTCATGACTCTCTAGTCCTCCTGGTGACAGAAGCACGTATAAGGCAATTAAGATCCCTGTCTCAGCACGACGAATGGACCTGCGGGTGAGCCGGGCACACGACGCATGACGTACCTGGGCTTATCGATTGCTCCCAGCACAGGCGGGAAGGCACGCGCTAAGTGGGATTCGCCGGATGCAGGTGAGACCCCATCTCTTTCCACTTGATGTTATCCGTGCGCCAGATGTTATGATGACTGCAAGCATGACAGTCAACAGGATCTACAGAGCAAGCCAGTGTGCGCTGACCATGAAAACTGAGACAGAAGCATAGACTATTTGTCTGGGAAAGAGAATCAACAGAAACACAGCACACAAATAACAGAAAACGGCTTCAGGCGGCCCACGTCCCCCGCGTTCCACGAGCTGCAGGCAGGGTCCAGGGCAGCTGCTTTGTCCTCGTGCCGCTGACGGGTCCGTGGACGAGCCCCACGTCCCATGAACGCGCCCCTCCACCCGTTTGGGGTCCCTTTGGATTGTTGATCTATCTCCCCTCCGTCGCTCCCCTCGACATCGACTCGCATCTGGAGACCATCCTATAGCCCCATCACTGGCGTTCATGATCAGTGACCATGTTCGACATATTCGCGAAACTCCTGTCGTCCATCACCTCCTTCCTCTTCCCCCTCTTCGCCTCCTACAAGGCGCTCAAGACCTCCGATCCGGCCCAGCTGACGCCATGGCTCATGTACTGGGTCGTGCTGGCATGCGCCCTCCTTGTTGAGAGCTGGACAGAATGGTTCCTCGTATGGTGCGTGCCCTGGAAGACTTGGAGACCCCTTGTAGTGATTTGAGAGATTCTAACAGGCTGTTGTGCACAGGATCCCACTGTACTCCTACATCCGCCTGCTTTTCCTCCTCTACCTCGTACTCCCCCAGACCCAAGGCGCGCGCGTCATATACACAACCTACATCCACCCGTACCTAGAGGAAAATGAAACCCAGATCGAGGAGCTTATCGCCAACACCCACGACAAGATGAAGGCCGCCGGAATCGCCTACCTCAAGCGTGCCATCGAGGCTTTTAGGACCCAAGTCCTCGGGCTGCCGCCGAACCCGGCCGCCCAGCAGGCCGAGAGCAACGTACCCGCGTCGCAGCGCCCGCGCAGCTACACCCAGGCCCTGCTCGACAGGTTCCAGCTCCCGCAGGCCCAGTGGTCCGGTAACGCCGGCAGCACCACGGGTCAGGACTTCTACAACTTCCTCTCGAACGCCGTCAACGCGGCCACGGCGGCCGTCGTCGCATCGGACAGCAGTGCAGCGGACACGGGCAGGAAGGCGGCCTCCGCGTCGAGGGGACCCGGCGTCGGGGCGTTCCCCACGGGCGACCTCTCCGCGTCCGGGACGCTCGTGCCGCCCAGCATCCAGGGCAACGCAGACAAGATGAGCTTCCTCGCCGCGCAGCGCGAGAGGCTGAACTACGTCCTCAGCGCGCTCGACCGCGAGGCCGCGCAGCTGAAGTCCGGGACAGCGACGACTCCGGCCGGCGAGCAGGAGATCAACCTCGAGGGGCTTCAGCCCGGCGGCGCCAGCATCGAAAGGCCGACGACGTCGTCTAGCGGGAAGAGCACGGGCGGCCTGAGCAAGAGCCGTAGCGAGGTTGACTTTGAGAAGATCGACGCCGAGAGCGGCGCCGAGGACAACAACACGCAGGATTCGGCACAGGCGACGCCGGCTCCATCGGGCGGGTCTTGGTTGCCCTGGGCGTGGAGCGCGTCGTCGTCGGACGCTGGGAAGAATAAGTCTGAGTAGACAGCTCTGTGCTATCAGTTTGTGGCGTTCTGTGGGGTTTTTATTGTACAGGAAGAGGGATCCGGTTTACGATATAACATGATCATCCGGTAGACTTTAGCAAGGCAACCCACCCATTGCAACTGTTGGGTCTCGATTCTGAGACTTGCTGCATGCTGACCACATCTGTGGTCTTCATCCTGATTTTACCGTTCGTCTCTAGAGGGGCGTATATCGGAGGCCCCAGTTTACTGCTGCTCCACCGCACTGTCTGTTTTGTACAAAGAGGACCGACCAACTTCTGCACTCTGGTCCCTTACATCTCTTCTCTACGTGTGCTCGCTTTGCGCAGGGTATCTTCCGACAACGTGCCACACTTTGCCAACACTCATGTCTCAGAATTGACTGGCGCGCAGGCCATCCCTCTGCCCAGCGATGTTCTTCCAAGATTCCCACCCCAAAGGACTGATATACCAACCCAACATCCTCACTTAGCTCCTCTTAAAGGGATATGCCGGGTCGTCACCCTTGCGCACCCAGGTCTGCCTCTTCTTCTTGGTGACGACGTGCTCGACCCAGATCTCCTGCGCCCACTTCTTCTTGAAGTCGCGGATGTAACGAGGGTCCCATAGCTCGGACGCGATGCCCAGGTCCTTGCAGCAGCGCATCAGGGCGTTGGACTTGCAGCCCTCGCCGGCGGTGGCTATTCCGTCGTCGGCGAAGAACTGGCACTCGCCGCGGGCCTGTGCTATGAATCTGGAAGTGACAAGGTCGAACGTCAGCCCTCGTGTCTGTGAATTTGGGGTATATTTTGCCCCTGGAGCGCGGGGCCGGGGGACATCTGAATTTAAGGGTGTTCACTTACCGCCCGTGCACAAGCAGCGCGTACTCCCTCGTGACGACCCTCTCGCCGACCATCAGCTCACCCCGGGGCGCCATGCCCCAGCCGCCCGGGCCGAAGGCCTGGTTCAGGATGCGGCGGTACTTGATCTCGGGCAGGTAGATGATGCCGTCGGGCTTTATCTCGACGTCCTCGAAGGGGATGGGCTTCATGAGCACGGCGGCGACCTCGGGGGAGAAGGGGATCGTGGACAGCCCGTGGAACGAGCTGGACCAGTCGATGCCGTTGCCGCCGCCCGGGGGCGAGGCGAAGGCGAGGTCGCTCGCGCCGCCGTTGGCCGTCTGCGAGAAGGCCGTCGAGGCCTCGGGAATGGGGTTCACGCCCTGGGGCCGCGAGTATGGCGCAGACGGGACAGGATTGGTCTGGGACTCAGCGAAGGGTGTGTTGGTGTTCTTGGCGGCTGGGGAGGAGGAGGCGCTGGGCTTTGCTGCCGAGCTGTTACTACTGCTGCTGCTTGCCGTCGTTGTCGCTGATCGCTTATAGGGTGACTGGGTCGGTGGGGGCTTCGAGGCTGGGGCTGCTGTCGACCTTGTGGATGTGGTGGCGGCTCTGCGTGCCTCGAACGGCAGCGCATGTGCGGGCTCTGCTGTGGCGCCTAGGCGGAGGGCACGGCTGCCATTGAGCCGTAGTGGGCGCATGGCCGATGATATTATTCGTGTCATGGCGGATGGGATCTGTGGTGCTGGAAGAGAGATGGTGGCCTACAGGACTAAGTGCCTAGGTAGGGTAGGCGTGATAGATAGAGGAAGACGGGAGGTCTCGAGACGACGGGAAGTTTTTGGAGGTTGGTGCAGAGTGGAGGCGACGTGGGAGCTTGGACGCAGCGGCTGGCCAGGCAGCAGGGGTCCTGAGGTCCAGAGCGTGCAGGGGATCAGGGGATCTGGCGCATCATCGACCCGTTTTTGCAATGGTTGACCGGGCTTTGGCTTCATCTGCATGAGGTTTCTGGTCACTCTTGCACGTTCTTGCGTTGGTGATTTGGGAAAGAATTAAGAGAATATGACGTTGTGAGAGGAGATTTGATTATTTGCATTTGGTTTGCATCTGGCAAACTGGTTCATGTCTTAGTTTATTTGGCAGTCTTGTCAGCATCCTGCGTCGACGTCCTCTGGTCGTTGCCGTGGGCTTTCCAACAGCGTTTGAAGGTCTCCATCTGAAGCAATTCAACGTGGAACGAGGTTAGCAAATCATCTCTTCGCGACGATAATACTATGGGGTCAACTTGCTTCGTCCTTGCATTGCCTCCAGTCCTTCTTCTCAAAGTAGCAGTCGGTCATCTTCATGTTTTCGTCTGCCAATGGGTCCGTCTGTGTCAGCCTTCCGGACAAATGGTACTCTTCGGCATTGCTTCCGAAAGGGACGAATCGTGATTACCTGCACAGCCTGTGCTGAATATGCGCTTGTCCCTGCAGCAAGGCTGAATGTTAGTGGAATTTTCGCGGCAGTTGGGATTGGATCGCCATAGGGATCGTCTGAGAGAGAGACGCGAGATTCCAAAAGTCCGGCTGGTGGACGGCTTGGCCTCCGTCTGAAGAAATGCCTCAGCAGGCCTCGTTGAAAGGATAAACTTGACTCACCACTCATCTGGCTCATCGTCTTCCTCCATTGGCTGCTCCACGGCAGCATTGGCCTCCTCTTTTGACGTGTTGCTGCCCATCCTGAGGTCGGAGTGTATTAGTGTGTTGAGAGAGGAATTGTGTCTCGATTTTTGGTGGTGCCACAGTCAGAGGAGATCATCTCTCAGCGCAGGTCAGACCAGTCACTCACTCCCTTGACCTAACCCGAGGGGAACCCGACCATGGCACCACAACGGAAACTGAACGTCCTGGTCTACACAGGTTTGATGCCCACTCTTTACTTTCTTGCATGGTCATCACCATCATCTCAGAACTGACGTATTCCCCAGGCACCGGCACAACCGTCGCCTCGGTCAGGCAGTGTATCTACACCCTGCGCCGCCTGCTGTCCCCCAACTATGCAGTCATCGCCCTGACCGAGTCCGCCCTCCTCAAGGAGCCATGGCCGCCCACTGCAGCCCTCCTAGTCATCCCTGGCGGTGCAGACCTCAACTACTGCCGCGTGCTCAATGGCCCTGGTAACCGCGTCATCACTGACTTTGTCCGTCGCCTCGGCGGAGCTTACCTCGGCTTCTGCGCCGGCGGCTACTACGGCTGCGCCCGCTGCGAGTTCGAGGTCGGCCACCCGGACAAGGCCATGGAGGTCATTGGCAGCCGGGAGCTCAAGTTTTTCCCGGGGACCTGCAGGGGTGGCGCATTCAAGGGCTTCAAGTATGCCAGTGAGAGCGGCGCGAGGTCAGTCAGGGTCAGAGTCCACAAGGATGCTCTTGCTGGCGCAGGCGAGTCGCCCGAGACCTTCAGGTCGTATTACAACGGCGGCGGTGTCTTTGTCGGTGCTGCCACCATGAAGGACGAGGGCGTGGAGGTCTTGGCCAGCTTCGAAGACGACCTGGACGTGGACGGGGGCGCAGGGAAGGCTGCTGTTGTCTACCGCAAGATTGGGAATGGAGGCATCATTCTCACTGGGCCTCACCCGGAGTTCGCAGCGGTTAATCTCGAACAACACCCCGATATTGACGGCTATGATGAGCTAATCAAGTCTTTGGCCGAGGACGACGACCATCGGACCAATTTTCTCAAGGCTTGCCTGACCAAGCTCGGTCTCCAGGTCAGCCATGAGGGCTCGTCGGTGCCGTCCCTGTCCAAACTTCACCTTTCGGCCCTGGACCCTCAAGAGGCGGCCGGTCTTGTCACCTCGTTCAGCGATATAATCACCAAAGACGAAAAGAACGAGGAAATAATTAAGGATGGAAACGACACCTTCCACATTGAGCATCCAGACTCCCGTTGGTCTGTAAATGATCTTCGTGACGCACTCCAATCAGCCCACGTCGATGACAAAGACGGTAATGCAGCCAAATACGATCCTGCCAGGGCAACTGGAATTGATGGCCTTATCGACTACAACAAGGTGCTCAAGACCATCGTTCCACATGAGACCTCCTGGCCGGAGCCCAAGGAGACGCCATACTTCAACCACCACGATTACTACTCTTCGCTGCAAGAATTCCGGCGCCGTGAGACCGAGTCCTACGAGTGGGGCGATTCCCTCATGTACGGCGAGGTCGTCACCAGCACCAACACACTGCTCGAGAAGAACCCGAAGCTCCTCTCCAAGCTGCCGACGGGCTTCACCCTGGCGGCGACGACGCAGGTCGCGGGGCGCGGGCGCGGCACCAACGTGTGGATCGCCCCGCCGGGCTGCATGATCTTCTCGACCGTCATCAACCACCCGGCGCACATCAGCGCCAACCGTCCCGTGGTCTTCATCCAGTACCTGGCGGCCATCGCCATTGCCGAGGCGGTCCGCAGCTACGACGGCAACCCGAACGGCCAGTACGCCGACCTGCCCGTCAAGCTCAAGTGGCCCAACGACATCTACGCGCAGGACCCGGCGGACCCGTACAGCACCACCGCTGGCGGCGCCTCAGGCGGAAAGGACGGGCTGAAGGCGAACTATGTCAAGATCGGTGGCATCCTGACCAACTGCGCATACAGCAACGGCAACTACCAGATGGTGGTGGGCATCGGCATCAACACCACCAACGGGAAGCCGACCACCTCGCTCGACCACATCCTGACGGCCTTCTCCAAGCGGCACAACCTACCGCCCTTCCGCATCGAGCGGCTGCTCGCCCGCATCGTCACCAGGCTCGAGACCCTGTACCGCGAGTTCGTCCGCGCCGGGTTCACCAGGGAGATGGAGGAGCGGTACTACGGCGCGTGGCTGCACTCGGGCCAGGAGGTCACGCTCGAGGCCGAGGGCGGGGTGCGGGCCAGGGTCGTCGGCATCACGAGGGACTGGGGCCTGCTGAGGGCGCAGGAGATCGGGCTGGACGGGAGGGTCACCGGGCGCGTGTGGACGCTGCAGAGTGATGAGAATAGCTTTGACTTCTGGAAGGGCTTGGTGAAGAGGAAGACTTAGGCCCATCTGTTGTGGTGAAGCTAATCGTGAGGGACTGAGATTTATGTGAGTGTGTTTGTCTCTGGGAAAATGTACAACACCCGAACGGTAGAGTTTCTCGGAGACATCGCACGAGGTATCTTAGGAAAACGTCAACATAGACACTTTCATCAACAGCAGCTTCTGGTACAACTTAGAGTATACCGAGAACATCTCCTTGAGATCGAACCCAGTGAGCCGGATAACACCGACACAAGTCTCATACCTATATCAGCCTCTCGTTACAATATGTGCTCCTCTCGTGATTTGGGTATCGGTCTGGGCCGAGGTTTTTGTCCGGTACGCACCCTCATGCATTTCCTGCGGTCAAAGGGACACACCGGCTGACCGGCTGCAGATATGAAGACAGTAATGAGATGGCAGACGCGGGACTGATTCTGTGGCAGCTGCTCCGGACTGCGTAGCCCCTGGATCCAAAACCAAAACCAACTGAATCAATTGTATACAGCCCAAACAGGAACACCGCACCAAAGTCAATCCATTTTGTAGCCCACTTAAAGAATTGCAAAGGGCTGGGATTCTCTCGCATAATGTGTCAGCAATTCCTCCTCTTGAAAACCACTCGAAGGCGCCGTTCCCAATTCTCTGATGATAAGCTGAAACCCCGCTCGTAACCACTGCAGTATATATCACTCCCGTTCCTCTTGCGATGACATGCCTGCGAGACCATATTACTCAGCAGCTGTCTTTCCCAGCGGCAATGGAAGACCCAGATGGCTACCGGTATCGCAGGTCTGAGGAAGCAGAAGAAGCTCGAAGACCACTTGGCTAGAGCAGGAAGCGAGGGGCGCGGTATAATGGAGGGTAGTACCCTATATCAGCCCAGCACATTCGTCTCGGCGATCGTCACCGTGCCGCACTAAATGTCTGTTGAAGAACACGGCTTGCTTACGCCCCTCTACATTGGCTGCGCACCCTGTCGATCTGCCACGAACGAGATTGACCCCTTGTCGGACACACCACAGCGGGAGGGACTTCCTGCAAAGTCCGAAATTCTCACTCGTGGCATCATCGACTTCTGCCACAAGCTTAGACTTGGGCGAAGTTGCCAATCTCAAAGACCGATGCGCGTGGCGGCATGACACGGGTTTGCGGCAGTTTGCAGATGGGGCGGACACAATTGTGTTTACTTGAGGCATCACCCTCGCTCTCAACATCCTCTTGCGCACCGTGCTCGTGAATCAACACCAACATGGAGAAGCCTCTGGGCTCCCCGCCGCCTATGGAGAAGACCATTGGTGCCTCGAATTCAGGAATGGACAAGGCCTTCGTTTTCATTGCACAAAACCGAGAGGCCGAGCCCGAGGCCTCCAATGTCGACCTGAAAGCGTTGCGACGACGAGTCGACATGCACATCGTCCCAATCATGTTCATGTGTTTTGTCGCGCAGTTTCTTGACAAGGTGCTGCTCAACTATGCTGCTGTCATGAGTCTAAACCACGACCTTGGGCTCAAGGGCAACGACTTTGCCAATGCCAACACCTTTACCTACGTTGCTCTGCTCGTAGCTGAGGTTCCCACTGGTAAGGACCCGTGCGAGTTCCTCCTCCAGCCCACTGACGTGTGTCACAGGACTTGTCCTCAGCAAAGTCTCTGCCACCAAGTGGCTGTCGGCCAATGTATTCCTGTGGGGCATCGCGACTGCTGCCGTAGCAGGAGTACACGATTACCACACTCTCTTGGTCGCGAGAATCTTCCTCGGTATCTTCGAAGCTGCCGTTGGGCCTTGCTTGATCCTCATTAGCAGTCAATGGTACTCGAGGCAGGAGCAGCCCCTGCGGTTCAGCATCTGGTACTGCGGCGTAGGAGTTGGTCAGATCATCGGCGCACTCACTTCCTTCGGCTTCCAGTTCGTTAGAAACAACACGGTTTCCATAGCAAATTGGCGGATCATGTTTATCGCCCTGGGACTGTGCACTGTCATTGTCGGCGTTGCGACCTACATCTTCTTGCCAGAGAACCCAATGACGGCCAAGTGGATCTCGAAGTCGGAGAAGGTCGCTCTTCTGGAGCATGTGGCAGGCAACAAGACCGGTGTGGTCAATCACCAGTTCAAAGCATCGCAAGTGCTTGAGGTCTTCCTTGACCCACAAGTGTACTTACTCTTCGTTATGGAGGTTGCGGTGAGTTCGAACCCTATTTGGCCCTTTCAGGACACTGCTTATACCGCACGTAGCTTGTTGTCAATGCTGGCGTCGGCACCAGCTTTTCCGCAACGCTGCTCAGGAACATCGGCTACAGCTCAAAGCAGTCTACCATCCTTAACGTCCCCTCCGGCTGCATCACCATCGCCGCCGTTCTCCTCGCAGGCATCGGAGCCCGCTTCATCAAGCAGCGCTGGCTCTTCATCTGCATCGCAGCCATCCCGTCTGCCCTAGCTGGGGCTCTCATGTCTTTCGTCCGCACCAAGTCCGGTGTCCTTGCAGGCGTCCTGCTGATCCAGTTCAACGTCGCCGTGACACCTATCATGTACAGCTGGGTGGCCGCAAATATTGCTGGCAACACGAAGCGGCCCATCGTCACAGCTCTCGCCGCCTGTGCTTTTAATCTTGGCAATGTCATCGGGCCTCAGACTTTCCAGGCTCGCGATGCGCCGCAGTATATCCCCGCCAAGATCACCATCATGGCCACCGTCTGCTCCGGTGCCCTTGTCTCCGTCGTCCTCATGCTTTATTACAGGTGGGAGAATGCAAGGCGTGACAGGGAATACGGCGCGAACGGCGTGAACGGCGAAAGGAACGAGGCCGAGGCCCGTGAGAATTGGGAGGATATGACGGACCGGGAAAATACCACGTTCAGATACGTCTTGTAGAGAAGACAGCATAGACAGCAGCAGCAAGACCAAATTGGCAATGATACCTTGCATGGCTGCCCCGTAAGGCTCGTCTAGGCAACTAAAGATAGAAGCGTTGACAACTGCCTAGCGCGAACACGCGATCGGCGCTGCAACGCCCGACTCTTCTCCGTGCCGTGGACATTACTTGTGCTGCATTCACCTGCCTTCCTCTTCCATCCTAGGCCTTTTGCACAGCTCTCACCATCGTCATAGAGGCCGGGGAGGGTAGAGCTGTCGTCAGGTCATTGGCTGATCAGCATTGTGCTGAGATGTGATGAGCATCGCTGCGGAATGGACCTGACTTTGGCACGACCCTGGATGGGTCGGCACTCGGGACACTCACCTGTCCGGCGCCCAGCTTCCGCCAATGCTAACTGAGGTGTTGAGACCTCAGATGCCTCGGTCGTCCTCATGGAGTACAGTTGTTATATCCAACACCATGACACACATGCTGCCTACCCTCGCTGCTGGGCTCGCGGTCATAGTGCTGGTGGTGCGCTTCGTGGTCCTGGCCCGGCGACATCCACTGGCAAAATACCCAGGGCCATTCTTGGCACGACACACTGATCTTTGGGTGGCATATCATGCCGTGAGAGGCGACCTTTCCCACACTTTGGCAGCCTTGCATGAGAAACATGGTATGCTGCGAATTCTTTAAGCAACAAATTCCTACGCTCCTACGCTGACATGTCAAGCAGGAACTTTCGTGCGATTTGGCCCCAATCGTCTGTCCACAAACTCGGCAGGGGCGCTTGATCAGATCTATGGCTTTGGCTGCAATACCATCAAGGCAGAATGGTACTACTACTTCTCCGCAGACCCTCAGCATCCCGCCACGAACACAGTCATCGACAGTGACGACCACAAGCGAAAACGAGCGGTCCTGAACAGGGGCTTCACCTCCGCCTCTATGAAGCACCTCGAGCCCAAGATCCTCAACGTCCTCCATACCTGGATGCCAAATCTAGTAGAGGCCACCGATTCCGAAGATGGCTGGAGCGCACCTCGCGACATGGCCGACTGGGCTGTCTATTTGACCAACGATGTCATGGGCACGTTGTCTTTCAGCAACCCATTCGGTCTCTCCACCTCGGACGAGCACCGCTGGATCCTCCAAGCAGTCCCTCTGTCCACCCGTCTCCGCTACGCCTGCTGCTTCGAACCATGGCTGCTCACCTCCGGCATCGACCGCTGGCTCTACCCGCAGCTCGACCAGTGGCGTGCCCGCATCCGCGCCTTTTCCAGTGCCATGCTGCAGCGCCGTGTCGACCGGCAAGACGACAAGACGCTGCACGACTTCTTCCGCTTCATCCTCGACGCGCCAGATGCCCAGACCGGCGGCCCCGTCGACGCCCGCACGCTGGCGTCCGAGTCGAGCCTGCTGGTCAACGCGGGCGGCGACAGCACCGGCACCGCCATCGCGGCCACCACCTTCTTCCTTGCGCACAACGCCCGCTGTCTGGACCGCGCAAAGGCGGAGATCCGGTCCATGTTCGCCAGCGCGGGTGAGATTGTCCCCGGCCCGAGGCTCGAAGAGTCCAAGTACCTCCGCGCCTGCATCGACGAGGCCATCCGCCTCGCACCGCCCGCGCCCGCACCGCTCATGCGCCAGGTCCGGCCCGGCGGCCTGGAGACAGACGGACAGACCTTCCCTGCAGGCGTCGAGCTTGCTGTCTCGCCGTACGCTATCCATCGGAACAAGGAATACTACCCCGATCCGCTGGCGTACAAGCCCGAGCGGTGGCTGGTGGACAGTGTTGGCGCTGAGGCGGTGAAGAAGGCGCAGTCGGCGTTTTGTCCTTTCAGTATTGGTGCAAGGCAGTGCATTGGGATGAAGTTGGCGTATCTCGAGATCACGCTTGCGCTGTGCTCGTTGCTTTGGAGCTATGACATGAGGCTGATGCCTGGACGGGAGGAGCAGGGGGTTGATGAGGTGGGGAATTACGCGATTATTGATTGTTTCGGGGCAGAGAAGCATGGGCCTTGGGTGCAGTTCAGGGAAAGGGATAGGAATACGTAGCGCCGAAGGCACTTTTAGACATGGGAATCGAGAGGAAGGCTTGGTTTGAGCGGAGTGTATCTGACCATTTGTAGTACTTGGCACGAAGTTGGGAGTCAGCGTACGCCCACCCAGCTTCCACAGTACGCCCACCCAGCTTCCAGCGTTGGCCCACCCAGTACTTCCTTTTCTTAGTATTATATTAATAAGACTAGGTACTTTTCTCTAAGTTTACCCCGCATATAAGAAGCTAGGGTAGCTATTTTCTAATTTAAGCAATACTTTAAAAATACAAGCCTAAAAAGCCCAGAGCCCCCAGAAGCCCCCAGAGCCCCCAGAGCCCCCAGAGCGCCCAGAGGGCCCCAGAGCGCCCAGAGGGCCCCAGAGCGCCCAGAGCCCCCAGGGCGCCCAGAGCCCCCAAGGGCGCCCAGAGGGCCCCAGGGCGCCGAGGGCGGCGAGGGCGGCGAGGGCGGCGAGGGCGCAGAGGGCGGGCGAGGGCGGCGAGGGCGGCGAGGGCGGCGAGGGCGGGCGAGGGCGCCGAGGGGGCAGAGGGTAGAAGGGTAGAAGGGTAGAAGTAACTTTTAAGTTGCAAATAAAGGGGTAGCTATAAGACCCCTCTAGGATAGCTATAGCTATGCTTTATCAGTAACCCCACAATACCAATATTTTATAGCGTGTGCAGCCAATTTCCTTGTACTGGGTGGGCCAACGCTGGAAGCTGGGTGGGCGTACTGTGGAAGCTGGGTGGGCGTACGCTGACTCTGAAGTTGGACTTGGCATCTAAAATGAAGGGACAAAAATTTAGTCCTTGGAGCGTCCCAGCCAGAGCAGCCAAGGGAAGCAATTCTACAACACTAACCGGCCCACTACATTGCTCTGATGTACCACGCTAGACAATTTCAAACTGTTAGAGACAGCAACAATGTTTGACTTGAAGCAGAACAGAATTACGTACCACAGAGTACATTAGCCGCCTACTCTCATCATCCAAGTCATTAAATCTTTTCATGAATTCACCCTGCGAAAGTTTGGTGGCTTCCTGTCGGGGTTCTCCTCAACGGAAAGGTCCTTGATCAAGTTGATGATGAAAAGCTGGTCCTGCTTTCGGTATTCTTTTGTAGCTATTTGGCGTTCGCTCTTAGTAGAAATCGGAGACATGATGTGGATTCTGTTTTTTTTGTGTAAGCCTTAATTGAAATAGTGACAAAGTTCACACAGACCGTTGGTAATTTGATGTTGTTTGTGTGATTATGGCACACTGTCTGCGATGTGACCTGATGTATCGTGATTAAAGAAGCAATGACCATGACAAAGTTTTGGGATATTCTGCCGACTTCAGGATGGCAAATACAGAGGTTATATTAAAGAAATCTATGCCCTTCTGTGACAGTTGACTTTCAGAGCTCGTGACTGAATAGTGAGAGTAATCAAGTCCTCGAGCTTGGTTGTTTCACTGTTGGGCTCGAAGCCTTGTTTCGAAAGTTTCTGCAGCCATAGGCCATAGAAAGTGAATTTTCATGTCAAACATGAGGCCGGCCGTTGGACTGTCTATATAAAAAAAAAACATTCATCTAAGATCTATGCGGTAAAATGATCAGAACTCACCGCCAAGTTACATTACCAAGATGAAAACGTAATATATCAGGTTGACGTGGACTCAGCTCTAGGCTGAACTTGAAGCCTGTACGTCTGACGTGTTGGTCCACTTGAGTTCGGCTGCCTGTTAGTTCCACGTGGGATGACAACCAACTGCCACTTGTTGACCCTCGATCATTTGAGCCAAGTCGGCCTGCTGGAAATTTCAGTTTCTGCGAGTGGCCATTGCAGTGCTGCCTGTTGGATGCCAACCAGTGCGAAGTTGAACTTTTCAGTCCTCGCCTTAACCGCCATGCTTCCGTCTGTGTCACGTTTTGTTTTGCTCAATCTAGGTGTCCCGCAGAGTGTAGACTGTGCGAGATTCCCAGGTATCAAGGGTCAAGGCTACAGTTCATACCCACAAGTGCTAACTACATTGTCCTTTGAAACCAAGTGCTTTTCATTCCACGCCAGTCGTCGTATCAGCCCATGCAGCGCCATCTAACGAAAGCCAGCACGAAGCGCATGAGCAATCTGAAGACTGCACAGGCAGGATGTTGTTGCAATTATACCAGCGCAGCAGGGCCAAGGATGGCCAATCGGAGTGGCGTGGTTGAGGGGGCTCGGAGGCCAGATCTGCGATGCAGTAACACGGACTCTGCAAGCAGCACTCTTTAGACAAGAGCCGAAACCGTTGCATCATTTCTCATATAAACTGGGCTGGGACTACCGAAATTTTCAGCACTCCAAAGTGGTGGTAACACATTAACACGTCATTTGACCGAACGAAGCAACAAAGCGTCGAGCACGCAGTCGATTGCAAACACATCTAGGCGCAGTAAATGGCCGGATACCACGATAAATTCCCAGTACATTGATTACGACATAGTTCAATAGGAGCTTTTACATTGGATATTGAATATTGCGATAGGTGCCCAGTTGAAAGCAATCTCAAAACACGCGGATGATCTCCATGTCAGAACAACCTATGAATGGCTGCAGAGAACTGCCGATCCCAAACAAGAACAACGGAATTTATTGATATTATAGTTACATACAGCCCGCACTCATTTAGCCAGAAACCTCCCCCAAGTGCCATGCTCGACAGGCTTGAAGGCAGAGCGGATTGGAGATTGCCCAATGACTTCAGTCCGGTGGATGGGTTGACTCTCGGTGATATAAACCCGGGGAAGTTCCTCATCATGGCTTTTGTGAATACTTGGCAATTCTTCAAGTATTTACACACTCACATATAATCATTATGCAGACTTGGTCTTACCTTCACGTTGCGGCCCTGCTCATCGGTACCATTGAGCCTGCTTCAGCAGCCTGCGACCGTGCCACCCTTCAGAATGTCACCAATGGCTACATTGCAGCGCAGACATCCGGGTCTCTTACCCCAATAGCTGGCCTTATCAATGGCACCAATTACAGGGAAAACTTCAAGGCCGCCACCATTTCGAGCGGAATCCTCAGCCAGGCCCTGAAAATCGACCACAACCGCACTACGCTCGACACAACTCAATGCGCCTCGTATGCCGAGCTGATCGTTGCCAACTCAGCGCACCAGTACGTCATCGGCACTCAGCTGTACCTGTCCAACACCACTCCGCAGACCATTTCCAAGATCGACACCATCGTGACAGACCAGGGTGACTGGCTCTTCAACGCCACGGGGACCCTGTACTGGGCATCCCGGGAGGACTGGGGCCCTATCGCGGCCGACAAGAGAGATTCAAGGAAGACAATTCAGGTTGCCGCGGACGCGTACCTCGACTACTTCAGGGACAAGAGCGTGGTCGTGCCGTGGGGCACGCCCTGTGCCAGACTGGAGGGTGGCGCGTACACCGGCAAGGGGGCTGCCACGGATTCCTGCAATGTCGGCGTGCCAAACAACATTAACTTGACTGACAGGAGATACATCATCGATGAGGAGGTCGGAGAGGTGGATGTCTTCTTGAGCTTCGTGTCAAACCCGGACAGTCATGAGTTCCGGGTTGAAGGGGGGAAATTGAGATTTGTGCACACTTTGACTGTCATGGAGTGAGCCTTTGAGACAGTGTTCTCCACCTTAGCGTTTCGAAGAAGGAATGGGAGAAAGTCAAATGCGAGCAGAGAAAAGTTTGGCAGATGCCAGACATCTGGTTCGAAAGAGGCGGTATTGAATCCATTCTGAATACTACGAGGTCAATGAAATTGCTCTTACCTGCCGGCCCAAGCGTTCTTACGTCACACCCACACCCTTCGAAACTTTGTGCTCATCATCATAGGAAAAGCAATTCGATATGCAGGAGAGCCTTCGAGTCCGAAGAAACTAAGAAGCAAGAGCTTACTGACACTACTTGCACTCAATTGAGGTCGCACTTGAAAATGGAGGCCTCTGATTCATACAACGTGCTGTCAGAGGATCATTGCACGTTCACGTGGGCATGGACCGCGTCAAAGTACCACAAGGCGTCAAGTCTTTTGAATCGTGTGGAATCACTTCTATGGGGTGCTGTCTGGAGAGATTCATATTGTCTATGCTAGACAACAAGGCTCTGCTGCTACGGTAATCTTGTCATCATCAGAGATTTCGACCACGCACGGGTATCATGTTAATTAATTATGCGTTATCCGTCTTTTAAACAATCGTCCGCGCCTTCTTACAGCAACACAGCTATTTTGGCCGCCATGGCCTGCGCACCGGCAATCGTCATGTTGGAAGTTGGTGGCTGCCATCCAAGCTCAATTGGCAGTCTTTCCTTCTCAAAGAGGTACTTGATGAACGTGGCGTTTGCGTTGCCTTCGACCAAGTCCCCAAATGCAGACAGGATCAACGAGTACTCCAGCAGCGAGGTCGTCTGGGCAGAGCTAGCATCGAACTCAGGATTCGTGGCGGCGCCATATGCAAAGCGTGCTGTCCTTTCAGCCGCGGCTACTGCGAACTAACCACCCAACATTGTTAGCATAGATCCAGAACCCCTTAATCACAGAAACCGACTCACGGTGATAACGTCATTGTCTCCCCAGTTCTCCAGAGTCCTTGCCCAAGCCTGGTCATTGAACGAGAGGTTGTCGCCCCAGTACGAGTCATTTCTCGACATTGACCCATCGTGCTCGAGGACGTGTGGGTTGTGCTGCTTGAGATCGTCCAGATTGAACGTCGATGCGTTGCCAGTCGTGGACGTCTGGAAGGCCAAGCTTCCGAACACCTGCGTGGCGTCGCCGGCGATGGTGAAGCCCTTGTACGCTGCGTCCGTGAGCATCTCGATGTCGATGCCTTTGCCGTCACGGGGTAGCATTCCGTGGTTGGCAAGGGCGTTGAGACCCGGGCAGGGTGCTCGGACGTCTGTGTCTGTTGGCGGTTGGAATGGATATGTCGCCTCGTCCAGAGCAGCGCTGAAGGGAATGAGTGCGGCTGCCGTGGTGAGGCATAACGTCTTGAACGAAGGCATGATGAATTATGTACAGCAAGAGCTGGAAATAGGAGAAAACAATTAACGAAAGTTGGGGAGACAGTGATGAAGACAGGAGATGCGTTCAAAGACCCGCCGAGAAGCTGTCATCTTATACTCCATGGCGAACTCGCTACTGCCCATGAACCACGGCGTCCTTCATCCAGGCGTTCGTTCGTTGGGACCCGCGATCCATGTCGCATTGATCCACAGCCCTGCACTCATTCAGTCGTCAGTCCGAAGATGATAGATCAGCCCCGTGGGGACAATGCCAAGCTTTGCGTCGCCGGAAGATCACGTATGCTCAGGGTGCCATTGTCATGGGCGCGAGGACCAAAAGGGGGCATTGCTCCCGCGGCTAGCGGCAAATAGTATCCTGCCCATTTCCAACCCATGTGCCAACCCATGTGGGCTGCATCTCGGCTCCCTGAGCACTGCATGGGGGCAGAGGCGCCACTAACTATGCGGCGACTCATGACTTTGCGGCATAGGAATCTTATCGTGGCTTCCTTGTCCATAATTTTCTCGCTGGACCCTGGACACTGTACTGTCTAATAATCGTCAAACCCCAACTGACAAGAATAGCTCATGCCTCGATGTCATTCGGAGTGGGCAGAATGCGATGCTCCTATTTTCATCCTCAACCACACCCTCGGGTCCTCTGTGCTTTTGGGGGTCATATTATAGTTCGCGAAAATCAATTAAATGTTGACGTGAAAGCAGTAGCAACTCAAGGCTACCAACGGAACGTTCCGACTCTCGGCAGATTCCGACGTTGACTGGGGACGACAGTCGCGCACTTCATCGCACATTCATGGGTGCGTTTCCATCTAGGTAGGGTATTTAGTGGTAGGTCCATTGTGCAGGGAAATCTACACGATTGTCATGAAATCCGCGGACTTTGGTAAAACTTCAAGAATTACTTAGACCGATTGCAAATCCATTGCTGTATGGTTTGCGTGGCATTTCAATACCATTTGGTCTCAGGAGCTAACTTGTTCGGGCTCACTAAGCATATCCTCCTTGTGAAATGGTCCTGCTGCGAGACAACGAAGAAAAACAGTACCTAAGAAATCGAATTCGGCCTTGCTACTTTTTCACACGTTTTCTACAGCGACTCGGTTGACTTTGGAGATATTAGTAAGCTTGTATAGGAATGAGAAAAAAAGCCGTGAACAGAGTAGTGAGAACAGAGTAGTGAGAACAGAGTAGTGAGAACAGAGTAGTGAGAACAGAGTAGTGAGAACAGAGTAGTGAGAACAGAGTAGTGAGAACAGAGTAGTGAGAACAGAGTAGTGAGAACAGAGTTGTGTACTAAAGATTCAAACTTCATGACATGTGCAGCGTGCCATCAAAACTCGCCGTCACGGTCAGTGTGTAGTGGATCCGACCACCGAGCCCCAGTGGTCACCTCTTTCGGGCCGGACATGGGGAAGCAGCCGGGAAGGTCGGGCGATCAATCGGCAAGACACCACAATTGCGGAGGCCAGTCGAAGGGGCTAGAAGGCTGTGCGTTGGAAAGCGGCCCACAACTGGCATCACCACAAGTGCGCCAGTCAAATGTCAGAGGCCATGAAAGCTTAATAAACTGTCACAAGTGGTTGAGTCCGCGTTGCCTAGGCCCCAGCACAAACCATTGATGAAGACGCCAGCTCGCTCGGGAAGACTTTCGGGGCATTTGCTTCCACGCACTTATCGTCAAACGAGGACGAATTGAGAGGAGACGAACAAAGCCGGGCCCAGTGGTTTATCGCCCAGGGCTTAGTCAGCCCCCCAAACGAACCCGAACTTATTCTCGACGTCGCCCCGAAGTCCTGAACTCTGCTCATGTCAACCGTGCTGATTTGTTTCATGGCACCCGGGCCAACATGCTGCTCCAACTTTGGTCCTGCCGCCCTGATTTGGGCCTTGTACACTGCCGAGCTTTGCTTTACGGGCGCCATGCACCAACACAGACTGTGACGGGATCTGACACAACGCAGGTCCAGGAAAATCCCCCTTAGTCCCTCAGAGCGTTGCCTCAAGTCGAGCGCGCGCTAGACGCGCTTTGGCACCATACAGCCACGGTCTAGAGCCAACAGAGGACAACATCGCGGTCGAGGTTCTTAGCAACTGGACTTTCATGGGCGATTCCAGCAACCGGTGCAAAGTGCGGCGCCAGATGCAACCTTTGCTGGCGGTAGAGGCCGGGTCGGCCGGGGCGGCGACTTCAGGAATTAGAGAAAGACGACTTGTCCCGACAATGCGTCGCGACTGCAGCTGCCACGATAAACTTTCCTAGGCGCCGGGGAGGGACCGGTGCGGCTGAAGATATCAAGGAGGCCGGGCAGCACGTTGCGAGCCACACCCGACCAGGGCTGTTGAACTCTGGGCCAAGCACAGACGACCGTCTGGATACTGCCAAGGTGAACATCGAAGTCGGGCCCTTGCGAGAACCCGAGGTTGGTCTGATGTTGGGCATTGTTCCCATCAATTCCCACATGGAGAAGTTCTTTCTCGATCGCGCGCTGTCACTAAAGCGGCAATTCGCATTTCTCGTTCAAGCTGGATCAGCCGGCGCCTTTGAAAGGCCGCTCCGCTTACTTCACACCACCACTCTTCGCATCTGCATGTTTCCGTCCCAACATTTGGGCGATGGCTTGTTTGATTTTCTCGATTGAGTCTGACCATAAACCTCGGTCGTGACTGTGACAGTCCAGATGTCACTTACATGTCTGTGACACGATGCTCACGTTCCCCTAACACCTGCTGTTCGCCACCGGGGCTGTTTCACTCTCCGTACGTTAGATCGTCTTCCCGTGTTCTACGCCTTCACAGCCTGTCTTCGTGTTGCTTTATGCGTGACCAGCAACCCGTCAGCGTCCTCAGAAATTTTGCGCGGAAGCACATCTCAACCGAATACGATTACAGGAGGGAGAGGAAGTGTTGGACAACGCCGTACAGGCAGTAAAGTGGTGCTTCATGACAGTCAGAGGGAATTCAGAAATGTGCTTCCTATACAAGCAGCACTCTTGCCGCCACCGCTTTCAAAGGAAGTGATCTCAAGCGCCAAAGTGGCAACACTCCTCCCGTCCAGCACACTCACGACGATTCCCACACCAACCCCAGTTGTCCACGCACTGGACCTTGTGGAAGACGGCTCAGCAGCCGCTAAGGCCACGGAAACACCCTTTTCGAGAACGCAATTGCGTAGAGGTACCCCGAGCAATGCCACCGCGACTTCACGCCCGCCGACCACAATAAGGGAGACGACGACAGTCTACATCGAACCCGACAACTGCACGGGCACTCCAACCCATGGCACGGCACTCAATTCCCATATCAGACGCTGGACAAAAAGGAGGCATCGCTGGCGGCACAGTCGGCGCCGTCTTGATAGTGGCCGTCCTGACACTGTTCTGCTACAGGCGTGCACGGCGGAGGATACGGAATAGAAGGGGCTCCCTGAGCCTGTCCGACTCGAGCTCCACGCCGGATGCCGCGGAGCGTGGCATGGTCGCCCACGGGGGCCTGTTCGGCTCAGAGGACAAGACCGCCAGTGCCGCCGAGAGCTTCGCAACCGACGAACCACAACTACCAGACCCGGCAGCCGTCGAGGCCACGCCAGGGGACCGCACATCCGAGCAAGTGCCGATTTGCTTCCGGCCGTCCCGGCGCCTAGTCAGCCGGTACCCGAGCCTCCCGGTGACACCCACGGCCAGCATCCGGCTGTCGGATTACCTCAACCCGGTCATCCGCGACACGGTCCTGCTGCCGCGGCCCCTGAGGCGCGCGGGCAGGGTGGCGAGCCTGGCACGGAGCCGACCCTGGCAGGCGGGGGCCCGCAAGCAGCAGCCGGCCGCCGGCAGCGGGGGAAGCAGGAGCAGGCGCACGACGGTGACCACCAGCAGCGTGTACAGCTCCGACGCCACGTTCGACTTTGCCGAGTACGTGACGATCGGGGCGCGGACGTCACGGGGCACGACGCAGCGCGCCAGCGGGACGACGGACGCGTCGGGGCTGCGTAGCACGCTGGCGAACTTCCCTCGGCCGCCGCCCTACACGTTTTCCAGGGGGGACGGGCAGGGCCTGGGGACGAGCTGGGGGGAGAGCTTCGTATTTTCGACGCCTGAGGACGAGGTGCTGCTGGCGTTTCCCAAGCTAGCTCGTCAGATAGGAGATGAGCTCAACTAGGTTCGGAGCCTGGCGGGGTCCTGGATGGTGTGATATTTCGTTCATAGCGATGGCGGAGTTCACGTTGCGGGGTGAATGATTATATGTCGGAACCCAAAGTTCACTCAAATATTGGCTGCAGAAGAAAATTAGCCAGTCTTGTTTAATAATTCTAGGTTTGATAGGTTTATCTGGTTGGTGCTTGGTCCTATTTGAACAGATGGAAAGGAAGTCAGAGGTACAAGGGTACAAATATATGGTAGCTATACAGGGTTAATATCACATAACAAATGGCCATATAGGCTGTGGTAATGAAAAGACATGCAGCCATCCCAGACCATGATTATCTGCCATGGAGTGGCTGAGAGAAAGATCTTGGCTAAAAGCAATGTAGCATTGGTGGTACAAGGCATTGAAATCGGCCGAGGATGGGACAACAACGTGCTGCTAGCAAGCGTCGTCCATACCAATACATGGGAAATCTATGCTCAAGGTCCTTTTGCACCTCTGCACCTCTGCACCTCTGCACTGCTGCACTGCTGCACTGCTGCACCACTGATTCCAAGAGCAGGGGAACTCGGGATGTCCCTAGGCACTTTGGGCTCTGCCTGGGCTGCGCATCTGGACTGACTGCCAGGGGTAGAACAGTCCACAAGGGAGGCACTGATGATCTTCAGCTGTCGCAGCTGCAGCTTCCTTCGTGCCTGCATGCATGCAGCCATGCCATTTGCCCCTTTCCTGCCCCCATGATCCTGATACTGCAGATGCACTGCCCGCTGGCAAGCTGAGGGTGGGATGGCTGAGAGAGTGTCTGGTGACTGGCGACGTCGAAGTCGTCGTCAGTTTCAAGTCGGTAGGCGCGAACAGTCAGTTACCTCGGCCGGTTGATTGGTGGGCGGCTCACGCGATTGAAACAGAAACGATTGTGCCATTGGCCACAATGTGTTTGGCATGAGGCCGAGACCCCGGAGCCGCTGCAGGTGCGGGGCCGCCCTGGCGGGTGGGCCCTGGTGCACCCTTGACGACCCCCCAGTTGGCGCGTATTGTCACCGTAGGGCGAGACATCGACAGCCAATGGACTTGCGAACCTTGCGAACTGCTACAGTCCCGCGCTTTTCCGTTCCGATTGTGCTGCTTCTTTGATATCTTTGTTCAAGAGGCCTTGGGACCCCATTGTCGGGCTTGGGGTCCCTGTGCCTGCATCTTCTACAAATAATTACACCTGGTCCGTTTCAGTGCTTTGTTGGTGGTTCATCTTGAAAGGGTGTTCTGCTCCTCCTTCGTATTTGAAGGCTTACACGCCTCTGCCGGCATACACTTCAATCAACTTCAGAGTTTAGACAACCAAGCAAAAACCGACCTTTCCGTTTCGGCAAAATCCTTCTTTTCATTCTCGATACCCTCATCTTTTCTAATACACACATCTACTTTGATAGCCGGCCTATCAACCTTCAAAATGGACAGCATGCACCAAGGACAGGGCTACCCGCCCCGTAACGGCTGGAATCCAGAGGGCTCAACTCACGAGTCCTACCCGGAGAAGACGAGACCCGATTCACAGCCCTCCAACACGTCCAAAAGATTTATCTGGAGGGTGTTCCGGCTCGGCGCTACGATAGCACTCACAATCGCCGTCCTGGTCCTTACGCTCATCATCCTCGTTGCTGGGAGACATGGCGATGGAAGCAGTGACCTTTCGCTGATAACAGTAAGTACTAACGGTACCGACGGTGGATATATAAGCAGTGTGAACTATTTACGTGAGGCCCCTTGCTAACATCACGACAGATCGACATGAGCAACTTTGCCCGTTTCAACCCGCCAGTAATCACCCTCGTCGACAACACCACCGAGGCCACCAAGACTCGAAGGGGCCTCGGATCCTTCGTGAGCGACGTCGCAGGCAAGGCGAGCGATGCCGCCGACTCGGTCGAAACCTTTGCGTCGGGCGCCGCGTCGGCCGTCGAGTCAGCGGCCGGGGCCGTCGCCACCGCCGCCGAGGCCGAGGCTGACAAGATCATCGACGAGATCGGCGACAAGCTCGACGACATCGAGAACGCCGTCATGGGCCTCATGGACAAGGTCCTCGGCACCATCCAGGACGCCCTGAACAAGTGGCTCCAGGAGGCCGCCGGCGCCCTCGACGACATCGACATCCCGAGGACAATGTCACTGCACCTGACGACGTACTGCAGCGGAAACGCCACCATGAACTCGACGACGAGCGAGTCCGACTCCAACTCCACAACCGCCACCGCTGCTTCCGGCTCCATGTCGTGCACCCGCCTCTTCTCGAGCGGCGAGACCTCCTTCAACTCGACCGCCAACAACGGCACCATCTTCGGCTTCCAGCCCGGCGCGGTCCTCGCGCGCGCGCTGGGCGTCTTCTACGTGCCCGAGGGCGCGCAGCTCGCCATCCGCGAGCCCGTCGACGGCGCCGTCAACACGGTCGACCGGCTGGTGCACGAGGCCGGCGCCGACCTGTCCGCCTGGACCGTCAACCTGCTCTTCATCCCCATCGTCGCCATGTACGCGCTCGCCGCCTTCTTCACCTGCCTGCTGCTGCTGGTGCTGCTCGCCGCCACCGCGGTGAGCTTCAGGTCGCGCAACGACGACCCGCGCGAGGGCCTGCCGTCCAAGGTGTTTGGCCTGTGCGGCGGCATCGCCGCCTGCGCTGCCTTCTTTCTGCTGCTGGGGAGCGTCATACTGACAGTGATTGCTCTCGTCGCCTATGTCGTCGGTCTTGGAGTTGGCGTCGTCGACATCACCGTGTCGTCGAGCTCAAAGCTCAAGTGGATGTCCTGGGCCGCTTTCATCATCATGGCCCTCGTGGCCATCTCGCTCAAGGTGGAGGAGTTTGTGGCGGAGTGCGTCTTCTGGTGGAACTTCCTGAAGCAGCTTTGTGGGGCGCGGAAGACAAAGCGCAGCACAAAGGAAAAGTTCAGCGATCCGGCACGCCAATATCATTAAGGTGGTCTGATCGATCCCGCAGATAGCAGGTTCTACTCTGGCTTAGAAATCCAATAATAAAATAATAAGAATCAACCGCTAGGCTTCATTTGACAGGGGGCAATTGCAAACTTTTCCCCGGTTTGCCCTCCAACTTTACTACAGCGCATGCCTTCCCAATTGATACTGCCAGGTCCTCATCAAGCATACTACGCCCCGGCCGGTGACGCACTTTCCACAGTGAAGCGATTCAGTTCCCTTACTGGTGCCATTGACTATAATTGATAGCCACAGAACACAGCCGCGGACCTCAGGACATGTTGCACGCAATAAAGTATTTTTACTAGAGCTGAATATAATGTGAGAATAAGAGCTCATTGACTAAGGGTCGCATATCCTTGGTATTGTCTCCAAATTTGGTATATAGATACTCACGAGGACATCTTGGTCCCTTGTTCCCTCAAATTTGCTCACCAATTTCCATTTCCAAGCCAGTATCATACATTCTGCTCTCATACTGCAGGAGACTAGTCTCATACCCTACAATAGGCATTTCCGCCATGTCAAGTATTGAGGAGTGTTCCCATCCGGAGGTCTCAATCATTTCTGGTTCATGGGCACTGAAGTTTGTAGTGTGGGTGACAAAAGATGGATTGCAAGCCCAGGCTGTAGAGGCGCGATGTTATTACCGGAAGATTCAGATATACATAATTGAGAAGAGGTAGAAGTGGTACAATTTACGCGTCCGTTGCTTGCTGACTTCACGGTTGACTTGGCAAGGCTATTTCATCATTAAGAAGTATTCCCCTTTGCCTCCTTCTAATTAGGTGAACATCATTTACTGCGCCCTGTGATTGTCGTAGTGCATTAAAACGGTCAATATTTTGTGGCTTGTGGTAACACACCGTGATACGTGAGCCAATTACAAGTGGAAATACATATACCCCCCTAGCCTGTCAGCTCACCGATGCATGTCGCGGCACTGCCACGCAGCTGTGACTGGCAACTATTTGCCGCCTGCAGGACTAGCGGACGGGAACAGCACACGTCGCTTGTCTTCCTTATGGCTACATTCTTCTAGCTGTCGCTGTCCTTCCACTTACTGTGCACCTATCTGCTCACTCCACCTGCTAGCACATGGTTTCACAAATCTTCTCAGGCAACATCTCCAGATAGCCTGCTTCTAAGGGGTGCCTCCTGTCACTGCGAGGCGGCACCAGGAGATCATGGCCAGCCTGGGCAAAGGCGAGCTCGAAGACCTAGACCCCATTATTACTAGTGAAACAAATTCTAGACAGCTGCTCTGGAATATGGACCGCGCATTCCGGAGCTCGCTGTGGTATCCGACCATGGAGGAGCGACAACAAGGTATCTGGTCTCCTCACAAGGGCACTCTGGACTGGGTATTCCAGAACAGTCCGGCGGAAAAGACAGTGCCGTGGGATGATTTCAATCATTTCGTGACAAAAGGCTGCGGCACACATTGGATCACGGGCAAGGCAGGGTCTGGGAAGAGCACGCTCATGAAGTACATCAACACCAACCCAAAGCTGGATGTTGCCCTATCGGAATGGGCGGCGGGACGCGAAATATTCAAAGCCTCCTTCTACTTTGACTACCTCGGCACAGAAATGCAGAAGTCGGAAATGGGACTTCTGAGGTCTCTGGTTCTCGAATTGCTGAGCACGCACCAGAAGCCGGAACCCATGTTTTGGAGAGGCGAGGAGCAGAGGTTTTTCACTCATCTCGGATCGCAGAATCTCGCATTAAACACAGAGCGTATCAAAGTTGCGTTTCCGGAGCGCTTTGAATCAATGCAGCTATCATCGAAGCGGCCGGCTTCGTTCGAGCCGAGCCGCAACGAGCTGCTGATGGCGCTGAACAGAATCTTTCAGCACTCGCCCGACGCACGGTTCTTCCTCTCGATCGACGGGCTTGACGAATACGACGCTGAGAGCGCCGAGATGAGCGACTTGGCTGAGATCCTCAAGTCAATCTGCCAGCGAGAGAATGTTAAGGCTGTGATCTCCAGCCGGCCCTGGGCCGTATTCGAGGACGCCTTCGCCGCCAGCCCAAGACTGCGGCTCCACCAACTCACTCACGATGACATCAGCTTCTACGTGAGCGACAAAATGGAGCATGATCACCGGATGCGACGGCTTCTGAAATTCCATCCAGAGGAGTCGAAGGCATTGATGGAAGAGATTGTCGAAGCATCTGCAGGCGTTTTTCTCTGGGTCCGTCTCGTGGTTCAGAGCCTAATGGAAGGCCTTGTGAACAGAGATGGCGTTTCTGACATGCAACTCCGCCTCCGCGACCTCCCAACCGACTTGGACGAGCTGTACCGGGTGATGCTAAAACGAGTTCCGGATTCGTATCGGCGCCAGACTTCCAAGCTGCTGGAACTGGTCTACTACGGAACTCGAGATAAATGGAAGCTGAGCCTCTTCGGACTTCATTACGCATTCGAGTTGGGTGAGGAAGAAGTGCTGAGAGCCCCGATTGAGCCATGGCCGCCGGAAGAGCTAGACTGGGTTTTTGAATCCATGGAGAGAATCATCCAAAGTCGCTGTCTGGGCTTTGTGGAAGTGGTGCATTTGGACACTATATGGCTGGCACATGGTCCAGACACATTCGATACAAGAAGCAAGCAAAAGAGCGCTGTCCGATTCATACACCGCTCAGCAGTTGACTTCCTCCGGTACGTGTTTTCCTAGTTCATTTCTGGGGTTTAAATTTCCCAATTACACTCGGCTACCCTACAACGAGCCTTGCGTGCCATCTCCGGTCCTTTCCCTCTTCTACAGAATAAATGCTGAACTCCACCTGAGGGAACAATAGCCGGCCGGAGACTTGGTCCCAGCACATCACGAACTGGAAGGATGCATCTTTTGAGCCATCCCTTGCGTTGCTCTGCTCCGCGATTCATACATTGAAAAGACTCCACTTCGACAAGACCATGGAGTCGGTCGGAATCATCAGATCAATGGCTCTCTACGCCGGGTACCGAGCACTTGAGGCAGAGCACCTGACGGAGCAGGCCTCGCCAGCACTGCTACTTGAGCTGGACAGGGTGATGGAAATCCAGGTCAACAAGGTCGATGTACGATCGCGGCCGAACGACGGCAGCGGGAAAAAGCATATCTGCTTGTTATGTAAAAGCACACACACCGCGAAATGTCCTTCACACTGGTCGAAGCTGTGCTTTGAGTTCAGCCCGCGATCGAGGACGACCTTCTTGTCCTTTGCCGCCTCCCTGCAGCTCCGATATTTCGTCCAGAGCCAGGTCGCCTGCCATGGGCCCCAGATTGTCGACCAAGAACAGGACTCGCTGTTGGCTTACGTGGAAGAGGCCAGGAATTCTCAACCAGGGACTCTTGATGAACCTCATATATCTGTTGACCCTGAACTTGTCAAGTTCCTAAAAGGGTTATCGAGAAGGGCGATGTTCTCCAAGAAGAGAGTCCTGCGAATGTGGTCAAGCAAGAAGGTCAAAAAGAGGGGTGTATCTGGGCAGTCTATTATCTCGGCAGGACCGTAGAAGACTGCCGCTCTGTGGACATGCTCTTAACTTTGCAGGCTTTTGTTACAGTATTTGGTCCAAAACGTCTCGAAGAAAGTAGCCGAGGTCTAATTAGAAAATTAGTTAATTGGAGGTCTCAAGAAAGCCGATATACTCCACAACTTCCTGTGCTCAGCTGGATGATGCTTGGTTTGCCATTTCACTGGCCCTCCTGTCGAATAGAGATCCGGGGGATCGATCGAGCACTGGCGCATAGTCTGACAGTCAAAATAGCTCCGCGCACACGCATAAAGGGCATGGCAATGATGCGCCACCTGATGATGCCTCAATTCCAAAGCTTCTCTCCTGTAACCCCCGCCTTGGGGACTCGTAGTATACACAAAATTCTATGACACATGGATAGCACAACTGGCTTGCCCTGGGTGCCGACAAATCGACCCCCCTCGCACGCGCCGGAAACCCACACCCAAATAAACGCCTTGCAATGTCGAGTGAAGATGTGTGGTATATGCAGCATATGCCAGCGGAGTATCCGCTAGCGCTGAGAAGTGGGAAGCGTGGGTGTGCCCGGATTCGCCCCCGAAAGGTCTTTTTGAGCACCCTGTTCCATTGGATATTGGGTCGAGGTGTGGCTGGAATCGTCGCTGATGGGAGAGGAACCGCGTGCCTCTCGCGGAGCGAGTATCTTAGAGGCGTTGAGATGCCACTCCCTCAGGGCGGAGCGTCACGGCCTCCATGCACGCTCCACGACGCAGACCGCACCCCCGGCCCCTCCGAAGCCATCCCTGGGCCTCCTCCGTTATCATTTATCCTTGTAAATGTTCGGCTTCCACCCCTCCTTGACCTCTTGCTCGTGGGCCATATTCTCCTGCGCGGGCTTAATCTCTGCCTCGAGGCGCTCGCGCGCCCTCAGGATCTTGCTCTGCAGGTAGAAGCTGCCGCCCTTCTGCGGGTCGTTGGCGTCGAACAGGCGCTTGAAGCGCTCCGTGATCTCCTCCACATCGGCCTTGCCGCCCTGCGGCGGTTTCACGTTGAGGATCTTGACGGCCTCCTCAAGCGTCATGCCCGAGGAGATGTTGGCGCGGCCGGCGGCCGAGCCTCCCGCTTTTTGCTGTGCCCTTTGGTAGCTTGACGAGGCGGAGGCTTGCTTGTAGGCTTCGGCGAAGGCGCGCCCGACCACTCGGCTGCCGATGAATATGACCTGGGTTATGAGGCGGTAGGCCTGGCAGAGGAAAGTTTATCAGTGGTAGTGTCCTCCACGGGTAGGTGCAGCGACCATGGTATGGCCCGACGATCATGCGACAGTTTAGATCTCGGCGATGCTCACCATCTTGAACAACGACCTGGCTCGGCGCTGGTCTGTTCTCTAGAAACCACGATGCTGACTGCCCTCCCGCTTCGTCGTGCCTCGGATATTCGCAGCACTTTGGGCTTGATAGTGCGAGGAAGATGCGGGATTCAAAAGGCGGATCGTGGTGTCATGGACGGCGGGAACGCGCTTCAGGAAAATTCGCTGACGGGAACTAAGACGGACTCGAAGCTCTCTCGCTGGTCTAGTCCCGGAGGCGACAGGGAGTGGAAATTTTGCCGATCATCGGGCCGTTGATTGATTTTGGTCCTGCCTTGCCTGCCGCGGGCGGGATGCCAGCCAGCCCGCAGCTCAAGCTCCCAGCACCTTGTCTGCCTTGTTCCGGTAGTGGCCTGGTCTGGGGGAACAAGGAACAGCTGTCCATGCCCACCAAAGCCAGCTGGCCCCTGACGAACAAGGAAACATTTTGGAAGCCTGCATCATCTCGCATTTGCTCCTCGTGGTTCCACGACAACATCAACATCGCAGCACGACCGAATCCGACCGTCACCACTCGCGCCACCTCTACAAATCTGTCTTTACTGCAATAGCTCCCTCATTGAGCCCTCCTTAGAACACCAAACCGCATATACAACAACCAGGGAGCCTCCCGTCCCACTCGAACCGACGTCGACAGCTCCTCGATCTCCTGCTCCCTCCGGCCAGCATTCGTCAACGGGCCTCATAAAAACATGTCCCAGTTCGGCTACGGGGCACAGCCCCAGGGCAACCCAGCCTACGCCCCGCAGTCCGCCCAGAACCTCCAGTTCTACCCATCACAATACGCACCCGCCGACGTCTCGGGCCACGCGACACCTTCACAGGCCTCGTACGGCGGCTATGGCGCACCCGCCGGCGCCGCTAACTACGGCTTCGGCGCGCCCGCCGCGGGGGTCTCCGGGCGCATGGGCGAGCAGGGCGGGCTCAGGACGGGCTGGATCGCCGCCTTCTCCACCGAGGGCTACGAGGGCGAGCCGCCGCTGCTGGAGGAGTTGGGCGTCAACTTCTCGCACATACAGGCCAAGGTGCGTTCATGTGGTGTTTCCATTGCGCCGCGTCTCTCGTGTCTTGCGGCGGCAATGCGATGCGTCTTGTGGTCTTGAAAGCTAGTGGCAGATCAACTAATCCTTTCTCTCTTTTCAGACACTCGCCGTGCTCAACCCCTTCCGCCGCATCGACCAGCACCTGATGGACGACAGCGACCTGGGCGGGCCGATCCTGTTCGCGGGCCTGTTCGGCTTCTTCCTCCTCTTCTCGGGCAACCTGCACTTCGGCTACATCTACGGCCTCGCGGCGCTGGGCTCGATATCGCTGCACTTCATCATCTCGCTCATGACGCCCCTCGAGGACGGCGACGGCGCCTCCCAGGCCACCCCCTACGGCGGCCACCAGCCGGGCCAGCCCCCTTCGGCCCACGGGGGAATGGCCCACCCCAACGAGCTGTCCTCCACCCTCACGTACTTCCGCAGCGCCTCCGTCCTGGGCTACTGCCTGCTGCCCCTGACCGCAACCAGCCTGCTCGGGATCGTCATGCCCATGGACACGCCCCTGGGCATCGTCATGACCTCCGCCGCTATCATGTGGTGCACGTACAGCGCCTCGGGCATTTTCTGCGCCGTCGGCAGGATGCGCGGCATGAGGGGCCTCGTGGCGTATCCCCTGGCGCTCTTCTACGTCGGCTTTGGCATCATGAGCATCTTCTCCAGTCGTAAGCATTAGTCTTTCCCTATCACAGTTCCCCGTCTATTGTGCTTTGGAATGTTCCAGATTGCATACATTACTCTATGCTAACACACAAATCAGGGGGCAGTGGGAATATGGCAAAGATCGTGGCTGGCGGTGTTTCATGAGCTGTCCCATTTTCAACTTGTACTCTAGACAGCAGCGGCCTTGGTTGGTCCGAATGTAGACCATGTTCATCAAATACACACCTGAACACCGTGATTCCTCTCGTCCCGTCCTTCGCCTCCCGGTCCATTGCCGTCGAACCCTCCCTTGCCTTCCGTTCATTTACTATCAAATGTGGTTACCAAATCCGTTCCCTTGTGATACCCTTTCCCTGCGTCCGATTTGAGACGCAAATGCCCACTGTCCACAGCGTGGGAGAATCTTTTTCTGCCGCTAAATACTCATACAATGCGAAAGAAACCACATATTTCCTTGCTTCCATTAGACAAAAGAGTCGTAAAAGTCGAGATGCCAAGATGCCTTGAGGCATTCTCGTTGACGCACCAAAGATAGGCGCATAGTAAGAATAGAAATGATACCTGTGCCCCTTCAGGCATTCTGGTGGATGCTTGTCAGCACCGAAAACTGTCCTCCGGCCCCGGCAGACAGGATCTTCCTGTCGTGGACGGCAGAGTTGTCAATCAGTGTGGGGACCTCGACGTCGTCATCCTGCTCTCCCTGGCCGGTCTGGTAGTTGGCAGAGAAGCCCCAGGAATAGGCCTTGCCGTCCTGGGTGATGGCGAAGGAATTGTCCGTCCCGCAGGCGACAGAGACGACAGAGGGGAAGCCCTCGTGGACCGTGGGGACCGTCAGGATGCGGGGCTTCTCATGGTCGTCGTAGATGGCATTGTCGTTGTTGAACTTGTCCGCAGTCAGGCCGGTCTGCTTGCCGTCGATGCGGCCCCAGACCAGGAGCTTGCCGTCCTCGGTGCAGGCGATGGAGTGGTGCTCGCCGCCAGCGACCTCGGCGATGCCGTAATCAGTGAGGGACTCGATGAGGGTGGGCTCAAGGACGGCGGCCGCGTCCTCGCCGACGTTTTCGTCAAGGCCAAGCTCTCCGTAGTTGTTCAGACCCCATGCGTAGAGACGCCCAAGGTCGTCAATGGCGAAGCTGTGGTAGGAGCCACAGGCGATCTTGACAATCTTGATGCCGCGCTTGAACGAGAGACCGCCAGGTCGCAGGGCAGAGGCCTTCATGTCGCGCTGGACCACGCGGCGGCCCAGCTGGTTCATCTCAGGAGCGCCCCATGTCTCGACCTTGCCCTTGTTGTCAAGAGTCATGACGTGGTTGTTGCCGACAGCGATGTCCACAATCTTCTTGCAGTCCGGAAGGAAAACAGGCTCATATTGAACCAGGGTATCCTTGGTGAACCCCAGAATACCATCGGATGACTGCATAGTGTAAGTCGATTTGTTGACAATGAACGGAAATGTCAAGAACTTACGCGGAAAGTACCCCATCCGTAGAGGCGACCGTCCTCGGTCAAGGCAAATGAGGCGCTGTCACTCGCGACGACCTTGACGAACTTAGTACCGTTAACAATGTTCTTTGTGCTGACCTCTGCAGGGGTGCATTCGATAGGGTTCAGCGCCTCGAAGTCATCTCCGTCGTCGTCGTCGTCCTCGGCGTCCGCATCACGAAGGCCGCCGTCCCAGGCAGTATTGCGGCCGAGTGCGCCTTGGTCATTGACGCCCCAGGTAAGGATCTTGTTGTCCTTAGTAAGGGCGACAGAGTGCATTCCGCCGCAGGCGATCTGAACGACACCAACAGCTTCGGCAGACAGGAAAGGGTGGATTCTGGGTCGCTTCACGTTGACAGGCTTCTTTCCGTCGATCTTCTTGTTGCCTAGGCCGAGCTCGCCAGACTCGCCAGAGCCAAAGACGAAGATATCGAGAGGTTGGGTTGGTGCAAAGTTGATCTGGACACCAGTCTGCAACTTCGCAGCCGGCGCCTTTTTGACCTTTCCGACTTTTTCGACCTTCGAGGCCGCGGGCTTGCGACCGGTCGCATTAGCAGTGCCGGTGGCCCTCGAAGCTGGAGTCTTCGCTTTGCTGTTGGCGGCCTTCTTGGCAGCGGGCTTGCGCCTGGGGTTCGCGGAATCGACCGGGTCATACTCTTGCTCGTCTTGTTCTACTTTCGCGACCTTTAAGGGTCGCTTGTTAGCATCAGCAGTAGCCTTCCGCTTAGAGTTGCTAGAGCCCGTCTTGATCTTCTTGCTGGCAGTGCGGGTGGCAACGGGTTCAACCTCTTCCTCCTCCTCCTCGTCGATGGACGACGACCTGCGCTTTCGGGAGGTATTGGCGCGTTGCTGAGGCGTCTCGGCTGGCTGCTTAGGCCTGACCGGAGGCGCTTTTGTTGCTTTCGGGGCGGCAGTGCCTGTGGCTGTCGCAGCAGCTTCGTTCCTCTTGGCCCTTTGGCTAGGCGGCTCCTCGCCTGGCAATGTAGGCCGATCCAGAGGCGCAGTTGGTGCTTTAGGAGGAGCCGGGGTACCTTTCGCTTTCGCGGTGGTTGCTTGCCTCTTGGCCCTTTGGCTGGGCGGCGTCTCGCCTGGCAACGTAGGCCGGTCCAATGGCGCAGTTGGTGCTTTGGTGGCAGAGGACGCTGCGGCCTTCGCAGTAGCCTCTGCCTTCTGGGCCTTCTTGCTGGGCGTCTGCTTGGTGGTCTGCTTCGCCGGGGTGTCGTTGTCGGCAGGCGAGGCTTTGGTGGCTGTCCTCCTGGCGGTCAACTTTGGTGCTGCGGCCTTGGTGGCCGGCTTCTTGTCCTCGTTCGCCTTGGGCGCACCCTTCTTTGGGGGCCCCATCTCAAGCAGTTGGGTGGGGTTGTCTTTACTGGGAGAAAATGAGTGACTGATGGTGTCGTTTGGGGATGTGTCATCACCGTCTGTCAGCTGAGAGCAGTGGTTTGTGTCATGCAGTCTGTTTGTTCAAAGAAAAAGAGGCGAGTGCAGGCCCTTGGGGAAGTGGTATCTGGGAGCTGGGAGCTTGGGGACGTTCTGGATGCGGTAACAAAACAAAAGAGCATCGCGACCCTGGATCGGCCTGAAGCTCACCGTTTTAAGCCTAGCGAGGGACGGGAACAAGGACAGGGTCCGGAAACGTCCGCCCGTCTAGGTACTCTAGGTACCAGCTGAACCCACCCATTGGCCAATGGCGTCTGGTTGGGTCTATTCGAGCATCGTAGCATAATAGCAAACATTGGGGTGCAGGCCATTGTGTGAACAGCTCAACACATTTACAATACACCTTCGTCAAGTTCACTTGACTCGAGGCTTACAAAGAATTATCTCGCAAGACCATTCAGACTCCAGGACAATACACCTGCCCTGGAGCATGCCCGGGGAAATCCCCTTTGTGTGGTCGTATGGCGTCGTTTGTTTTCTTGGATCAACTTTCTGTGCCAGAAAAGACAGGGAGCAGGCACTCAGCCTGGCCGTTCATTCAAGGCAGTAAGGCAGCGGAATGTACATTTGTAGGAAGGAATGTGCTCCTATTTCCTCCTAGCCGAGCAGCCCTCGAGAAGCGGAATTCCTCCGGTGTACCTGACCTATCGTCTCTGCCTGCCGATGCTGTGTGTTCCTCTTGTCTCGAATCAAAATCCGTCCATTCCATTCGTGCCTGAATGCATTGTGCATGCCCAGGTTCAGTTGGCTTGCGTGTGCCACCAGCCGTTGTTGCAATCAACTATGTCTCCCAAGTACCCAGCCAACAGCTCCCACACATCCCCGCATTCAGCCACTGAAGGCCAAGGTGATGCTTTCATACATCCTGACACTCTCGAAACCGATCCATCTGTATTCCATTTCGCGCCGCACGCTGAGCGTCCCAATAATCCATGAACGGTCCCGTGGCTTCCTAAGGTTAGCTTCGCAGAAAGACAAGGCAGTGCGAGCATGAATCGTACCTAGGTACCGTGTGGTCTTGAAGAAACCCATTGGGTTCAAGAACTGATCTCATCCTGATCTGCAGGCTGATTCTCCTCTTCCATCTCTCCTGTATCTTTGTAGATCGAAGACAACCTCATTGCGCCCTTGAACGGTCCCTCGAGGTACTGGAAAACTCCAGCCTGTACAGTGACGGCTCGGCGCTGGTCTTCAGGGACAAAGAGGAGAGTAAGGTGCTTTTCCCAAACCTCGGTGACGTCTTTGATGAATGGCCCAAGATACCGGCGCTTGGCGTTGGAAGATCCTCTCAACCATGTCGTGTAGGAATGGGGCCCCGCGATCCGAATCCTCTGGACCTCCGAGTAAGGCACGATCCTCAGGAAAGCAGGGCGCATTGCCTGAGGCAAATGGTCGGCGTAGTGTGGCATGTCCTCCTCGAGCGGTGGAAGGACGATCGTGATGCTTTCGATCTCACGGCAGCATACAAGCACATGCTCAAAGAAGTCTGAATTGTAGGTTCTGGGGAGGTTCCTGCGCCAGCCAAGCTGTGCAAGGGCCGTGGGCGACGGGCCTTGTATCTCCAACAGGTCATAGCAGAATTGAGCCGAGATGGCGATGTGGCGGACCTGGCGCAGCGAGCTGCTGCCCAGCCTCACCCAGTCATTGTAATCGTCGATGTAGACCACGTCAGTTGTAGGAATATAGCTGCGTGAGCTGTTGAGTCGGCCGCAGCGACGCAAGACCTCCCGTGACTCGCAGCAGACGTGTCCTATTGTGAGATCCTCCGGAACGACTAGCTTGAAGGGAGCCCTTGGGGACTCGGACTCAGCCTGGGGTGCAACAATGCGACAGATGGGCTTCTGTCCGTCGGTGACGAGGCCGTCGATGAGGAGTGATTCGTCAATGGCGAACTCCCAGATTTGTAGACGCAGCTCGGCTGGGAGCTGTTGAAATCGATGGAATACCATTTTCGTTGCTGTTCCAGGGCTTGAAGGTTTGGTCAGCTTGAATGGGTAGCTCGAGACTGATGGATGTTCTAGAGATATACCTGGGTAGTTTGTAGTGGCTAAGCGAGGCGCGTTTGACAGACCAGTCCTGACTTTGACCAGCATCGAATTTGGTCAGCTCAGTCTTGAGTTTGACCAGTCTTGGATTTGCCAAGTCTTGGGAAATTGTGGAGGGAGGGGTTTGATACATTCTGTGTAGGTTTAGTGAATTCGTAACGTACCTTCGAAGTGAATGGGGCTCAGCTTCTGGAGCTCGTTTGTAGTTATCGACGCATCACAGGTAACCGATATTACATTTGCTACCGAGCCCTCTATCCATCCTTGGTGCTAATTCTAACACTAAACGGCCACTGTGAATGACGAAACTGAGAAACAAGATAGGGCCACCTCACTTGGCCTCAGGGGCCCCATTGCATCAGGCAACCCGTTCTCGTCATCCAAGAAAACGGCCGATCAGCAACTTCGAACAGATGTATCCATAGGAAGAAAGTTTGGTCTTAGCTGAACTGCAGGCAGTCAAGTCAACATTACTTAATGGAGCTGACAGAAGAAAAGTCTTGCGCATTTGCCCAACAGTCATGCACACAGCTGAAATCGTGGCTGGTGTTGAATATGGGCGTAGATGGGGAAACCCCATTATAGCATCTGCGCTTCAGGACGAACTTGTTGGCTTGTCTGTTTTGTCCTTGAGTAATGAGGATGTTCCTGCGGTCCATACTATGACCATTCCGAGTCCGTTTTGTGATATGGTATCCATGATTGTGCTAGTGGGCTTAAGTCTCATGATAAGTATGCTAGACTACAGTATTGCATAAGCGCTAATTATTCATGTTGGTCTAAAGACAATCAAGACAGTACATGATGCAAAGCAAAAAATGATACAAGGCAGGATAGGACGAAAGGCAGACAGGACGAAAGGCAGCAGAACATGACAGAAAGGACACCCGAGACAAAACCTAGCACGAGACAAAAAAGAGACATAAGATGAGAATCAGTCAGACGTTTTTAGCCTGCAGATACCACATCAATCACTGGACTGTAGGAAGCAGGCATGTAATAAATGCCTCCAAGTGTTGCCATCACAATAAATCCCAAAACAAGGCACCTACACACATGCAAACTTTGCTTGAAATTAATGTATGCAGACTGTCACCCCATCAATGCTCCAAAGTCGATCCTATTCGGAGGCATCGGTGTGTCCTTTGGCCCAATTGGTATAGAAGCCACGGATGATATCCTTAAAGAAGTGAGCGTCACGGTGTCTATCCTCCTGCTACTTGCGGGAGGCCTTCTTGTAGCTCATCTGGTCGATATCGTTGAAGATAGGAACGAAGTAGACCCCCCGCTGGAGCTTTTGGTAACATGGAACATCCTCATATCGAGGTTGAAGACGGCCAGAGCGGGGGTGGTATGCAGGTCCAGAGAGTCACGGCTGTCATATTTCTTGGTAAGGTGCTTCCTGTAGTGGATATCACAAGCCTCGCCGGTCAGGTTGGCAATATCAATGACATTCAGTAGCAGCTAGAATTACTTCAATGATCACTGCTGATAGCCTCCTGGTGTTATGGCTTGTATCCAGAAGAATGAGCAAGTGCCTTTCTGAATTCAGTGATGACTGAAATCATCATCACCCTTTGGATATCCTTTTACTACACCCCGAACATGCAATTGAGGAGTAGCATACGTCGACTTGTTTCCCAGTAGATGCTATTTATTATGCTATCTGGAAAATATATAAGTTGAAAGAGGAAGTGTTCTCTGCCTCCCCAAGAATTATATTGCGCGGTCTACATGCTAGTCCAGCTGTCAAACCTCTCCTGCATTCACAGCTGAGCCAGCCAAACCTTCCAACCTGGCAACCTTCAACCATTCCTTTGACCAGCTGGACCTGTCCACTTCCTTGACACAGAATCCGGATCAATCGGAACTGACCATCGACACCATGCCCATCACCAACAAGATCAAGCTTCGTACTGCCACTGCTACCGTTGACGATGACCCAGGCGGTGGAGATGGTGTTGGCTACCGCATCCGCATAATTGCGTTTCACGAGAACTGCAACGGAATTGTGGACCTCGAGCAAAACGAGGTCGATGAGAACACTCTTTGCGGTAAGCTTACCATTCCATATGCTCCTATATTCTGTCCTCCACCTTGAACCTCGTTAGAAGCATCTCGGTAGGCTTCATGACAGAAAGCTGATACACAGCAGAGACCCAGGACAGAACCTTCATCATTGACAGCCTGGCTGACCTAACCTACGGCGTACTCAGCGGTATGGTCGGTCGAATCATTGGGCGGAGTGGCGACCATGGCGAGGCACAGAACGCTTTTGCCAACATCATCCTCGTGTACGTTTACGACGACGGCGGCATTGAGCCTGAGCGCCTCGACGGCGGTGACGACCAGCAGCTCAGGGACATCATGGGCAGGGGAAGTGGCTTCGTGGACATGGTTTGGGATTGGGCCAACGGCGACCACAACTGATAGCGCCCAAACGCAGGGAAGCCCTGGAAAGCTCGATGGGTAGAGCGGGTTTCAGATACCACAATACAGTCATTGGTCTCTCAGGATAATGTTTCCCATTCCCCACAACGTGATGACTCCACCAGTAACCGAAACCCTTCCGCAATCTGTGGCATAAGCCCCTAGAGGATTCCCTCCCGTCATTGTGTGATGATCTCGCGTGGAACGAGCTGGTGTGGGAAGAAGTTGTGAATACTCTTCCTTGGATTGGCTGCGGGCCCGCCTGGTCAGATCTTCCCATGGGATAATCTGATTTGGTACAGCCTTCCAATCCCCGGGGGCCATCTGCGAGATATTAAAAGATAAGCGCTTGTTGGCAGCTGCTCATTGAGCCTTCTCTAAGTAGTCAAACACCTGCGAGGAGCTTTGAGCCGACGCGAACGGGACCCATCACGTGATGAATGGCCACAGTGTGTTTGCCCAGCTGGACGTGCAGCCCCTTGCGTAGAAGAGAACCACTTTGGGATTGTATGCTGCCTTGGCCAGGCCTCCAGATATGTGAATCCTGGAGCCGTCTGATGTCAGTGTACCAACGATGCCGAGGAGTGATTGTCCTTCCATCGGATCCTTTTGACACTGCTCGAATCATCTTTGCCGACCAGACGGGAGCATTCACAGTGAATCAGACGAAATGCTCTACAAGGCATCGGGTAGAAAGCTCATTTGTGATTGGAAGTAGGAATTCCAGCCAGGCAGGCCCAATTCTTCCTAATACGGGCCTTCTGGCCAATCCAAGTTCTAATTTGGGAATTGATTACCAAACCTTGACCCGTTCGCGTCGATAATGCTGCAGTTCATTATGTGCTGATCGCCAGGCCTGTGGTAGACACATTCTTTTATTAAGCTCCGCAGAACGTGGTGTAATCCAAAAGCTGCCCATCCACAAGGGCGCTGTTCTGGTCCCCAATACTGCAGATGTTCTATATAAAGAAACGCCCCAACATGCCACCGGGCGACGGGTCCACGCTGCCGGTACGTGTTTGCAGGTGACAGACGCACGGGGCAAATGGCAGCAAATGCTTAGCTGCAACGTCCGCTTTGACTGGTGCATGACGCGGCTACGTTGGCTTTTAGCCAAGGTTCGTGACTGCGGGCTCCATGGTTTGTATTGGACCCGATGTCGAGCCAGCGACGGAGCCGTCAAGCTAGAGAGGGCCAACCATGTTCTTCCTTCGGGCGTTGACCGTGAAATGCGCTGGGTAAGGTGTGTTCCGAGGTGCACCGTGTACTGTGATGTTTAATTTGCCTATTTTTGGGAATGGGCCCAAGCGACCCCGCGATGCTTGTTGTGGACGGTGACCCGTTGAGGGGACCAGCCCTAGCATCTCTGGTCCGCCGAGCTGTCAACGAGGTCAAACGTGTGGCCTGGCATGGGCCCAGCTGGGTCACTCACTACCTGGGTTCTCGTTGGTCCCGCAAAAGAAAAGCCCGGCCGATTTGCACCCACAAATAGCATTTGGTTGTACGGACAGTGCGTATGTAGGTAGTAGAGACGAGTTGCTGACCTGCACAGTAGATCTTTGGAGAGCGATGAGGTCAAGGTCCAGGGAGGCATCGTGCAGCGGGAAACGAGTGTTCCGTGGCTATATATTACTCCATGGCAACGAGCACGTTTCCCAGGACAGGGCAGACGATTGACAAATGCGATGCTACGGTGCCAGTTCCTGCTGGGCGGGACGGGCCACGACGTTTTGTGAAGCTGCCACTCTATTAGAGACTCTTGGCTCTATTCGATGCGTGAGACGGGTATCGTGTCGTCGTCGAGAACGCACACTGATTGGGTTCCCTGGAGTTGCACTGCAGCATGGAAGACAGAACTCCCGAGCAGAGTCGTCTCGCAGGGTAATATTTCCCTAGTGGTAGTGTGGTGTGCATGTTCAAGCTGGTCCTGTTTCCCTGAGCTGAGGCGGGCTGAAATTATTACAGTACAGCATGAGCTGCAAACTGCAGCAGCGTGGTCGACTGGGATGGTAGCTCCATGTTCTGGACCCTGCTTCAAGACCCACTAAGCTTATCTGGGCTGGATATATGTAGGGTGGAGGGGTTGAGGGGGAGGGGAGGGGACGCTAGACCCCACATGGACACCAACAGGGCCAAATCACAAGGTGGTGCTGAGCAGGCCCTGGCGGGACATGGACAATTTTTAAGCGCCGGCATCGTCCCCATCACACACCCACCAGCGAATAAGACGGCAATGTCTCCTGGCGATGGTGGTCTAAGAATAGACCCAACAAGCATGCTGGCATGCCCTTGGCAGCCTGCACGACCCAATCAACCCCCACCCAGGCCCCCCTTCTGCCGCCGGGCATCTCCTCTCGCTGCGAGCCTTGCCCACGCCGTTGAACCGGACGTCGCATTGTGCGAGTCACCTCGCGAAGTAGCGGTCATGGCATCGTAGCAGCGACGAGCAGGCAAGCGGGCACTCTCCAGCAACTGTGGCACCTCCCCCAGCCGGCCTTCCGATCGCGCCGTCAACGCCGAGAGAACACAACTCCAGCCATCATCGTCTGTCGTCTTGGCTCCTCGGCCTGCCGCATCACTCCCCTCCCCTCTTCCGGCTCCTGAGCCGGAGCCTGCATGGCCTCCCGCGGTGTACATTACACAGTACATTAGTCTGCTCGGTGTCGTGCTACCTTCGGTACCCAACTCGTTCGGGACGTCCCTTGTCTACCTTGTGGTCCCTCACCGGGTTGCCTCAACCTCAACTCCTGTCCTTGGGCTCCGAGTTGCAGAGTTTACTTGACACACGCGTAGGCTGCTGCCCGGCCCTGGACGAAGCACAACCTTCGTCAGGAGGCCAAGCGAAGGGCCATCTGCAACCCTTATGCAGGCCGATATTGGGGCCACTCACAAGGAGGGGGGCATACAACAGTACGGAGTACTTGCGCCTCGGTACCGCTCCCAGGAGACCACAGACCAGGCCCCCTGCACACCCTTGGACTGTCGATCGTCAACCACCGGCTTGGGCAATCGCCTGTTTTTAATCTAGTGCAGCTGCTCCTCTTGGACTTCACCACACCCTCACACAATCAGCCGCCGCCGCCTCACTCGCGGGCTGGATCTGTTGTTTCTGTTCCTATCTCCATCCGCTCAGTCTGCAAATCCCAACGCAGCACTGTCTGTTGTGGACCGAGTCGCCATCAGGCGGTACAACACAAGCAGCAGCTTGCCAAGGACGTGGGGCTCTCGAGGACCACTTCCCGAGGCCATCGCGCGCTCGCCTTGCGCCGGACAATCCGCACCGGGAAAGGGACTGATTCACTTCTGTTCCTGACCAGAACCTCGCTGCTGAATCCACTTTCGCTACCGGCCGCGGACACGTCGCACTCGCCTCTGTCCCATGCGCATACGTATATAGCCAGCGACCCAACAGTCGAGGCGCGCCTTGCCGGATCAGTCGTCATGAACGACAACCGCGATCCTAGGGCCCTCCGCCCGAGGCTGAACCCTTTGTTGACCTCGTCTCTCGGTCCCTACTCACATCAAAGCAACACCCCAATCTCCGCCATGTCGTACAGCTCCAACTCTCACAACGCCTCGACCCCATTGAGCGCAATCCAGCCGTACAACCCGCAAGAGTGGCTGCCTTCGCCAATGCCGGGCCCGGGGCCGGATAGGGGCCACCAGTTGAGCTCCCCCGACTCCACTGGTAATGATTGATCCTCGATATTGACCCCGACCACTGTCAACCAGCTAACGCGAGAGAGCAGGCTCGCCCCTCCCGCCTCCTCCATACTCTCCCCCGCGAAGCCAGAGACCGGCCAGCATGTATCTTGATGGGGCTCCTGCTGCCAACATGTCTCTGACTCGGGCACCTCTCCCCACGGTTCATCGTCCCTCACCCGAGCCCGCAGGCCAATCATTCCCGCCTCCTCCAAATGCTAGAGGCTCGTCTCGTGAGAGGCGGTTCGGCCTGCCATCTTTCGGTAGGAGAAGAGATCCAGAAACAACACCTTCCCCTGAGTCACTCGGCGGAGGCCATCGCCACCCATTCTCTATCACATCCTCGAGACCAAACCCTCTGAGTATTCAGATTCCACATGGACTTCCATCGCGGAATGGTAGCGATGCCTCGTCTCAAGGCTTGCCTCCAGGCTCTCGAAGGGCAGCCTCCACTGGGGCCATCGACACGCCAACCTCAGCTCGGTCGAGATCAGCTTCACAGACTAGGTGGAACCAGAGTCTTCCCTTGCCACCGCCGCCGCCTGGCCCTCCGCCTGCCCAGGCTCGGTCTCAAAGCACCAGCAGGAACTTCACTAGTGGTAGCGATCCTGTCGCTTCACCGCCAACGAGGCGGCCGCCCCCGAGCGGTGTCACAGCTCTGGGACCGGTGCCACCTACACCTGCCAACTGGGTGGATGAGGAGCGGACCGCTCCTGAGCCTCAACCCCGGCCCCAAGAACCTGTACGACAACGATCTTCATCCATTGACCCACATCCGGTCCGGAGGGTTGATAACAGCCCGGAAGCTGAGTCCTCAAGCAGCCCGAACGCTGCCTTAAACAGGAACAACGCTGTTCGAGGCGACAAGACTCTGCGAGAAAGGCGTAATGAAAGCCGTACGAGGTCCTCACGTTTGTCGATTGATGGGTCCATTGCTAATATGGATGACATCGTTGTCCCACCACCATCTGGCGGGCTCTCAAGGAAGATGACCATCGGCCGAGGGACTCCGAAAAGTGCTGGATTTTCTCAAACCACGCCACGCAGTGCAGGGCTGGGGGATAAAGAAGAAGAGAGCAGTGGCTCAACGCCGCGAGCCCATGACTCGGCCAGGGGACAATCAAGCAAGCAAATCTCGACTCCACCATTCTCCCCCCGACCGCTGGAGTTGCAGCAGGCACCCACGAGTTCGTCATCAGTGGCTCCAAAAGCCTTGCCCACGCCGCCCCCTCATAGCCGATCTGCGTCAGCTTCCAAAGCGAGAATGACACTTGATCATGTGTTGGCAACACCAAAGTCTGTGAAATCGATCAACAGGGACTCGGTGATCAAACAGAACCCCGAACAATTTTCAATCGAGACGGTTGAGAGGTTTCAGATCTTCGCCCAGGAGGAAGCGGCAGCAGCCGATGACGCAGAGAGAGTCCGTCTCTTCGCCGACTTCATTGTCAATGAGTCTAGGATCAGGAGAGAACGATACTCCGCAGCCATCGGCGCCATGGGCTCGGAAATATTCGATTTGACGCGAGATCTATTCCGTCCCATGGTTAATCGGCGTGAGTCAACAACCTCGCACGGAAGCGAATGGACTCCGCAATCATCACTGCCTAGCAGGTCGCACCGCGGCTCGATAGGGTCTGCATTCCAGGGTGAGAGCTCGAAGCAAGGAGAGTCGAGCTCGGCTCCTCCCTCAGCAAGTTCCGTCCCAATGTCGCCCACTGGTCCACCGCCGAATAACCCAAATTGGAACACCGACTACCGACCGACACTGTCCCCCATTCTGAGCATGAGTGTGAGCGACAACCACGACGGAGATTCTCGCGGCCGTCCCCCGAGCCGCTGGTGGGAGTCTGCATCTTCTGGAGAATCGACGAGATGGGAGAGAACAAAGAGGGAATCCAAGTACATGAGCGTGCCGAAGGAAGCCCGTGAGGCTCTTCAGTGGCTAGACAGCCCCGGAGAGTCCAGCGCGCGAGAGGCCTCGAACGAATATCCACCGGAGAAGCAGGGCTGGCACGAGCAACAGCCGGATGAGACCTACCAACAATTCACCCCTCAACCTACGCGGACTTCGTTGCAACAGCAGTCTCTTTCCCTGCCCAACACTCCAAATCCGAACTACTCTGACATCTCAAGACTGGTCACGCTTCCACCGCCTTACCCACGCCACCACCCAGCCGTGAACAATAGTCACCCAGATCTCGCCGAGATCCGAACCTCTGTGCGCACCATTAGCGATCTTGCCGAAGTTGACGCAACCAAGGATCGCTTCAACCGCGACAGCCGGGCTCTCCGTGACGAAGCCGAGGCAGCAGCAGCCAAGCGCCGACAAGCCCTCCGCGCCAACCTTCAGCAGGAAGTCGGGCTAGGGCGGATGACATACAGCGAGGCCGCAGCCATCGAGGCAGACTCTGACGAGAGCGAGAAGCAGACCTCCAAGGAACTCGAGAAGAAGGACTTCGACCGGTTTCAGACCGCCGTGGTGGTCCCGCTGAACGACCTCCTCACGTCGCGCATAACAAAAGCCACGCAGCTCTTCGACGAGCTCCGGTCACGGCTGTTCGTGGAGACGAGGGAGCCGAACCCCAACATGCCACAGGAGGAGGGCGACGAGCACCCGGAGCTGCTGGAGAAGCTGACGCTTCTCAAGTGGATCTTCGAGGCGCGCGAGCTGCTGCACCGCGCCGTGTACGACCTGCTCTCGGACCGCAACGACCGGTACCGTGAGATGGTCATCACGCCGTACCGGCTGGCGGGCAACGAGGAGAAGATGGCGCACGCGTCGGCCTTCTTCGCCGAGGACGCGGGCAAGCGCGCGCTCGCCTTCGCCAGCGAGGTGCTCCAGCGCACGAAGGAGTTCCACGACGTGGTCGAGGAGAACGTCGTGCGCGGCGTCGAGGTGCAGCTTTCGGCGTTCTGGGACATTGCGCCGCCGCTCTGCCGGCTGCTGGATCGTGTTCCGCTCGGGCCTGGGCCGGGAGGCGAGGATGAGGAGGGAGCAGAGTGGGACGGCCGCACGCTCGCCGACTTTCGCATCCAGATCCCGCAGGCCGAAGTCGTCGAGAACCCGAGCTACGTCGACCACCCGCTGCAGTACTTGTTCAGCCTGCTGCTTCACTCGGAGAAGTCGACGTACCAGTTTATCGAGTCGCAGACGAACCTGTTCTGCCTGCTGCACGAGGTCAAGGAGGCCGTGGTCGCCGCGCAGGCGAGGGTGATGGAGGAGGACGGGCGCGGCAGGGACGAGGTCGAGGGCATGAAGAAGGAGGAGGGCCGCAGGCTGACGCACGACCTGCAGGAGAAGGTCCGCATCGTGCAGGACCAGTGGAAGAGCGCCCTCGGAGACAGGGTCACGCACGTCAAGGAGCGCGTCGGCGGATGGCTGCTCGAGACGGGCGGGTGGGACGAGAGCCTGGAGGAGAGGGGAGTTGGGTCCTTGTGAAAACAAAGAGAGGGCAGGCCCACGCGGGCGCCGGGGGAAGGGGAGAGTTGAGGAGAGCTGAGAAGTAGACGGAGGATGGTGGGCGGGTTTTGAGTTGACACGATACCCCCTTACGCTTTAACGTTATGAGGCACGGACGGACGCATTTCACTTCTTGGGTACATATTTAGACCTTGCCTGCTACTTGCAGGTCTCTTCTTCTATATAAGGTGTCGGACGTGGTGGGAATAGAACAAATGATATCTCAGTCGCTATGGTGTACCGTAGCATTTGTATGGGAGTACCCGGACAAACAACTGTGATGACCCAGGTTAATTAATGCACGCCTTTCCTGTATGATTAGGGATACGACCATAAGCCTCCAGGTCTCCTGCAAGAAGACCCGGCACATCAAGCACAGTTCTCCCCTTCTCTCGAATCTGTGCCCAAACATGACTTTAAAACCCACTGCCGCCGCGAGAGTAGCACCCAAGTCGCCTCCTTAAGGCCACCTGTTTCGATGGCAATGTTGTTACATCAAAAGGAGTAAATTCTCTTGTGTGACCATAATACCAATTCGAGAGTGTGTAGTCAGTGGTCAGAAGAGTGCGAGCATGAAGACAGCTTGCCATGAGGCACACCGCTCTACCTAGGCGTAGTAAAGGCTGATCTGCTCCAGCTATTAACTTGATTGAGTACTAAAGTAAAGCTCGAAGGCATCCCCTAAAACAATGAGAAGCTCATGGGTATCCGCCAGGTATCGTAAAAGCAAAATCAATGTTGTGAAAGACCCGCGTCATCACAAAGTACAACATGCTGCCGTGCGCCCACGAGTCCGTTCCAAGCCACGTTGCGCCTAAATTATGCAGCCGTCTCCTTATCCATCAAGTTCATGAATGCCAACCTGTAAGCAAACCACGACTGATGCTTCGTCAGCAAGAAGCTTCTGTATCGTTCCACCTGCGCCTTCTCGCCGCTATTTTCACCAGAACCCGAGGATGGAGCTCCTGATTTCTGCCTTCGATCGTAAGCCCTGACCTTCCTCAACTTATCGTCGTCCTCATCTGTCCACACCCCTGCCGCGTTCTGAGGAAGTCCTTTCCCGGCCGCGAGTGATTGAAGCGCAACAGTCATGGGGCCACGCTGGAGAGAGGCCACTTCCATAGCCTGTCCGATGTGACGCGTGTCATATCCAAAGGCCAAAAAATGCTCAAATTGGGCATCGACATACTCCTCGCCGAAATCGGGACTAAGGGATTTGTCTTCGTTGCGTGCTGGGTCTGGGGCTGGCACTGAAGAGGTGGGAGGTATTCTTGACAAGTTACGCGGTTGCGCTGACGACTGCACAGGCCGTGTGGGTGTTGCAGACATTCTTTGCCTGGACCTTTGCATGACAACATCAGGGCTGTGGACGGGAGCTACAGCTGTGGGTCGAGCTACAATCGGCGGCCTCGACTGCAGAGGCGGTGCGGCTACGCCGTTTCGTATGGGTGCTGAAGCAGGAGGGCGTGCAGCAGCGGAAACAGCTGGCTGTGCCTGATATTGCTGTGGCAGTGACCGCTTCGTAGCCTTCAAGGTCGAGGCCCGGTTGTGTGCTGTGCCGCCTTTGGCAGACCCATTGGTAGTTGCGGTCCCGGAGGCAGAAGTGTGTGTGTCCTTGGCCGGCCTTCCCGGTGGCCTAGGCCTAGTCTCCACGAAAGGCGGTCGACTTGCAGACGCAGTGCCGTTGCCTCTGATTGGGACAGGATGTGCAGGGCTTGAAAAGGCATGAAATTCAGACTGAAGTTGCTGTGAGGGGCTAATATCATCTTCGTCTGTCATGTAGCCAGTGTTGGTTTCTTCGGTGGACAGGCGAACATCGTCACCGTCCACAACAGCTCCGAAATCCTGAGTCTCAGGCTCGACAAATCTCTTTTTCCTTGGAGGCGGAATATCAGGGAGGTCATCGATCTCTTGGATGTCATGCATACCATTGTTCAAAAAGTCGTCTACATCGTCCACCGAGTACACGCCGTCGCGTCCTGTAGCAGCTCCTCGAGACCTCAAAGGCGAGGAAAAGCCTTGCGCCGCGGCGCGACTGCTGGTTCCTGCTTCCAATCCGAGCTTGTGGTCCGGTGTTTGCGGAATTGCCTTCCCCCGATCACGCCGTCGCCGTTTACCGGACCCGTCCGAAGGATAACCAAGTTCCGATTGCGGATCAGTTGACTGCTGAAAGGATCGTTTCACGCCTGCGACCGGTGAGGAAGATCGGTATGGGGGCGATAAGCGGGCTGGGGAAGGCTCCTTAGGCGCGGTCATAGCATCCGATGTTTGGGGCAGCCCCTGTTCTTCGTTGTCGTAGGTCGCTTGTTCTTCTTCGCCCCTCGCCGTGTCATCTTGATCATCGGAGGAGCCGATGGCTTCTTCGAACTCTGCAAGATTGCGATCGTAGCACTCTTTCAAGTCCTTGACGCATCCTGTAGAGCTCGTCCAGTCGAAGCCAAGCCGCTGTGCCACCTTCTTCCAGTCACGGTCCTCGACCGCACAGTCCTGTTGTGTTGCAACCGAAAACAGGTCCCACAGCTCAACCTCGCGCCCATCGACGACAGGGTGACGCTCAATCTCGGCGCCACTCACTTCAAGGTAATCTTGGAGATCTTCGTAAAACTGATCTCTGAAGCTCGAATCATTCCCGTCCACTTCTGGGTTCAATTCCTCCTGGGCGTCCTCGTACTGTTCGGCGTATTCGTCCTGACCGGCCTCAAGTGGCTCGGAATTTGCCTCCAGAGAATCAAGTAGTCCCTCGGCTTTCCTCATTCGTAGTAGATAACCCCTCATGAGAGCCTGTAGAGGCACAATAGAGGACTCAAGCTGTGCACGATCTCTTCTGACGACATGTCCTCTCCATGTTCGTTGGAGCAATTGCGCGGCCCGGGCTCTTCTCCTCCTCTGTTCCTGTCTCTTAAGCCTCTCATCATCGGACCTCGGTCGTAGTAGTTGCGGTGTGGACTGTGCTGGTGACAAGACTCCTGCTGATGACAAAGCCATCGTGCTCTTAGCTTGGGTCTGAGGTGCTGGGACATCTCGAGATGGCCCTGGTTGCTGCTTGGACCGCTCCGCTGGTTCTTCTGTTCTTCCTTCTTCGTTCTGCACCCCTAAGTCGTCTTGCTCGGCCGAGGCGCCAACATTCAAGTGCCTTATCCACCGGTTACGCCAAGATTTCCATGGATGACGATTTGGATACTAAATGTCGAGTTAGTCGGATATCAAATATGTGCAGACATAGACACATGTGATGCAGGGACAAAGACTTGCCTTTGCTTCCAAATCTTGAAATATCTTGTTTCCGTCGAGATCTTCACGTATGCCTTGAGCCGCGGCAGTCTCGCGTCTCTCCCGGATCATTCTTAGCAATATTTCGTCATCTTCGTGGGTGAACTTGTTTCTGCCTTGGGCTGTCGCCTGCTTTTTGGGCGTCGGAGCTGGAGACCCGGTAGGTGTAGAATGCACATTTGATGGACCGGCTTGCGACTGTGGCGGACCACCAACCGAGCTAGGGTGATGTCCAGGTGAGCCTCGCACTCCGGCATCCAGCTGCGGATCCTCTTGAGGCAGATTTGGACGTGGTCGATTGGAGACGTATTTGACCCAGCGATCCCTCCAGGACTGCGCTGAGTGATGATCATACTGAGAAGGTATCAGTAAGCGTCAATGTCTGAGCGACTGAACATTTCGTGGGCGGCGCTCACCTGTTTATAGAGATCCTCAAAGATGACGTTGCCCCTGGTAGCATTACCCTGTCTCTCGTGGTTCAAGACGAACTTCGCCAAGATTTCGTCGTCTTCTTTGGTGAACTTAACACGTTGTTTGCCCTTCGCGGGCGCGGAAGCCCCGGCTGCTGGGACACCTTCGATTCGGTAGTCGTCCTTGGGCTGCAGGAAGCCATTCTTAACCGAGTATTCGATCCATTGCCACGAGTATGAGTCGGAAGGTGGAGCAACACCTTTCCTCTTGATATGGTCGGCAATGAGCATGTCGGCCTGCTTCTCCAGCTTGACCACCTCGCCTCCGTTGCCCTGCGGTTGTCAGTTAAACGGCCACCACCCACTGCAGGATGAAACGTCTCAATCTTACCTGGACAAGGTTGACCCATCTCTCCCGTTGAGGCACACGAAGAGAGATGAAGAGCTTCATCCCCATGAACAGGTCGCCATGACTGCTGCCTCTCGTGCCGTCGTACACGGTGGGCATCGTGGTTGTTGCCGTCCTCGTTGTCGGGCAGGACGGGACCCTAACCCTGGGTAGTGATGGAGAAATTCTGCTTCACGTCGGATATCGTTTGAAATGTTGTCTTCAGTGTCAAGAGAGGGAAGCCTCAGGATGATGTTGAGATGTTGGGGGAGAGAGCACAAATGTAGCAGTCGTAGGCTGTTGGTGAAACTTAATTGTGAAAGCAGGCGGCGGGGAAAAGGCGTGCATGAGACGGTGCTTTCTCTTTGTGACATGAAAAGGTTGACTTGGGAACCGGTACCGATGGGAAGGTGCGTTTTGCCACGTTCAAAGAGGGATCCCTCAAAAACCAAGACTTTCCGCTCCCATTCTATCACTTCATGGCGTGCAACATCGCTCAATAAATATGAACCGTGGCATAGTCATCGAGATTTCGCGCGGGTTTCGCACACCAGAGATAGTCACACCTCGATCTCGGTTCCTGCGTGATGGCGACGCGTGACAAGGCTGCTGTGTGTCGCGCTCTCACGCGAGGCCCGTGCCCCGCTTTTACCCGAGGAGATGCATGTATCGGGGCGAGCTGATGCCAAAGTGCGACTAAAGACATACGGGAAGACAGGCTACCAGAACAGCACATGCTGTTTTCTGGCTGAGGATTCGATTCTCCCCTTCAACGGGGCCACCCTCTGCACACCTCCCACTCACCGGGCGTTGAGACCGGATGGGTGCTTTCGACAGCTGAGAGTGTGATTCAGACCGGCACCCCCAGCCTGACAGCTCCGCTTCACTCCTCTCTCCCCTGCTGCTTGCTTCAGCTGTTAACGTCGTCCGCCTCATGTGACAGCGCTCATAGTCATCACCGTCTACTCCCCTGGCGGCGTGCCTGGGATAAATTTAGCTGATAGCAGTCTTCACACTTACGGTCATACTCACACAATGGTCCTGGTGCCATCTCTTTTGGATCCGACGTAGCCGACACTATGGGGACCTTTACCACCATCGCACTTCTGGTGCTCTTTATCTCGTTCATGACATTCGTAGCCTTCTTTGGCCGTCTCCCAGCCCTCAGGTAGGGATAGATATAGCACATACCTCACAGCTGTGAGACATTCTAGGCTACCGTAGCTGACCTGCTGCTGCCAGACGCACCCCCATAGCATGGCTTCACCGGTTTCTGTGGATCACACTGCCAAACTCCCTCCTGACCCTGGACCGGAAGATCACCTCCGGCCGTCTGTCGTCTTCCATGCGCCGGTTTGGCAACTACATGATGTACGACAGACATCCGACCGTGCTGATATTCTTTCTATCACTGCTCGTCGGTGGCGAATACATGTACCTGCCCACCGTGTGGCCACAGCTGGGCTCCCTCCAGAAGGCCCTCGCCGTCCCAGCCATCGCCTGCCCATATATATTCCTGTACCTCGCTACAGCATCAGACCCGGGCTACATCACACCGGAGAACCACGTGAAGCAGATGGCTCACTACCCTTACGACTTCGCGCTGTTCCACCCAGGCTCGCACTGCCGCACATGCCAGCTCCTCAAACCCGCGAGGTCGAAGCACTGCGCCATCTGCAAGCACTGCATCGCGAAGGCGGACCACCACTGCATCTTCATCAACGGCTGCGTCGGCGAGGGCAACTTGCACTGGTTCATCCTCCTGCTCTTCAGCACGGCCGTGTTGACCGCTTACGGCTCATACGTCGGCCTGTCCCTGCTTAGCGCCAAGATGAAAACGCGTCACCCGGACTTCTCCATCTGGCCGCCTTCTGCTAAGGGCTATACGTGGAGCTCGTACTTTGTCGTCTGGACCTGGGGGCTGCAGGATAATGTTGGCATGGGCAGCGTGACTATGTTGACGGCACTCACGTCCCCGCTCGTGTGGGGACTTTTCGTGTACAACTTCTACATGGTTTACGCCGGCACCACGACCAACGAGTCCATGAAGTGGTCGGACTGGAAGCTCGAGATAGACGAGGGCTACGCCTTCAAGCGGCGCATGAGCCTCACGCGCGAGAAGGACCTTCGCATCGAGCCCGCGTGGACTAGGTGGCCGTCCGAGGCGGAGCAGATCATGATCAGGACCGAGAGCGGGAACCCACCCAGGGCGGACAGCACTAACATCCCCGGCGTCGGGGAGTGGGAGCGCCCGACGAGTCTGCGAGAGGTGGAGAATTTGTACGATCTCGGGTTCTGGGAGAATCTGCGCGAGGTGTTCTGGCCGAGGTATCGCTTCTCGGGTGGCGGAATACCGGTCAGCGAGCTGATTCGAAGGAACGGTATGAAAAGGATGAAATCATGAGGTGGAAAAGTTGGTATCCGTCAAATATGGCGTTTGCAGAACAGTGGGTAGATTAAATGCATTTTTAATTTTATTGTTTAGATAGCGGGAGCAGAGCATGATCGTCCCAATATCCTAGAACGAGGCCTGGCCCAGATGCCTCCTCGCCTTGGGCCGCTCCATAGCTGCCTCCATCAGACCCATTTGGTCGACGCGTTGCCTTGCCCTCCAGGGCCTTACTCTTCCTCGCCCTACTGGCGCTTGAACCTGCTCTTCGGGCTCTTGGATCTCGACAGCGGCCTGGCTTTCAGGCGTCGGTATTGAGGACGGCGACTTGGTGAACACCAGCTGGTCGAAAGGCACAATTTCCGGCTCCGCCACCTCGAACTTCCTCACGGGAGTGGGGAGGTGGCCTGCGAGCCTACATATCGACAGCCTCGCACCATCAATGCCCATACCACCGAGCTTCGGGTCGCCAGCACCCGTGATGAAGATCTCAGGGTTCCAGCCGTCGCCCTCGAACCAGTCCATCTTGCCCGCCTTCTCCACCGTCCTCATCTCCTGCCAGATATGCAAGCAAGCCTGCCTCAGCGGCCCGCTGTTCTCCCACACGAAGGCATCTGTGTCATTCACCAGCTTATCCGCCTTTGTCAGGACCACACTTGTCTTGAGCCCCGCGTCCCGCAGTACCTCCAGCACCATGCGGTCGCCCTGCTTGACACCGGCAACCGCATCGATGAGCAGGATGGCGCCGTGTAGGATCTCCCTACGGTTGAGATACTTCAGGATCTCCTCACCCCAGTCGGCGCGCGAGTTGAGCCCGTACCCAGGCATATCTATCATGACCAAGCTATGCCGGGGCATGGGCTCCCTCCTCTTCCCCTCGGCGGACCTGCGCTCTGCGCGCCCGCGCCCGCCCTCCTTGCGCGCCTCCTGCTCCGCCCTGGTCAGCGGCTTCGTGGAAAGCGGCGGGCCGAAGCCGTAGGCGTTCATAGTCTTGGTACAACCGGCCTTGGCGCTCGTGACGGCGATGCCGGCGCGGTTGTTCTTGGACCCGTGGCTCGCGCCTGCCCGCTTGCCGCCCAGCCCGGCCAGCGCGTTGATCAGCGTCGACTTGCCCACGTTGGACCGCCCCAGCACGCACACCTCCGGGATGCGCGTGTTGATCGGCAGGTGCAGGAAGCGCGGCGCCGAGTAGAGGAACTTCGGGCTGCTAAAGAGCGAAGCGGACCGTGTGAGGTCGAAGGGTGGTGTGTCGAAGACGAGGTGGGCGACGGGCGGTTGGACGGGAGCCGGGGAGGGATGGAAGGAGAGGGCGCGTGGAGGGGCATCGTCGCGGCTGTGGGTTGGAGGGGAGGGAGGAGGTGGTGGTGGGCGCGATGGTTTGGCCGATTTCGAGTAGGGTCGCCGGCTGCAGGTACAGAGGGGCACGGCAGACTCGAATCGGGGCCCAGCCATGACTGCCTGCAGGAACACCGGCCGTAGGGCTGGTGGCATGGCCAGCAGACTGGCTATACCTCGTGGGGGCATGTTCGCATGTGAGATGCGACTTCACCACGTGTGCAGCTCAGGGGGAAGCGCGGCGGCTGAGATGGTGTCTGCTGATGGTCAATGTCTCTGAGGAAACGGCCCCAAGAAAATTCGCCTGTGACGACAGTGGGTGACCTCCGGCAGGCATGACAGCTCCTGCGCAGAGCTTCCGGCGGGCAAAGCTGGGACCCCTGTAAGTGCAATTCTCCGCTTGGACTTCACCTTCGGATTCATCCGGCGCAAAGCTATCGCCATAATCAACTTCTTCCTTGAGTTTGGTTGAGTCTTGCTAAACTGCGACTTCGCTCCACGATACTCTACGGCCATGTCCTCCTCAACAGCACCACGGCTTCGCGCCCTCTACCGCTCGTTCCTGCGCGAGCTACCGCCCCGACCGATCCTCTCTAAAACGCCATCGCCGCTCCACCAGCGTCTCCGCGAGCACTTCCGCCCCGAAAAAGCCCCAGAACAGGCCGTCGCGCAAGCAGAGCAGTACCTCGCATACATCCGCGCACAGAGGACGTACGTCACACTGCTGGAGAGGTACAACCCCGGCATGGGAATGGACGAGGAGGAGCGAGTGCGGTTGACCGCGAAGAGGGTGGGCATGAACCTGCCCGTCGAGTTCGGGAAAGAGAAATGATTCTTGCCAATTCTATTGAGCAACTATCTTTATCATACATGGTTGGAAAACTGACCACATCGCGACGTGGCTTCCGGCCCTTTGGCGACCATGCTTGGCACAATCGACGTGTCTCGACGGTCCGCGGCTGGGAGAAGAGGCTACGTCGGTCCCCTTGCTGGGGAATGAATCGCGGGTCGAACGTCAGACCTGAAGAGAGGAGACCACCGCCATGAGGGATGCCCGGGCGTCGCTTGCACCTATCCGGTGCCGGAAGACATGATGGGATGGAAGACTTGAAGCGGGAACATGGATTACGGGTCGGCTCGAAGTCACAAACGCGCTGTATACTGGACTTTGCGATGATGGTAACATACTGCGAGAAAAATTAGCTGTTGCTCGAACCGGGGGGCGCTTAGGCATTAAGCCCATGCACGGATATGGAATCATCAGTGAATAGAACAGTCCCTTCGGGCCTCTTGATGTGTTCTCTGGGCGACTACTTCCTTCGCATCGTGAAAGCTTTGTCAGTGTTCCCACCCGGGCCTCCTTCACCATGATCGAAATGACACTCTATCTGTAGTCCAGAGGTCCAAATATATTTTGAATATGGTGATTCGCACCTGTGCACAAACGGAGGGTACACCGGTACATCGCCACCTCTGAACCACGTAAAAGTTCACACACCCAGCACCCACACCCAAAACCCATACCCAACACCTACACCTACACCTAACACCCACACCCACACCCACACCCACACCCACACCCACACCCACACCCACACCCACACCCGACACCCATACACCCAACACCCACACGCCCAATTTGTACGCCTAATTCGACTTGAGCGTGTGGGTGTTGGGTATGTGTGAGCGAATTAGGCCTGGGTGATGCGCTCTGAGTAGCTACAGCTATGGCGTGAGTTGATGTACTGGTGTACTCTCCATTTTCGTAGATGCGACTCTCTGATTTCTTTATTTTAGCTGCTTTATTGTGAAATCCGTATAAGCGCCGGTAACACTGATGTCTTTCTCAGGGTCATACTTCTCCAGACCCTCTAACGGCGCGTACTTCTCGATCAGGTACACCATGTCATTGTATGCTCTAGGCGTGAGGCTCAGTAAAGATTTCAGCTATCTTGGAGGGATCAAACTGACATTTGCCGCGATCGGCTTCCAGGGTGACCCGCTGAATCATTCAGGTATGGGTGCATGCTGTACAACCGGTTTCGATCGTCCCACTCGTCGACTGGCTCGGATGGCTTGATGTAGCGCTGATACATGCGCATGTATGCCGGCGAGTTGAAATAGGATGCCCATGTGCACCGCCACTAGAGTTTCAAGAAATTAGCTTGGCTGATTCTTTTGACATGGTTAAATCAGATTGCGGGGACTGACGGTGCCGAATTCCATCTCATTATGCGCATCTGTGCAACCTGGATCGAAGACGAGGATCTTTCCTGTTTCCGTATCCCTTCCCACATTCCTCTCCCACAGGTCTCCATGTACGAGCGTCGGCTTGATGTCTCTGCCCTCGGACTGCAGGGCCCCAAGGAGGCGTGGAATCACCGCGTCGATAAGCTGCTTGCAAACGACATCGTACTCTGGCCAAGGACCGTTCGCATCGTTGTCATACTTGATGACGTCCTTGAGCTGGAGTGTGAACGACTCGGCCCAGCTGCCTGTCGAAGTCACGGTTCTTTCCATGCGACCGCAAACAACCGGTACGGGATACCCAAACATTCCGTTGGGCGAGGTTCCTCGCTTGTGGAGCTCTGCTACGACAGTCATGATCTCGTCTGGCTTGGGGGGCGATGAAAAGTCCATGTCGTGGAACACGCCCAGGAAGAAGTAGGTTGTCGTCCCCTGGTCGTCATATTTGCCCCATACGATGGCTTTGGGGCCACAGCCCGGCACCACCCTGTTGACGTTTGTCGCGGAGTGGTACTCGCCCTCGGCCAAGGCTCGAGCGCTTTGCCCCGTGGCGCATTTCAAGAAGAAAGAAACAGCGGCCCTTTGAGCCGAAATTCCTAAATGTATTTGTCCTGAAGATTCAAGGAGAACGGCAACGAAGACTCCATGTCGTTTTACGATTGGTGAATCACAACTCCTAGACAGTCAGGCGTGGTCGTCGAGTTGCTCACCATGGGGTCCCAGTAACCGCTCAGGTGCAATGACGGTCTTCTTGTTTTCACTTCCGACACCCACTTTAGCCGCTAAGGAGGTCATAGTAATGGTCAAGTCACTACATCTATGAATAGGTGGAGCTGTCATTGGTTCAATGTACAGTGTTGGTGGTTGAGATGCACCAACATCCAGGCCGGCCCAATCCCGGCAATCCTCTAGAATTACAAGGATCTGCTATTTATTCCCAAGTATTCTACTGATGAGACGGCAAAGAGTTTGCATACCGGCAGTGTCATTTTAGGTCTAGAGCTCTGGCACGATATGTTTGTGAGACCGTCAATTTATGTGCCCTTGAATTTTGCAGCACGGAGCATAGGCAGGCTCATCATCAAAGAGGTATGCGGCCAGCAGGATCCGGAACATAAAGACTTCTTTAATTCCTCCAACTGTGAGACCAACTTGCTTGCCACTGCTATCGCTGCATGCACTTGACATCGAGTTTGAATATAATAATAGTCCGCGGTGGTCATCAATTCTCAGCAGTATGTGCCTAAGTCTAGCGTCCGCCTCACTCGTCCTTCGGGCGGTAAATGAACCATTTCGATGCATTGCACCTAGACTGGATACTTTACGATTCAATGTGACTCTATGGAGGCTTTCAGATTGAATAGTAATCAGATCACGATATCTGAAAAGCATTTTGCGGTACTTGGAGGTCGAGGAGAGTTGTGAAGGCTATGAACACAGACCGCCACAGACGTGGGTTGCAGCCCAATGACATTGGTCCTTGTACATCGTTTGGTAGTTAAATACATATTCAATTTTCAAATGAGTTCTCCTTATATTAAAACGCCTAATGAGACCCCCCGTTACTTGAATGTCGATACGCATTGTGATCGGTGTCTCATCAGACACTTGAGCAGCACAAAGCATGCCAGTACTCAATTAGAATTTGGATGGCCTCAACGACGAGGTCATCCACTTTAACAAAACAAATCCCAGAGGCATATGGACCATCAGTACCAATCGATTCTTTTCACAGCTGAGCAGGACATGCCAACGTACTGGATTATCGGTGGCCTAAACAATGTTCAATGGCCTACGGACTATCGCCAGAACGTTGAGGATGTTTTCACACGTCAACTAACAGCACAGCCCAAAACTTGTCTGCTCAGTGGTCACACACGGCAACTACCGGGCAATCAGTTCGGTGCCATGACATGGCAAAGTCAGCTTGGTCCGTAATTTTAAACGCCGCGCCTTTCCAAGAAGTGCGAGTGTCTGGTCAACTGAGCACTCCGCCCCAGTGTTGGCTTTGATATTGCTACCAAGAGCTACTGAGGAGGGCGTTAATTTCCTTTGTGTTCAATACAGAACTGTTCCTCCCGGTTCGGAAAGCTACTTTTACCAGAATGGTCAGATGAGTGCGTACCGGAATTCTCGGGTCTCCAAACCCGCCGTTATGCGTGGAGAACAAGGTTCGCCCGGAAAACCTACAGACACCACCCAAGCAAAAATTTGGCGAAGCCCATCTCATTCAATGTATTCAGAGCGGCCACTGGGATTATCTGAAAACCTGCTAGTAGAGTTCACGACTAAATTCACAAGGGCCTTGGAACACGAGGTGTGGTTGCCCATGAGAGAAGCAGATGGCGTTGAATGACGCTTCGATACGGCGCCACGAGTCGTGCTATTTGAATACAAAGAGCGACGTCTTCCATACTAGCCAGAATGATGATGAAAATTCGATATCTTCAACCAACGGTCCCTTCGTTTGTCCCTCTAACTCAAGTCTATCATTCACCACAACCCCAAATTCCCTCTCGCACCGGAAGGATGCAATCACCAAGCTCTAAAGTACTCTTGGCCAGTCTGATGGGCATAGTGGCGGCCTCCAACGTGGACACCACACCAGATTCACACCTTGTCTATAAGCGATCAAGCTGCGAGGCTCGCAATGTTTTCTTCCACTTCAACGACTCCTCCATCGGAGTCACACCCTCCTGCTCATGGAACGTGATCAACCTTGGTGCTCTGAGCATCTCGCAGGACAACCTCCCGCGTGCCTTATCTATAAGACAGAGCACAAATTGCACCGATGGCCCCATCACAAACTACACCGTAGTGGCTGGCGATTCTCTTGAAAAGATTGCAGCGACATTCGACAGTGGCGTGTGTGACATCGCAGCCGCTAGTGGTGTCGACAATCCGAACTTCATTGAGGTAGGCCAGGTCCTGACCGTCCCGACCGACCTCTGTGAGCCCGACAATGACAGTTGCATCACACCACCTGGGTCAAGACCATGTGTGCCGGAGGAAGAAGGAGCGGACCCGACTTATGAGATCCAGGCTGGCGACACATTCTTCATAGTTGGGCAGGAGTACAATGTCACAGTCGACGCAATCCGGGCAGCGAATCCGTGTGTGGACCCGTCCACGCTGGAGGTTGGGCAGGAGATCAATATCCCTATCTGCCCAGACTGTGACTCGTCTACGTGCAGTGACTAAACAGAACTTTGGTTTAATAGAAGGGGAAACCATTTGAATGAACTCTTCTTAGGCGTTGGATGCGAATACAAACTCTGGACTACGCAGTATATCAGCAAGCTTGTATCTTTCAGCAATGTCATGATTGTTTTAATCACAATCTTCTTTGTATTCAGTTCGAATGTCGCGTGAATTCAGGATCAGTCCTTTGTTGCTAGGTCATATAAACCACCAGTTCTATGTTATTTTTCTTGATCCATCAGAAGGGCCTAAGTATCATAAAGTACCAAACACCGGACTTCAATACTCTGACGAGATTCGTTGTCCCGATACACCGGATCCTCAAATGCTGAATGCAGAGCTCGTCTAGCGACCGTCTCATTCGAGTCGAAGCATTTGATGAGTAGCACTTCGTCGGGTCTCAGAAGGTGCTTGTAATACCAGCGGTGAGCCGGATTATGTCGCACAACCCATTGTTCTCCATGATAGTCGTCCTCAACCATCACCGCCGCCACGAGGTCTGCATCAGGCACCGTCCGTGCATCGGCAACAGCAATGGGGTCCTTTTGAATTGTCCTGATAGGGCGCCAGACATTTATGATCTGGTATCTCTTCTGCACCAAGGTTTCTGCTTCCTCAGGAAGCTCCCATCTCAGTCGCAACTCTGCTCCGTCGTAGGACTGATCCACGTGCGTTTTCGTGACTGGCCCGCGGTTCGCAAGATTTTTCAGACCCAGGTGATGCCAATGAGTTGGGCCCCGTCTGACCTTGTGATTGAAGATGTGGACCCGACTAGCTCCTGTAACGTCTTTCAGAAGCTGCTCACACTCGGAATAGTACTCAGTTTCGATTTTCTTGTCGTCGATGAACTCCTTTTCCTTGCTTGGCCTTCGACAGTACTGGAACCCGTTGCTGTCGAGAGTGTAGTGCTCCTCATCTCCGCTGACATCTGATACCACAACGCTGTGAGGCAGATGAGGTCGCTCGTTTGTTATCCTTCCTTTGCCTATAACAATAGGCGTCGGCTTAGAGCCGTCACCGGGGTCGTCCCAGTAGTTCAATACACTTGCAACGTCATGCTTTCTCTCTTGCGAGTTGAGGCTCGAGCGCTCCCACGAAACAGACAAGTCGACTGGAGGGTTTGCAGTCTCGGTCGCCATTAGGCCGGCAGTGATCTCGAGTGTTCTGGAGTCGTTGGTATGAAATCACATTAATTTTGCTTGTTTTGTTCGCGAGTGCGTATCGAAACTCGCATCCGGCTTGATATGTCGACGGATGAAGATACCCGTCATGTGTGCTCCGACGATGATACCCTGTCGCTTGGAATTAACATCTGCCGAGCTTGGCACGCTGGTGATTGGGTGCCGATCTTGGCAAGGTATTGAATAGATGGTAGCTCTTATCAAGCTGGTGTGTAGAGCAGCATTTATGCACATCCCCCCTCTCCCCAATTTGGGAAGTCGATCGATGGAGCAACCGACGACCGAGGTTGCGAAGTCGAGGGAGCGGAGCGTTCTTAGATTGGAGCATTCTCCCGAAACTTGTCTGGCTGAAATGCTCAATTGCGCTGATATATACCTGGATTGACCACAGAATATGTTACTCTCCCCATATTTAGCCGGTATCATGTGCAATATCGGGAACAGCGGGAGGTCGTCCAGACTGCTGAGTTAGGCAGGCGAGCAGACAAGCAGATGTCACGGCAAGGTTGGGGTCGCAACTCGCCCCGCTGGTCCCTCAAGCGCTTCGTTTCATGACGATCATAGCTACGTCGTGATCTGAGAGATTCTCCGGTGCTCATATAGGGTCGCAATGTACCGAAGTGAGGGGAATGGTTACACACACTCGTATAAGCGTTACTCGTGGGGCCGGAGCTCGTTCACGCGTGCACTGGGATTGGTAATGATTGAGAGCCAAGAGATAGCAATATTGGTTCGTCCTATATGCCACCAGACCTCTGTGTTTAGCCATATCCAAATGAGCAAAAGCAGGAACATGGAAGATCATCTCAGACATTTCCTCTCTGCAACGTGAAAGAGGGGAAGCATTAATAAAGACATAATCGGCATCCGTTCGGCTGGAGAGTGAGCAAGCTTGCCCTCATTGCATCCAGCATTGGTTTATAAGTGGGCAAAGCCATCCCTGATGCAACCGAGTCACGACAGACCGGCATCTCTCAAGACAGTTACTGCAGTAAACTTGCCTCGCATACACCTTGTCAACCTCTATCACTATGGCGATCCAGGAAGCAATCCCAGAGTCGGTTGAGTGGAATGGGAAGAAGACGCCCATCTATCCGATGGAGACGGTCAGTTTCGAGCGTCTGCTCTCTCAGGAGCCAGCCGAACTTGACAAGGTCGTTCGCTGCTGCGAGACCGAAGGTTTCTTCTACCTCGACTTGCAGGGAATTGACGGCCGACGGATGTTGGAAGACCAGCAGAAGACTCTCGAGCTTATGCACCGGTTTTTCGAGTCGCCTCTGGAGATTAAGAACCAGTATGGTCTTATTTCTCCCCATCTTGGGTACGTAACAGATGATCAAGAACACGTTTTGGCCTACTCCTACACATGTGCTGATCAATTGGTGAGACTAGCTACGAGCCTGTAGGCTCACGCACCGGGGTTTTCAAGGACACCAAGGATGGATACGAAATGATCAAGGTTAGTGGACACTTTTGCTTCCTACGCCATACAAGACACTTGTCTGACAAAAAAACGATTATCAACAGGTCGCTCGAGACGAAATCCAAAAGTCTAGCCCCCACTTGCCCAGCAACATCAAGAACAGCCCGGACATCAAGATTCTGGAGAACGCCATTGCGGGCTGCAACATCATCACGAAGACCATCCTGTCGTCGCTGTCTTCGGGGCTCGGGCTCACTGGTGCTGCCCGGTTCGAGAACACTCACCGCAACGACCGCCCGTCCACCACCACCCTGGCCATGATGCACTACATTCCTTCCGACCCTGTCGACCAGAACATCGGGCACCAGAAGCACACCGACATCAGCTCGCTGACCCTGCTCTTCAGCGAGCAGTGGGGCCTCCAGATCCGCCCGCCAGGCGCCCGCGAGTTCGGGTTCGTGAAGCCCAAGGACGGCTGCGCCATCGTCAACGTCGGCGACTCGCTGCGCTTCGCGAGCGGGCACAAGATGCAATCGTGCATCCACCGGGTCGTTCCTTTTGACCCGACCGAGCACCGCTACTCGATCGCGTACTTCCTCCGGGCCGAGGACTCGACCATGTTCACCGACAGCGAGGGCAGGTACATCACGGCCGGCCAGTGGCACGACGAGAAGTTCTTCGCCTTCACCAACCCGCCCGAGCTCCTCGCCGACGTGCCGCCCTCGATGATCCTGGGTGGGATGAAGGAGGAGGAGGACAAGGATGTTGCTGCCCCCGCGCCGAGCGTCCCCAAGGAGATTTCGGTCGAGACGTAGAAGCTCTGCCGTTGCGTGTCTGCCAGATGCCACATGGAACATTGAATTGATGCTGCCAGTCGCTCCTTAAATAGTTCCATAGGGGCCATCCAGATCTGAGTGCATCCTCTCGTTTACACTCAGACGATGATCTCTGGCACAAGATGTCTCATTGAAAGAAGTAAATACATCGCTTGCACTACAAAATTGTATCAAGATCGCCATACCATTTCGTGAACTTGATTCAACTACACATTTGTAAAGAATATGCCTTCGTCACAAGAAAATCGGAGGCGCATGTTCAAACCGCCTGTGCGTGTGTGTATGTGCTTTTTTACCATCCTACCATGCCTACCAGGGGGAGGGGGTTTTTTTGTCAACATCGCATCAGTATGTCAATGGAATAGTGACATAATAGTGATATGCAATCAAGGTTTTAACATGCTTTTTTTTTATATATCTTATATAATTTATATATTATTCATATAAAGTTATTCTTAATATATTATAATATAATATTAATTATAATATAAAGTTAATCTTAATATAAAAGGTAAAAAAAACCCTTTTTTTATTTTTAACTTAATTACTTATTCATTTTTATTAATTTAATTATTTATTATAAAAGAATTTATAAAAATATAAAAGTACTTAAAAATAAAACAAAATTTAAAATTAATAAAATTTAAATTAAAGCTTTTAATATAATTTCTTTTTAATAATATTGTAATAGCCTTTTATTAATATTTTGCTAGAATTATGAAATTTTGATTGAATGTTAAAATATGAATGCATTGCGTGACCCAGTCAGAAACCCCCCCCCCCCTGGTAGGTGCATTCCCAATTCAAGATTGCGTCACAAATTTCGTCACATCAACATTTTACCGGCATGTTAATGCACCTGCATACTGATATAGCCGCGCCAGCAACCCAAGACGGCTCAAGGTGGGGCCGTGACCCTGCGGCACCTCTCGTTCCGTCCCTCAGAGTAGATGTGTCTGAAGTACTCATTTTAGGACTTTTTTCGATGACAGCAGAGCCTGTCTATGCTTTTGCTTGCTTGTGTCAGTAATTGAGACGATGGAGGAAGATGATTACGTGCTTGTATGCCTCCACCATTCCCAAGATGACACCATGGAATCGAGACCCAAGTACCTAGCCGATGTCAACGATTTCATCGAGAATATTTCCAACGAATTATGGACGATCAATAGAAATATCCACGATAATCCGGAGCTCGGCTACGAGGAGCACAAGGCTCACGCACTACTGACGAGCTTCCTAAAATCGAAGAAGGGGTGGGAGGTCACTACTTCTGCCTATGGCATGGACACGGCGTGGGTGGCAGTTTACCACAGTGGTGAAAAGGGCCCGGTGGTATCCTTCAACGTTGAGATGGGTGCGCCTGCCTCTCCCGTGCCCTTGCCCCTGCCGCCGTTGACTGATCTGGAACAGATGCCCTGCCCGGCATGGGCCACGCATGCGGGCACAACCTTATCGCGACTGCGTCACTTGCCGGTGGCCTGGCAACAGCTGAGATAATGCAGCGGAAACAACTCAAAGGGAAGATTGTTCTCTTCGGAACGCCAGCAGAAGAAGGAGGAGGCGGCAAGATCCGCCTTCTAGAAGCGGGAGCGTATAGAGACCACGGGGTTGACCTGTCTCTGATTTCCCATCCGGGCATCCTGCACGACAGTGCACTCGTTCATACCACTGGTTATACCCGGTTCAAAGCCGAATATTTTGGCCGTGAGGCACATGCAGCTACTAGCCCGTGGTTAGGAATAAATGCGCTCGATGCAGTGGTGATTGCATACAATGGGATCTCTGTGCTTCGCCAACAAACGATGCCTGGGGACATCATCCAAGGGTACATCACCAACGGCGGGTCGGCACCACAGATCATTCCCGGATACGCCGCTGGGATCTTTGTGGTGCGTGCAAACGCTCCCTCGGGCCTGGACACCCCTTCTCGCCTCGAGGAGCTGCGCAGAAAGGTCGAGGCCTGTTTCCGGGCCGGGGCGGAAGCGACGGGGGCCGAACTCAAGATCACGGTGGAGGAGGCCTACGCCGAACACGTCCCGAACCGAGTGCTGGCCAAGTCATACGCAAAGTACTGGAACGTACTGAACCCGCCGAATCCAGGATCGGTAGAACAAGACATTCACATTGGCGCGAGTACAGACCAGGGCGATGTCAGCCACGCCATGCCGAGCTTGAACGCAAGTTTCTCTATCCCGCCTGGACCCGGCGGTGGGGGGCCGCACACTCCCGGCTTCGAAAAGGCATCAGGGACGAAAGAGGCTTTCCAGAGGTGTTTGAGAACGGGGAAAGCATTGGCTGGAACGGCGGTGGATATACTGGCCACGCAGGGCTTGCTGGACAAGGTCGTGGATCAGTGGAAGAAGGACATGGAGAATTCCCAATCGCGCACTGGGCTTCCGATTTCATGAGAAGCTGCGTTGTAAGAATGTCAAATATGAAAGGATGTTATCCGTATACATTGGAGGGTGGCGAATTTGCCTCAGCCTAATCACGCCCACGTATGTCAGAAGCTGTCGTAGGTGACTTGTGTCATAGCACATCATGAGAAGTGACACTATGGGCCAATCTCGGCTCGAACGGATCGTGGTGAGTCAATAGTTGTCATACGGCGACGAGGTCCATGTAAAACGTCCGCTTGAGCTTTATTGAAATTCTGAAGAGTCCCAGTGGCGATGATCAGAATGGCTCGTCTGCATATGCCTTTTCGGTCTCATCATATGCATCGTAAGACCAAATCCATTCCTGTTCAAAAGAACCAACCCTGTTGTGTGCTTATCAGCACATGTTTTGATCGAGTACATCTCTAATACGCTCCTGACTAGTACTCACTTACCAATCATGCACTGTACTTGAACTTTCCACGGGCTCCCCATGGGAGTGTTCTTGAAGCTCACGCAACTTGTCAATCTGAATGCATGTCTCGTCGAGAAGTCTCTCAACTCTATCCTTCCTTAGCCGATCGTACAATACTAGCGCTTTTGACAGCTGGTTTGGAAGCGCTATATGGCTCAGCAGGTGGCCAAGTGTCGCAGCATCTTCCAACCCAAGGTTGAGACCCTGTGCCAGGAAAGGAGGAAGTGAATGACAGCAGTCACCCGCAAGCACGCATGTCGCCTCTGGGGAGATCATGGTGGGCGGCGGAGGCACTGTGCGTGTATTGTCCATTAGTCGCGCGACATCCATCCGAAGAGCATCCAAGTTGGGTCTTCTCACCATGCACTAACTGCCACTTGTTCACTCGCTGCGCCGCGTTGAATATTGCCGTTAAACTCATCAACAAGTATCAGTACATGGCTACGTGCGTAACCTCTCAGAAACTCACAGGGGATCCCAGCTCTCTGCAAGCTTCTTCAGTTCCTCAATGACAGCACTAGTGCTTGCACTCCCTGAAGAGATGTTGCTTTGTGTTGTCAGCAAGAGGCTAAGTTGGGTGCCGCCTCTAATGGGAAAGCAGAGAGCGTATGAGTCTCGGCCAGCCCACAGTCGGTTTTGCGCAGAGCTCATGAAGTCCCAGAGATCACTATCCCGAACTTGTCCCCGGTCAACAGTTATGCGGTATGCCGTGTACCCGGCTGGCTGAGGTATAATCTCCTGCCCCAGCACCTTTCGTCTTAGAGTCGACCAGGTTCCATCTGCAACTACCACGAGGTCCCCCTGCCGCTTCTCGCCATTTTCGAAAGTGATGGTGGGCTTGGAGCTGTCAATGTCTGTAATGCGAGAAGAGTAGTGTATTTCGACTCCCAGATCGGTAGCTCTGCGAGTCAGACCACGCTGCAAATCAACGCGATGCAACGTCCACAGCGGGAATTGGTAGCGATGAAGAACCTGCTCGTCGTAATTATCTCGACTAGCGAGAAGTTCACCATTGAAATCATGTATCTGCAATGTCCCGGGAGCTGTTATCACCGGCTTCAGGATATCATCCACGCCCCACCTCGATAGTAACCTGGTTCCGTTGGGCGAGACGTGAAGTCCAGAGCCGAACGGGTGGATAGTCCCGAAAGCCTCAAAAACGGTCGCCCGGTTTCCTGAAAGTGCCACGGAGATAGCCACAGCCAAGCCGCAGAGCCCACCACCGACTACGAGCACGTCAAGTGCGGCAGGTGAAGAGAGAGGAGGAGGGACCGGGGATTGTGGCATCTCAAATTGCGTGCGAAGAGGGATGGAGGAAAAAGTATGGGCGCTAGTTTTTGCAATGACATTTGTAGAACTCGGCGAGCAATGGCCGTGTTTATGGTACTGAAGTGGCTTCCTCACGTACGAGCATGCATGTGAAAAGCTATAGGTCCCGTAGAAGAGATGGTGGTTGGCGGCTAAATTCCTTGGCCGTTCTCAGCAATTGATCCGCAAGGGTGTCTGGGCATGGAAGCCTACACCAATTGCAGTCGTAGCAATGCAGACACTTGGAGGCAACACCCCTAGAAAAATGTCAGCACTTGAGATTTCACACTATCAAGGCCACAGGGTTCCCCACACTCCATCATCTGCCGAGATATCTTGGAGTCACTATTCGAATTAGTAAGAAATGTATGTGGGGCAGATGCAAGATTATCGCGAGTGTTTATTTTTCGTAGAGTCCAGGCCCGAATTTGAACCAAGTCAATGTAGAGGACATCCAAAGTATGTTCACAGCAGACGCGGTTGAATTGGTTGCAAACTTACAGTCCTTCTGGCATGCCGGCAGTGGCTTAGAGGACAAAACACTCTCAAAATGGCGTCCAAAATCGAACCTCAAAGTCCAAAGCTAGAGATCCGTCATGGTGAGGCGGGAGAAGATGTTGCCACGAAGACTGACGCCAACGCGTCTGACCTTCGGTTGGACAAACATGGACTCCCGCTGTCTCCTCAGCCAAGTGGACGCAAAGACGATCCCCTGGTAAATCAACCTCCTCCCACTCAGGCTCATCCGAAATTCTAACCTCGGTCAGAACTGGCACCCAGCCCTGAAGCTGGCAGTCTGCCTCCAGGTCTCGATCCTGGCGCTCCTCGGGCCCATGGCATCCGCAACGCCGAACCCAGCCTTCGTTACCCTCGGCCGCGCGTTCGGCATCACGCCCGTCCAGGCCTCGTATCAGCTCGTCGTGTACCTCGTGTTCTCGGGCGTTGGGCCGCTGTTCGTTATGCCCTTTGCGAGCGCCACCGGTCGCCGGCCCATTGTCGTGTCGTGCTCCCTACTTGCCGCGGTCACCAACATCATTGCGAGCTACTGCTCCACCTGGGCCGGCATCGTGGTCACGAGGGCGTTCAACGGCTTTGCCGTCGGCGCTACCGTCGCGCTGGGACCGGCTGTCATCTGCGACATGTATTTCCTTCATGAACGTGGCTTCTACATGGGCATCTTTGCGTTATTTCTCAACAATGGACCGCATTTTGCGCCCCTGATCGGGGGCTATGTCACTAGGAGTCTAGGATGGAGATACTGTCTTGCCATCCCAGTAAATACCACTTTCTCGGCTGATAGAGTGCCTTGCTAACGCTGTTGATAGGGCTATATCCAGCTCGGGGTCTTCCTCATGGTACTCTTCAGTTTCCCCGAGAGTTTCTTCAGACGAGACTCTGACCTCACCACTGAGTCTGTACCCGAGAGGTCGCTTCTCAGCCTCTTCTCCCTACGGCAACCAAGCGCGTTCCGAAAGGAGTTTCACCCACGCGAATTCCTTGGCCCATTCAGGATGACTCGCTACGTGTGTGTTGTGGTTCCCAACATTTACTACATGACGTGTCTCGCGTATGGCTCCGTCTTATTCGCTACTACGGGTTCTGTAGTGTACTCTACGTTCTATGGGTTCAACATAGTCCAAATTGGTCTGATTTTGAGCATCCCGCTACTTATTGGCAACTTGTTAGGCGAAGCCACCGCCGGGTGGTTTGTGGATTGGCTGGTGTATAGACATGCAAAGAAGCATGATGGAGTTGAGATACCTGAGGCCCGCCTTGACGCGCTCTGGCTTGCACTCACACTGCCGATTGGGACTATCATCAATGGAGTGTGTATCACTCATTTCGCAACGACAAGTTGGGTCGGTAATGCCATCGGAATGGGAATCTCCAGTGTCGGGTTTCAAATCGCCACAACCGTCACGTACACATATTGCACGGATGTAAGTGCTGAGAGAAGTTTCCAAGGTGGATGCACTTACTGACATAAATCTTGCAGTGCTATAGATCTCGGAGTGCGGAAGTGTCAACCGTGATCAACTTTACCAGACACATATTCAGCGCACTGGTCTCTTTCTACGCGTAAGTGACATCGTCATATAAAGTATGCACATTCAAGTGCTAACTTTTATCCAGTCTTCCCCTTGCGGAAGACATAGGTTTTCAGTACGCTTGGCTGGTGTTCGCATTCATCAACATTATTCTTCTCGTACCATTCTTCCTACTGCGCATCTTCGGTCAGAGAATACGGACGAGTGAGGGCCAAAGTTGATCGACCAGGTATTCTTTCATCTGAAATCAACCAAACCAGGGGGGGTTTGTTGAGATGGAAGACGTGCAGTTATTCGTAGCTCTAGATACTAAGAAAGGTGAAATGTTAGTGTAGATCGAGAAATTTGCGGGTATATACATATTAAGACATGTAATGCATCACGAGGCCCAGTCTCTTTGGTGACATATGCCCCGGTCATGCTACTGATGTATTTGAGAGATGCAGCATATTCATCTTGCTGTGTCCTCTCCCGAATCTCCGTCCTGGCTGTCTGAGCTCCGAACAGACCTCACTGACATTCATCACTATCAGGTCCGCCACTTTCCCAGCTTGAACTCTGGCGCCTTTGCCGTGCTCCTGAGATATCTTGTCATTGCGGTTTTATTTTGCCAGAAAGTCCTTTGAACGCGAGTTGCCTTTCCGGTGACTCCACTAGTTACAACACCCATTGCTGGAACAACCTGCAACATGCACATTGGAGGGTAAAGCTGAAGATGACTCCCGACGAAATTTCCATGGCCGAGTCAACTGCCCTGGTGGCGCACTTGCTTTGCAGCCTGGGATGGGGTATTGGCCGTGTCTTTGTTAAGTAGCCGCTTGACAGCTTTCACACCTCTCATCTATAGGTGGTGTTCAAAATCCAAGGTATCCCTCTGTTGTTGGATTTACACATGCAGCAGTACCAGTACCCAGGAAAAAGACAAAACTGGTTTGGACTGATGGTGTTGACGCGCGTGAAGGCCTTGTGGTCTTTCTCGTTGTTAGCAATAGCTATATTTGCGGCAGATATCCTAAGAGCTGCTTGAGATACTCTCAAGAAGGCTGCTCTTTCTCGCACTTCTCTCTCGATGGCAAATTGTCGCAACAACCCTCCATGTTGTTTGTTGAGTCGTTGAGCTTGGCTTATATCAGACTCCATACAGCATTCTCTGCTGAAGCTTTGCCAGTCGCCTGGAAGAAAAATATTCATCATTTGTTAGGGGAATATTCTTTTAAAGATGAAATGACATACCAAGTCAGGGCTGGGGCTAAGCAGAGACGGTATGGATGTCGACTGCAACGCGGGTGAGAGTCAGACCACTCAGACTGACCCTTAACGATGACCAACATGTTAAGTTTGACTCCACAGCGAACGAACTTTTCCCAAGACCTCTGGCCCACTACTTGGTCAGCTTGACGGGCATTCAACATGACACACAAGCCGGTATGAACAATATCCTTTCCGCAATGGCCCTGAAAGAAGAATTGAAGCGTGGAATGTATTATCTATAATCGGGACATCAGAATTATGACTTGGCACCACGTCAGTGAGTGACATAACTAACCTCCCAGCTTTGGACACAATCAATGGGCAAGACAAATTGCCGACCCAATACATCCTCAAGAAAAACGCCGTTCTCAATTGAAGCAACGAGTATTTGGGGAACCGATTGTAGCAATGGTCGTATGAAGGCTCGGTATGCGGTGAAGAGACACACTCCGAGAAGGATTCTATGTGATAACGAATTTTCAGCACAATTCTGGCTCTGGGTCAGGGATAGTGGTTCACTCACACAAATTGTCTAATCACGTCATTTAAAGTCTTCCACATCACCCACAGACTCACGAAAAGAGTTTGAGCTCTTGAAATGATATTTGACCCCGAAGAATGCAGGCTTTGGGTCTGATTCCGCACTTCTGCGCGAATTCTTACAGCGGATTCAAGGAAACCGCTGATGTTTTCAAGCTTGCGGTGCACGTGAATCGACTGAGCCTGAGTTCTAGCTTCTTGTTGTAGCACACTTCGTAGTATCACGCCCATTGACTCTTTGGTTGACTCTGAAAGCGCTTGAAATTCTGTCTGTTGAGAGTCCTGGATTTTCACATGGTCGTTCGATATTCGTTCCAGAATAGCATCTGTGGAATCATTATGGGTTTGAATTAGGGACTCAAGAATGTTTTTCATGTCCAAGGAAAAGTTGTGCATTTTCCGGGCATGCCGGAATCCGGACTTGTCAAAGCCTTCAAGCCCTTCCCGAACGAAGTCGCATAACTTCAGCTGTTTGACAGAAAGTTCCTCATCCTTATCTTTGATATCTTCCACGCATCTTGTCACTTTACTCTCCGCCCATCGATTGTTCGGGCTACAAGAGACTGAGTATCTGCTGGGAGACTCAGCACGAGCTGACTACATGAGTGTCAGCACTGTGTCCAATATAGAGAACCTGCACACACAGCTACTCGTGGTGACCTGATAATTACCAGGCTCTGTCAGAGGATATAGGCTTACGGGGTCTGGTGACTGAGACAAAGCTGAATAGCATCCATATTGCCTGAAATTCTTCGCCGGAGTCCGTTCACACGCTTTGAGATTGAAAGTGCCCACTGCACTTTGCGAGTCGCAGGAACTACGTTCGTCCACGATGTCTTCCGACCGAGGAGTCCTTGAAATCGACGCTGGACATACTTTAAGAATAACAGCACTGGCTCCCTCACCTGCGTACAGTGTTCTTGCAGATTGAGTAAGACGTCGCGATCTATTTGAGCGGACTGTAAGGCGTCAAGATGCCTGAGGGTGACCGCGAGGCTCTGGAGAAAAGCCACCTCCTCTCCATATTCATCAGAAGAGCCACCGGCGTCTTTCAAGGCGATGACGACCTTTCGGAGGAGCTGGACCGCTCCTATGAGATCGCCGACTGACCAGCCACAAGACATATGTGAGCTCTGGTTGGCAGCCGTAGTTGAATTCGATAGCTGTTGCAAAAGGATGATGAATTTGGTGAGAAAAGAGAGTGGTTTTGAAGGCCAAGATATCAATAGTGGCTGAGCGGTTGCACAAATATCTGTCAGCTTGTGGCCATGTATGAAAGGGTCTCACCTGCCGCATGTTAGCACTGTGTGTTACAGCACGTAACCAAGCAGACCATCTATGTGTGAGAACATGGAAGTACTATGGATGAGTGAGAATACAAACAATTTGAAAAACGTCCTTGAAAATTGAACCAATTTCCAGCCTGAGAAAGTTTCATAGCATAAAACTTCTGGGGTGTATGGGTGTTGGGTGTAGGTGTTGGGTATGGGTGTTGGAGATGGGGTTTGGGGGTGTGGGTGTTGAGTGAGGTGGTGATTTACCGATATACCCTCCGTTTTGCGGGCGAGAATCTCTGCATTCTTCATAAGGTGCTCGATTCGATCCCAAAAGAATCAAGCAGCATCCTTTGAAGACATTAATCGAGTCACTGAGATCTCTGACTGGAACATTCTGGTTCTTCATTCTCTCTCATGACATTGGGTACAGTGACTTGCAGTGGCAAGTATCTTACCAGATATGAAATTGGGCACCACCCTGTGAGTTAACACGCAAGTCAGCCATATTCAATCTGAAGTTCTCTATCGTTTTTCCACTAAAGCACCGGATGAAAGCACCATCCCGTGTAAATAGCAATCCACCTCACCTAACAGCTGCTTACATCTATCGCAACAAGAAGAGTATTTACGCGTGACCCAAATTTGGCTGGCAGTTTAGTAAATTCGAAATGGATCACTAGAGCTTAGTACACTGAAAAGTAGTGATATTCAATTTGGAACCAGCTGACCTTTTACCGGCTTTGTCCACACTGTTTTTTTTAAATTAACTATCCATTAGTTTATCTGCTATCTGCTTAGCTTTTTATTTATCCCTTTTAAAGCTTATGCATAAAGTTTTATATAGTTTAATATATATCTTTGTTCTCTTTTTTAAAGGAATATTATAATATTTCTTTTTACCTTAATTTTTTAACTCCTTTTTAATTTTTTAAGAGTAATTTTATTATTAATAATAAAATAATAAATTTAATAAAATATAATATTTTTAAATTTCTTTATTTTAATTTTTATTAAAGTTAATAATTATAAAGTTAAATATTAATTATAATAATAACTTACTTAGTAAAAGTTTTTTTAAAAGGTTATTCTTATAGTTTTTTTTAAGTTTTTAATATATATTAATATAAATAAAAAGAGATTAAGTTTTTAATTAAGATTGCATTTATAAAATTTATTTTATAAGGATTATTTTGATTTTCGCCATATAATTAATTATTTAACTTTAATTTTAAAGCGTTATAATGAATTAATCTTAAGCAATTTATATTAATGGTTTATAGCGCCATTAAAAATAATTCTTGCTAGCCTTATTTACGCAGCTATTATAAGGCTATTATTATTTTCTTAGCTATAAGCTATAATTTTATTTAAAACCTATTATTATTAATATTGTATTTTTTTAATACTGGGTATTTAAGCCTGACTGCGGCCTCCGCTGAATAGTTCCTGCCAGGTGGGGCTTCTGCCACATGTATCAGCTCGAGAGAATGCCGTGCTGGGCCAGGACCCTTCAAAAGGAGACACATATTTTATTAACGTGGTTTACCACTAAGTAGCGGATATTACTAAGTAGCGGATTTTTCTAATTTTACTTATCTTTTATTAATTATAATATTATATTAAAGTAAATAAATTAATAAAAAGTTAGCATTAATTAATATTAACTATATTTAATTCCTTATTTTTAATTAATTTTATTAATTTAAAGGGGCTAAAAGTAATATAATATAATTAAAAATTATTAAGGTTTTAATAAAATAAGCTGTTTTTAATATTAATTATATTTTTAATTTTTATATTAATTTTACATTAATTTATTTATTTAAATATTTAATGCATAAGAAATTAATAATAAAGATATATATTTTTTATTTAAAAAAGATAAAATATTTTTAGCTATTTAAGCTATTTAATACTTTAAAAAAAATTATATTAAACCCTTACTTATAGCTTAAGCTATTAAAATCTTTAATATCTTTAAAATAACTTTATATTATAAAATAAATTAATAATATAGTTTTAAAGAATTATATATTAAATAATATAAACTTAATTTAATTAAAAAGTAAATATTTATTTAATATATTATTAATTAAAATACTTAAGAATTTCTTTTATAACTTTTTAATATAAAAGATATAGCTAACTTTTTATTAATATTTTAAAATAATAAGTTTATAAATAAGCATTAAGCTTAATGCTTTATAAATTTATAACTTAGCTTAAAAATTAAGTTTAATTATTTTTATAATTATTAAAGAGCTTTTTATAAAGATTTAAAAATTATTAGGAATTAATTTAAGCTTTTTTATAATATAATAGCTAAGTATTAAATTATTAATAATAATCTTTATAATTTTAATAAAATTAGTTTTATAATAAATATAATTACCTTATTAATAATTATTATTTATATTAATAAGCATAAAAAGGTTAAATTAATTTAGCTTAATAATTAAAAATAAGTAATTATTATTAAATATATTAATATAAATAAGTTATAAATTTTATTATTTATAATTATTTAAGGTGCTTATTATTTTATTAGCTAAGTAATAAAGTTAAGTTTTTTAAATAAATAAGTTATTAAGCTTATTCTTAATAAATAAATAAATAATAAAATTAATTTAAAATAAATTTAATATTTTAATAAATATATTAAGCTAAAAAGAAATATTAATTATTAAATATTAATTATAAATAGCTATAAAAGCTATATATTAGCTAAGTTTAATTAATATTATAAAAATAATAAAATTATTATTATTAATATATTATTATATTTATTTTATTTATTTTAACTATTAAATATTGCATTATATTTATCTTTAAAGCATGTATATAATAATAAAATTAATTTCTTTATTTAAGTCTTTATTAATTATATTATTAAATTTAAGTTCTTTTTATATTTAAGATAGCTTATAATAAGATTTTTATAATAAAAAAATTAAGTTTGTATTTAAAGGAGTTAAAATTTTTCCTTAAAATCTTAATTTTATAATTTTTAAGCTTAATATCCGCTTATAAACTTTAATATAATTCCTTTTTATTTTTCTTTAAAAATGAAAGTTTTAAATATTATTAAATGCTTAATAAATTATTTAATAATTAAGTTTTATTAAGAATAGGATCTTTACTTATTAAGGGAGCTTTTTTATATTAATTATAAAGATTATTAATGCAGTATGCCCCTGAAGCCTAGCGTGGTAGGCTTATTATGCCCCTAATAAGCCTGTAAAAGAGCCCCCTAGGCAACCAATGGGTCCCTCTCCCTTTTGGCGCAGCAGAAGATTTCGCGACTGCATTAAATGGTAGCTATAACTATCCATTTACATCAAATAAGTAGGACCGCGCCTAAGAAGCTTTTGCATAAAGAAGAGCGCCGCGCACTGGCAGTGCGAAGGCTGCGGGTTCGATTCCCGCGCGTTTTAAGCTTAATCCGGCGTAAAAAGACCTGGCCATAGGGAGGCCTATAGTGAGATATAAGCTATAGGGGCAACCCCCTAGAAGGCGCGCTATATAACTTAGCTATGGACAGCTTCTTAGTTGCTCTACGGGGGGCATTTAATGCAATATGCCCCTGAAGCCTAGCGTAGTAAGCTTATTATGCCCTTAATAAGCCTGTAAAAGAGCCCCCTGGGCAACCAGTGGGTTCCTCTCCCTTTTGGCGCAGCGGAAGATTTCGCGACTGCATTAATTATTAATTAATTAGCGAAAAGTATATAAATAATAATATACTTATTTATTATAATAAGCAAATAAATTTATATATTTTAAAATGCTAATATAATATTTATTAAATGTTAAAAGGTTAAAAAAACTTAAGTATAGCTTAAAAAAGTATTTATTATTAAGGAATCTTAAGCTTTTATTTAAGAAAAATAAAAGGGAAAATAGTTAGCTGGTGAAACAAGTAATAATATTAAGGAGGTGGTTTGCAATAAATTAATTAAATAATAATATAATAATTATGATAAAATTAAACATAATATAAGAACTTATAAGAAAGATAAAGAAGGGTTTAATTAATTAAATTTTAATTATATTATAATAAATTTAGCTTAATTAATATTAATTAATATAAATATAGCTATTTTATTAATTTATAGTAAATTATATTTTTAATAATATAATTAGTATTAATTAATATTAAATATATGTTTTTTATTAAAAGTTAACTTATTTAAATTAGCATTATATTTATATTAATACTTTTAAATTAATAAAATTAATTAAAAATAAAGAATTAAATATAGTTAATATTAATTAATATTAACTTTTTATTAATTTATTTATTTTAATATAATATTATAATTAATAAAAGTTAGGTAAAGTTAGAAAAATCCGCTACTTAGTAATATCCGCTACTTAGTAGTAAACCACGTTATAATATATCCTATAGTGAAACTTCATACATGGGATAGAAACTATTCAATTAGCCACAAACGGAAGCAAATTGTATTGACCCAGCGTGGTGGAAAAATGGAAAGCCCAATACTCAATCACTAGGTGTCCCTTGTGGACCTTGGGAGTATGTGTGTAACTGGCCCCATTGACTGCTGGCATTCACTGAGGCTCTGGGCCCCACACCCCTCAGGCATAAAACCCCTCACCTACAATTTCCACCACACCTCTTCCTTACATAGAGGGTAGCGCCGTCTTGCTTTGAATTGGCGTATGAAGGACAGCTGCCTTGTCTCTGTATTCCCTCTCGTGACAGACCTCCTATTGCCACAGAGCTTGCGAGGAATGGCAGCAAGGCACTGGCAACTGATTGATTAAGCGTGAAGAATCATAATGGATGAGGGATATATTATTGTTGGTATGGCAGATTTGAAATGATGTGTTGATATTGAGGTGTTACATTGCTTCTGGGTACCTCAGTAGGGTGCCTAAAACAAAGGGGGTCAGGTGCTCAAGAAGCGACTTCTTGATCTGGTCCTTTGCATTCCAGTCAGCGAGTCATGGATACATAGCTGGGCGATGCCGGATGTTATTTGGCATGGTCCTGAATGGTTACAGTCTTGACAAAAATGTTTCAAGCGGGTGGAAACGTCCGAGTTGGGCCCACAATGCAGCATCCCACAGTAGAGCACTCTGGAGGTAAGGAAGATCCTGCAATATCTGTTGTATGCTGCAAGACGAATCACTGAAAGCCCCGTGTAATAACGATTAGTGCGCGTTTGTCATCGCACCCTCAAAGTGTGCTCTGTGCTACACTACGTAGGCACTTCGGCAAGGAGGGCATGCAGTGTGGAGATGGCACCGCGGAGCCATCCTTGGGCAACTCGTCAAAACTGCTGGTACCGTGTTTTACCCCTATATAGTACAGAGAGGTACCGAAAGGTTTCCACCAGTGAAGAGACAAATTCTCGTGACTCGAAGAGACGTTCTGGGTTGACCTTTAGACGCTGTGCTCAAGTGTCAAGGAGTGTCAGGCCATTGGTGCGATGACTTTCTCCATAATTTTCCGCGAATATATTGCTACGGAGTGCCTACTCCTTAGCGAACACCCTTGGCGAACTTTGGTCTTGGCACAGTCTGCCGACTCCTGATGCTGCTACAATTTGATATCAACATTTCTGAAAGCTGCTAAACTGTAGCATATATAATATCGGAAGTCGTGTCGACTACATTCTCCATATCTGCGCATTTTTCCATTCTCAACACAATTCAGTTTGTTGATGTCTTGTGTTTGAAAAAAACATATTTCTGTCAGCCATCTCAACCGCTCGTTCTATCAAAATGAGGACCGCCCTCGCCGCTGCTTTCCTGAGCTTCTCAGCCCTGGCGTCTGCCCATGGATATGTCCAGCAGATCTGGCTGGGCGAGAATCTCGTCGATGCTTGGAATCCCTACAAGGACCCCCAGAAGTCGGGAGTGAACAAAATCACCCGCAAGTTCAAGGACAACGGACCTGTGACAGACGGCCTGTTCACTGTAAGTAATGTGTGATATACCGAGCGCACCATGGCCTCTGGCTGACCCAAAGTGTAGACAGATGCTATTACATGCAACATCGGCATTGACGGCAAGAACAATGTGCCAGCGAACAAGACGGCCGAGGTTGCTGCAGGCAGCACCGTCAAATTCATGTGGACTGAGTGGAAGAGCGACCATCCTGGCCCCGGTACGTGTGCCTGGTTTCTATCCGTATCGACTTCTAATTGCTGATGATAAGTCCAGTCATGACATATCTGGCGAGCTGTGGTGGCTCATGCAGCAAGTTCTCGGGAAGCACTGGCAAAGTCTGGGTCAAAATCGACCAGGCTGGCTACGATGCATCTGAGTCCATCCCATGGGCTAGTAAGAGGTTGCCGGAGCAGAACAGCACATGGACGGCGAAGCTGCCATCATCGATAGCTCCTGGTGAATATCTGCTCAGGTATGTTCTTAATCAGCATCAACTCTCCAATTCAGCCTTCCACACTTGCACGGTAAATAACAGCGATCATTCGCAGACACGAGATTCTCGGACTTCAACGAACAAATAAAAACGGTTCGCTGGCGCAATTCTATCCTAACTGCCACCAAATCACTGTCACTGGCAGCGGCACCACCAAATTGCCAGAGGGGATCGCTTTGCCGGGTGCTTACCAGCCAGATGACACCACTTCTGTACGTGCTCTTTTAGTCTTTTTTTGTTCTATGTACCCATCACACCTCACCTTAAATCTGACAACGGCCTATGCAGATCTTCCTGGAGTATCGTGACATTTCTGCCACTAATCCATACACCCCTCCTGGTGGCCCCGTCTGGGGTGATGATGGCTGGGCAAGCTGAAAGACAAGACTAGGTCTTGAAATAGCTTCAATTCAATGCACATAGTCATCGAGTAGGGATGAGTAGGTAGTAGGAATGAGTTGCGATTAGGAGTGAGGAGCCGTTTGTAAATAATTTCCATCCAGTTCCAAATAATCAGTCGCCGAGTCCTTGTTAATTGACACACCTGGCTGAGAGCTATCACCAAGCCACCTCTTTTTCTTTGCCTAATTAGATCCGCCCATGGGAGAACCGTTATTCTTCCATGGCATACACTGGTTCCAGGCCAATCTTTTTTTCCAGGCCGATCTAAAGGCATTGCACCGTATTTCAACGTAATCCTCCGGACTGAGTAGTCTCAACACACTTTCCAACATTGTTCGACGTTCATGGCTGCTATTCCCCCAATCTCAACGCTTACGTTCGTGCTTCGGGCTGAGTCTTTAGATCACGACTCTCTCTTCCGAGGCACAACTTGGAGCTTCATAGCCCCAGCAGCCACGACGAATTGGTCCCGGACCGAGTTCCGGAACTGCCCATCATTCTCTGGGGTGATGGCAAAGTCGAATCTGACGACGAACTGTGCCAGGACTGCCCTCATCTCCATGTAACCCAAGTTCTTCCCGATGCATGACGTCGACCCGGAACCAAACGGCGCCCATGCCTTGGCGTTGTGTGCCGCTGTACGTTCCCCGTTCTCCATCCAGCGGTCGGGAATGAAGCTATCCGCGTCGTAGAAGTTCTGTGGATCGTGGTGAATCGTCCATGTGTGTGTCGACGCGACAGTATCAGGCGGCAAGACAATCTTGCCTTGACTGCCTCTGGCATCGTCAGGCAAGGCTAAGGCGGCGGTTGTCGTTCGCTGCAGCCCCGATGGGACTGGAGGCCAAAGGCGGAGCGTCTCATTGATGCATGCATTAAGCAGGGGGGCACTGTCACGAAGAGTGTCAAAGTCTTGCGGCTGGAGATGTTCCGAGACCAGAGGATCAAGCTCGTCCCGCAGCCTGGCTATAACGTTGGGGTGCCGGGCTAGTTCGTAAAGGCAGAAGGTCATCGCATTTGACGTCGTGTCAGCGCCTGCGACGACCATGAGCATGCAGTCCTGCTGCAGCTCTCGCCGGTCCAACTTGCGGCGTTGTTTACCCTGTTCCCCGAGAAGGTAGGCGAAGACATCTGCGCCGACGAATTCCTTCTCTCCGTGGTGGCTCATCCGCCATTCGAGAGCCTCTGACAGCCACGCTTCGAACTTTTGAATGGGGCTTGGTAGAAAGCGCATGACGTGTGCTACGTAGGGAACGTTCCCTATTGAGTTGACTGTTGCCAAGATCTGTCAGCAATGCTGGTGTTATGGCTCGTTTTGGCAAGTAGACACGAAAGAAGTGTGGATAGGATAGACTGTTGGGGCTGCTTACTACTTCGCACACCCAGCTCGACCAGATGCACTACAGCAGACGTCTTCGCGGCTTCCAGGGTGCCAAATGATCTGCCAAAACCAAGCTCGCCCATCACGTCGAATCCAAACCACATCATACATTCTCTTATATCGACCAGACCGTCGCGTGACAGCCTAGCGACTTGATCCAAGAGCGTTTCCGCATTGCGCTGTATGTTGCTCTTGTAACCAGCCAATGCTTTAATCGAAAAGGCCGGATCCCAGTCTCTGCGGCGACGGCTGTGTTCTGGTAGCGTCGGCTCGTTCTGCAAGGAATGTACATCTGGCATGGTACTCTGGGCTGTATACCACGGCCCTCGGATGAACTTGCTGGAGGGTCCAGTCGGACCGTACACCAGTGGAATTGCGGCCGGATTGGCGCATGAGACTTCGCGAGGACCAATCCTGACGACACTGCCATATTTTTCGTGCAGTTCCCGGATAATCTGGGCTCGCTTGCCATTCCAATCGGCATTGACCCATGTCCACATGGAAATCTTACAAGAGAGAGGACCCGGAATGTGTCTCAATGGATGGAAGAACACCCGATAGGTGGTTATGGAGGCAGCCATCACTGCTGTGAAGAGGCAGAGCATGCCCACGACGGTCGCCGTCGCAGACATGTTATCCACTTGCCAGGCATGTTTGATGAATGAATGAGTTCCGAATAAGACAAGGCCAAGAAAGATCACAGAGTGGTGTGCGTACGGCTCTCGGATCTGGACTGCGGCGTGTAGGGCTAAGGCTGCAGTCACCGGTAAAGCAATGGTGACAAATGGGCTATAAGGTTTGAAAAGGTCTTGAAAGTCTGCTGGTGATGGTGTAGTTGGCGCCATTTTATCCAATCGAGTGATCCAGAGCGGTGGGAAGGTATTATGAAACTTGAATTCTAGAGAAAACACAAATGGACATTTCGGGGACCACAAGGACGGAAATTGCTTCTCTAATGCCAAACAGTACTTCGCTTTCACGGTCACATGCCCAGGTAGTACCCCTCTTCTACGGATGATACACTCTGTTAACTACCTAGCGTCGGATCGATGTTCGCCACGCAGGGTTCACGAAGTGAGGAGAGGGGATAGCCGTCGTCTCAGGTCGTGGCCTCGGCAACTAACAGCTTCCCCACGGGGAAAGAAGATAGCCTACTTAAACCTTAATGGACCTCCGAGGCAAAAGCGGCTGTGACATTAATATGCGCTCGCTTGAATGCGGACGTGCGCACGTGTTCATCATGATATCTGATTGTCTGCTCTTAGATGAGGCGGATCTGCATATTGGTTGCGAACATTGCTGCAGCGACAGCCTTGGCGCGGGGAGTCCTGTCATGATCTGGAAGAAACAATATTCAGGCTGTTTCCAGCTGTTTGATTTCGCCTGCAATGTAAGGATTCGGCGGCGGCTTTGATTTCTTTCCTCTTCTTTGGAAAGTAAATATGTAACTGACTGCTTGCGTTGACTGTGCAGAATTCTAGCATGGGCTTCTGGAATAGCACCAGTCAACCGCCATGGTCGAACACGCTGCCACCTTGTGGTCGTTGCCATATTGCTTTAAGGTAGATACATTTGCGTCAAGCAGCCCGAAATAGCAACGTGCGATCGCAGACTTTTCTCTTGAATACGGAGATTCGCACCTGCAAAAGCGGAGGTTACACCGGTACATCCCAACCTCGCCCAACACCCACACCCAACACCTATGCCTAACACCCATACCCAATACCTACACCCACACCCACACCCATATACCCAATACCCATAAGCCTAACACCCATATACCTAACTTATACACCTAAGTTAAATGCCTATTGAATTTAGGTGTATAGGTGTTGGGTATGGGAGCCAATTAGGCCTGGGTGATGTGCTCTGATTAGCTATAGCTATGGTGTGAGTCAATATACCGGTGTACCCTCCGTCTTTGCAGGTGCGAATATCTGATTCCTTTCTCTTAATTCTGGACCGCTTTCACACATACTCAAGACTTTCTTGGGGGGGGGGGGGAAGATCAGACGTTTTGAAAGCAGACTTAGTCTTGCGTAAAATTTAGTAAGAGTTATCCATAAAAGTCCAAATTATGTCATATCCGTTGGGATCGGAAGGGGTTTGTGTGTAAAGATCAGTGCTTGTTCCATTGACGTCTGAACGACTTAAATGTATTTATTCTTTCGAGCCTAAAAGCGTCGGGCAAGCCACTTGTCCCCTTCACCCGGCAAAGCCCCGTAAGGCCCCGTGGTTCGTTAGACGTCTACCTGGCATACTCCCAGCGACTGCTGGCAAACTTGAAAGAACCTCAACCCTCATCTAATTGCGAAATTCCTCATCATCGGTATTCAAGTCTCAGTGCCACGAGGGAGTATGGCCAACCGTAAGTTGGTCAGGCCAACTTTCAAGACAGAGAGTTGAACTCAACCATTCCTTGACGCTCCCACCTCCTTCTCTGCTCCAGAGACGCCCCCTTCGATCCAGCCATTATTGGCAGGATCCAACCGCCTTTCTCACACACTCCTTTGAAGCTTGGCTGATCCTCGATCAAGGGTCGCCACTTCCCGTCGTACCATACCTTGGTGATTCCTTTGATCTCGCGAAACTGCCAGCCAACTCTGGGCCGGACGAAGACACCTCGCTCATCGCGAAAGATGTGAGCAGCTGGGGTCGGATTCTTGTTCGCATCGGGTGGTGCCTCGGAGAAAGAAAGCTGGGGAATTTTGGATTCAACATGGCCGGTTTGCTGGCTTGCAGGTTGGTTTCCGCTCTTGCTTCGGGTGAGTCGCTTGCCCTTGCGATCCATTGTGCCAATGTCCTCGGTCGCCTTCCATTTCTGTCGATCCGTTCCAGTTGCTGGGGAGTTGCGAACGTGGACCTCACCGTATTTGGTGGCGCTTCGTGGCTGCTCTTCGTCGTCTTCAACTTTGATTATCCGCTCGTTGCCGCCCTCCTTCGAGGTGGCTTTCCCTTTGAGTGTAGTGTCTGCGTTGGCCTCTGGAACGGCACTGTCCGGGTCAATTAAGCCGTTCTTTCCTCCCTGGTCCATAGTTCCGTTCAAAACTACAGCACTTTCGCTTAGTACAACACGTTATTGGGTCGTGTTTGGGGTATTTCTCACCTGACCGCAGCCTCGCTTCAAGGTCAGTTGGTGAAGCATCCATGGCAGTCAAGGTCCTGATGATGGAGTCGAACTTCTTCCAATGCTTGTGGCGAGCATGATCTCGTATGTCCTGGATAGCGGAGTTCTTGCCGTTGGAAGCCATGATTCAGATGCTCCTAGCAGGAAGGGTGGGTTGGAAGACGGTAAACGTTGGAAAGGGGGTTGTGTCGATTGGTGACTGGAGTCTGTAGCCTAGGGCGAGGCAGCACCGCGTACTGAGAGACCTCAAAGTTAGAGAGACCTGGTCGATGTGTCCAGGCATTTCAGGAAAGACGAGGAAAAGCCGCGGTGGGAGCTTGAGGGTAGGGAAGGTAGGTATTGAAAGCTCTCTTGCCTTCCATCCCGAGAATCTTACTTCGGCGTGTCCTTTAAAAGCGTTTTCATCTGAAATCTGGCATGGTATGCCGGCTTGATCACATCAAATGGTGTCTTTTCGAGATTACCCTCTACGTTGACGCCCTGACTCTCTTTCCTTGCGTGAACTTTTCGTTTGTCAATTTACATCCAGTACCTCGACTCTTCTTAGTGCGCTAGGTACGGCTACCATCCAGAATTCTCAAGCGTCAAAGCGAGGAACGCAGGCAGACTTCTAACGAATTCCAAGATTCTGGAATAACTCAACTAGTCCAGACCAAAACTTCATCTTCTATCACGACAACCTCGTCGTGGATTACCTGCTCTTGAATAGCATCCTTGCGGACATCATGCCCATGCATATGAAGGGTAGTAGTTTTCTAGGACTGTATGAAAGTGTCCAAATAGGGGCCAGCTTCTCAAGTCGCCTGATGTCTGTGACCACTGCTCCTAGACACTGGCTAAGCACTACTAGTACTGTGCCTTGTTGGCCCAGATCATATTCCCGAGTGTCATCATTGATGGTCAAGATGAGGTGTCTAGTTATGTCAAGCATTCCCTCAATGGACTTCCTTCATTTGCAACGAAGAAGAGGGCCCATTTTTAGCACAAACGTTATACGGTGCCTCCTTCACGTTCGCTTCCTTGGTCTGCCCAATATGTGTGCTCGTCGAACTTGTGACTGCTGGTCTACTCATGCGGAGCGGTGTCTTGCCCTAACTCCGACATCACATCCCCTCCACTCATGCTCTTTCTGCGTGTGATTTCCGTGTGTCAAGGTTTTTCGGGTTCCGATAGCAAACCGTTGAGATTTTCAAGGTTCAACTATCATGTACAACGGAACAACTGGCTGCAACGCTGGTTGAGTTCGACGAAGATGCATCGTTGACGGGTGCCAAGCCGCGCTGGGCTTAGCGTCCATCGGGTTCTCGTTGCCATTTTGTATCCGCCGAAGTGTTCGACGTTACTCGAATATCGTAGTGGTACCCCCGAGAACAGGGTCCGAGTGCCGAACTCTCGAAACGCGGGAACTCAAATGATGCTGACAATGCATTATTAATCAATGATAACCCTGGGGATCACCATGTGGGTATCATGAGTGTGCGATTGGTACCCCAATGGCTAGAAGCCTTGGTCAGCTAAGCTTTCGTTACATCTCGGGCTCATGATTTGCAGGCACTCGTTTCACCGCTTGGAGACGTGAGTGCCCGAGCGTCATACTTACTTTGGCGGTCATCTATAAGAACCTGCTTCCAGAAGCAGCAAGCAGTTGAGTTGGATGAAGTATGCCACAGTCTTCTTGTCCACCACACTCCATACAACAAATTCCACAACCAAGTCAACATGTCCAAGCCAATAATTGTGCACAGTGAGTTGAATGGCCATTACCAGCTCGACAAGATGACGTACTGACGAGAACTAGGCCACCCGGGCCCCAACCCCTGGAAGGTGGTGATTGCGCTTGAAGAGCTTGGGGTGCCTTACGAATGTGTGAGTGATATCTGAAATCCGGGTGATTACTCCCACCTCACAGATAGTCTAACACACCGAGGCACAGCGTCTCATAGGTGATGTCAAGGGCGAGGCCTACACTAAGATCAACCCCAATGGTCGCGCCCCTGCCATTGAAGACCCAAACACGGGCATCACCTTGTGGGAGTCTGGTGCTATCCTTGAGTACCTGGTGGACACATACGACAAGGACAACAAGATCAGCTACGCCTCTTTCCCAGAGAAGTACCACACCAAGCAGTACCTGCACTTTCAAATGTCTGGTCAGGGGCCGTACTTTGGTCAGACTGCTTGGTTCCGCCACTTCCATCCAGAGACGGTTGAGAGCGCCAAGAAGAGATATGATGAACAGCTCGTCCGAGTTGTTGGCGTTCTTGATAAGATTCTGGCCGGGAAGCAGTACCTGGTTGGAGACAAACCGTGAGTGTTTCTCTCGCCTTCAGACATTCTCACGGATCACCTTCCTTCGCATTCATGCCCGGGCGTTTTGAGGGTGAGAGCTGGCTAACACGATTGAAGTACCTATGCCGACTTTGCTTTCATCCCTTGGGACAATGGGATAGGCTGGATCTTCGGCGAAGACCAGGCACAAATCCTTCCCGAGGATAAGTACCCCAACTTCTTTGCCTGGCACAAGCGTCTGGTGGCTCGGCCATCAGTTCAAGCTGCCCTCGCGGAACAGGGGAAGGCCCGGGCACAGGCTCATAAGTAATAGTCTTTGCACGAACGCGAAGGAATGGTAGTGATTTGGAAGGCAGAATTGAAATAGTGCACTCCAGAATACTAGACAATGACTGCGGTGAGCCGCTGTTCCAAGTCTTGCAATTCTACGAGCATCTCTTCAAAGTCTGACTTGGTCAGTTCTAGGACTTTTGTGCTAGCGCTTGAACTCGTGCAACGTATGGTACAAGTTAACATTCGTGACTCGCAGAGCTTCGCTAGGAGCTGGAAGACCGGTTGCATTGAGGATGTGGTCGCAGCATCTGACAAGTGAACGTTCATTGGGATTGTACATGCCGTGAACCTCTACGTCCTAGCTAAAACAGAGATGGCGCCAACGATGACCTGCATCGAGTCAGGTCTAGTCAGCACTCTGCCCCACGAAGACAACCAATATTGCCACGTAACTTTTCCAGTCAGCATAATCACAGCCGCACTCTGGATGGATGGGATTGACTCACGCAGCGCAAGCACCGAAGATTTCGTGTTTCTTTGCCCGAGTGCAGAGTGCGAGAACGCCGCCGAACATGAGAGTGCACCCTACTTGGAAGCCCATCATTTTGGCAAGTACCTTGCCGTCGATGCCACCTTGAGACCACTCATACAACGGCACAAGAGGCGCCGAGAACAAGAATAACATAGTCAGGATCAGAAGTGACATCACCAAGAAGTGGATCCGTGCTAAGGAATACATCACCATGCGGCCATCATTCTTCGCCCTCAGCTGCTGCGGGTGAGTTAGTAGCTGCTCATTAGTTAGGGCATTGAACATCGGTATGGACTCGCCTTGTTGGCGAAGAGCCACTATTTGCAGGCGACAGGTCATGTTAGCTAAGTCTGAAGAGCAGTTTGATATGACGAGCTAGACCGAACTCACACTTAGGACTCGATTATTTGTTTTGACGAGCAGCTGCAAGATTTGCCTGTCGAGCCAAGCATCATCTCTGGAGGCCTTGAGAGTAACCAGATCAGGCGTGTTGCCGATATAGTTCTCCTGCGAGGCTATCGGCTGATTACTGAGGAAGAAGTTCAGTACGCTCGTCCTCTCGAATGTAGAAGGCCTCTCAAGAGCGGCCAGCTTGCTTGACAAGCAGAGAAGCTCGCCTACCGCACGTTTTATCAGTATGGAGCTGTCGCAAGCACTCGTTGCATTGGTTACTTACCATACTGTACGAGCCTGTGTTGAATCCGTTCCATCATGATCTTCCTCCTCCCATTGGATGTGTCATCAAGTTCTCGGCACCGTAGACTCTGTGGATTATTCACCCTATCTTTCTCGTCCATCCGCCACAGCTGATTTTCGAGAGCCCGGAGTTCGTCCTGCAAGTGCAGCAAGGTTCGAGACTGCAAGTATCTGAATTCTCGAAAGACGTAGAACTGAGGTGCGGACGCTGTGAATCGGGCGAGCATTGGGTAGCCAGGTGGACAATCTGCAACTATGGACTTTCATCAGCCAGATTCCATGTTTTAAAGATGAGCTTCCTTGTTCACATGGCTCTGTAGTCGTGATGAAAATGGAAGAAACCCCACCATTGCATGTCGAGTAGTGCAATGGATCAGACGTGGTGTCGATACATGCAAACTCTTCTAACCCGGTCCTATGCACACTAACTGTCAGTGAAACCTTTGCGTCATGAACTTCCATTCCAGAGTAAACCAACTTGTCCTCCTGATTTGTGCCAGGCTCTGGTGTTGGCAATGCCATGTCGTCTGAATTTGACCCTGTACACAGCCTCAGCCAACGATGTGAGGATGGTAGCACTAGAACATCAACAGAACCAAAAGGACTGTTAACGTAGTATCATGGAATGGGTTGCTAGGCTTTTATATAGAGCGGCGGGTCTTGTATCTGCCTTGATACGGTAGTGTGCATTGTGTGACACTGCACAAAACTCGGCATAGCAGAGCGTGGTTGGCTGACATTCGGCTCGGGGGATGGCAGGCGGGAAACAATATGATCTTTCAAGTAACGTACCACCGCCACGTATCACGTACGTGCTCCTCAAATTCCCCTCAACTTCTTGATATCAGCAGCCATTACGGACAGATTCTATCCATTCCTCTTCTTTGATGTATGCGCTTTTAGTTCCAGGACAATCAATATGCACAGCCGGTAAATATCTGGACTTGGTGAAAATGAGTGAACTTTCAGCTTCTAAGCACAAGAGTTTCCACATTTTAGTCTCCTGTAAGGGAATATTTATAAAATAAAATATCTGCAATAGCATCTCATAGGATGGCCTCCTGTGGGATACCCTTCTATGGCACAATATCCTGTAGGATAACCTCTTATGGGATGACCTCTAGCTCCTTTGGTACAACCTTTTGTTGGATTATTGAATCATTTAAGTGATTCCCAGAGCGTTAGCTGCTTCGCAGGTCATCTTGTGGACATGCATGTCTGCCAAGGATCTCCGCCTGCACTATGGGGGTACAAAAAGGGCCACATGTGCAGCAGCTGTAATTTCACAATAGCTGAAAGCTCTTGAGATCCCCAAACGTAATGTCCCACTGGATATGGAATCTGATGTGTAATGGCATCATCGGTTAGTGCTAAAATCACTTTGCAAAGGAAATTTCTACGAATCTGGATTGAGGGCCATGGATGAGAAACGTACTTCTGCCATAAACAGTCGCCTAAATGGAAACAGCCCCCTGCCTGTAGCTTTCAAGCATAATATGAGTGTAGAGACTAAGCCCTGTGACATGGAGTTAGCTTGAAACTCGCCCTGAGGGTACCGGCTCTCCCATATGAAAGGACCCTCATGGTGAATGAGTGAACTCGAATGAAGATTACGGCTGAAGGCCGGCTTAGTGCCTGATGGGCTCGCTGATGTGGAGTCACGCGAGCCGTTCTTGACTCTATGAACATCACTTTAGTCAACAGGAGATTGCTTGACTTGGAAATGTTTGCCCAACGGGTTTAATAGAGTCAGGATTGGCGATATGCTGCTACCATATTTAAATGACTGAATCCAGACGTTTTGGAAATCTTGGCTCAAAACAGAATCCAAAATTCATTCTGCAACACTTTTCGACAAGAACACAACTTGAACATTCACCACAAATAATACAACATGGTATGTCCAATAGAAAGTATATTCCATTTAATATCAAGAGTACACATATTTTGTGGTCACTAACTAGAAAACCAACTAGAGCACCTCATTGGCTGGTTATAGACCGAATGCCAATGGCGGTTTCAAGGCAAGACTTCACCACTACTAGATTTGGTTATTGAATTGGTACGAAAAGATGTTAACTACATCAGCTTCCTGAAGTAGGCCATGAGCAAGCAGAAGGTGGCTACAATCTAGGGCGCAGAGCTGTAAGTCGTTTTGACTGATATATAACTGTATTCTCCCCCATAATTAACATGTCTTCGTAGACTGCTGTGCCAAGAAACCAAGCGCAGGAAGGAGATAAACAGGACGATGGCGGCTGTTGCTGTTGTACTATTCTCTAGTTGGATTTAGTATGAATAAGTGATAGACTCCAAATATCATCTTTATTCATTCTCGCTGCATGTCTCTGTGTAAGTGGCTAGATCAGATTTATGCTAGATGTTTATTACGTCTAGGACAGGTATTCAAGTGCTGTCATTCAACTTCATTTCACAACTTAAAATATTAGTTTGCCTAGGGGAAGTAAATAAATATAAGCAAATGTAAGTAAAGATGCTTCTGAATACTCAGCAAGTTAGCACCAAAATACTGAGCACACCCTACTTGGAACCATGATTGCAGCAAAGAGCTCGATTTCGCCCAATTCTGTGAAAGACTGGATGTTTGCAGTTCTCCAAATTTACAAGTTAGATACTGTACTATGTTTACACAAGTTACAATAAGCTCAGTGTAGGTGGAGGAGTGAAACTGCACTGTGATGATGTTACGCAGATAGAAGATTTCAGACGTAACGGAGCTGCTCATTAGAGTTGCTGTCCAACAGCAGGTAACTTCGCGAATGGGACCGTATGAGGTTGATGCGGATTCGCGTTTGACTACAAAATCGAAATGACTGATACTTGGCAACAGATGAATACCCTTGATTGACAACCACACTAGTTTCATGCGTATGACTGAGCAACGGCAAAATCTGCATCGCCTTGGTTGCATGATACCACGCCATGCATGACTCTGAGAGAACTTCTGAGACTCCACATTTCGCACCAGAATCCATCAGATGCAGCTATGACGCGAAAAACAGATATTCACCAAAATCCTATGTCCTCTCTGACCTAAGTATCACAAGGACTCCTCAAACAACCCCCTCAGCTGCTCCCTCTCCGTCTGCAACTCCCTGGCCAAGTTCGGAGCCAGCATCAACACTCTCGCCTGCGGGATCGTGCCTTCCACCAGGTCATCGATATGCTCTGAGCCAAATCCCAGCTGCTTCAGTCCCGAGGGCTGATCGCCTAGGCTGTCGAGGAATTTCCTCAGAGCCTCTGCCAGGACCTCACCGGCGGACTCCCTCTTCACGTTGCTGATGTCCACGCCGAATGCCTCTGCGGCTTGCAGGTGGCGTTCGGGGTTGGACGCGGCTGTGAACTTGAACACAGCGGGCGAGGTGACCGCCACGGAGACGCCGTGCGGGATGATGGGGGTGTCGACCTCGTAGCCGGCGTGTTGGTAGCCTGGGTTCTGTCCGGAGATCGGATAGGACATTCCTACAGGAATTCAGATGTCAGTTCACGCTTCCTATTTTTCGAGAAAGGAGGCGAAGAAACATAATTCGCGGGGGAAAAAAGATTACAACTGGAATTACTGACCGTGACACAAATGCACGCCTGCATTTCCAAATCCGACACCTGCCAACGTCGCAGCGAGCAGCATCTGGCTCTGCGCCTCCATATCATCCGGGTTCCTGACAGAGCGAGGCAGATACTTGACGCAGTCATACAGCGCCTTCAGCGAGAAGATGTCACTAATCGGGTTGGCACCCTGGTAAGCAGGTCTAAGGATGGGGTTCTGCGGCCGTGGCGTCCTCTCGTTGTAAGGAATGGCGGTCCAGCTCTCGAGCGAGTGGCACAGCACGTCGAGGCCGGAGCTCGCCTTGACGGCGGCGGGCATGGTGCGCGTGTTGAGGGGGTCGCAGATGCCGAGGGTGGGCTTGAGGTTGCGGTGGGCGATGCCGGTCTTGGCGCGCTTGGAGACGAGGTCGAAGATGGCGGTGCCGGTGGTCTCGGACCCGGTGCCCGCGGTCGTGGGGACGGCGACCAGGGGCTTTAGGGGCTTGTCGATCGGGCGGCCGTTGCCGAGGGGCGCGTTGACGAAGTCCAGGAAGTCGGCGTCCGGGTACGAGGTGTACAGGTTCATCAGCTTGGCTGTGTCGATGACCGAGCCACCTCCCACGGCCAGGAAGGCGTCCGGGTTGAAGGGCTTGGCCCAGTCAATGGCCTCGCGGATGCTGATTGTGCGGTGTCAGTGCTGGTGTCCGTGGATGGAGAGATGGGCAAGGGCTTACGAGCTATCCTTTGGCTCGACTCTTGTCTTGTTGAAGACTTTGAAGTTGACGCCCTCGTGGGCCAATGCCTCTCGAACTTGTTCCATAGCCGTCAATTTGTCGACAGTTTGATCGGTAACGACGCAAACACGCTTGGAGCCCATGTTCTTGAAGTCCATGCCGACTTCGCGCGTTACGCCAGGTCCGAATCGAATGGAGGAGGCAGCCATCTCAAATGCATACTCCTTGAGCTGCGAGCTGTCCTGGGGCGTTGCATAGCGGCGTACAGCAGCGTGTGGGCCGTGTCTGTGGTTATGGTGGTGACCCGGGTTGGAGTGGCAGGGACACGAAGGCGGATGTGTGAACTGGACGGCCCTGAGCAGATTCACTGCCCTCGTGGCGGCCTGTCAAGGGAACTGTCAGTAGTCAAGTTCGCGGGGCAGATGTTCCGGGAACAAGGCAAGGTCTCACCCCTGGAACGACTCTTACTGCAGCTGTCATGATGGGCAATATACGGCTATGAATATCATCTCCTTGGTCACTTGTATAGGTGCGAGGAGCAGTGTGTGGGATGTGGGCGAGACCACGAAGTCAACTCCAATTACCCGAGGCACTGGGTCTTGACGCTCCAGACCAGTTGCCGTTGCAGACCACGGGCCGCTCTCCCCTCACGCGAGAGTCACTGATAGCGGCAATGAGGAGACCGGGGACAGGATGCCGGATCGTCGTCATACAAACCCACCCCACCGTAGTTTGCTTGTCCTCAACCCCGACTTGGAGAACATTGGGGTTTGGACTTTGTGGGGAACATCTTTGACCCCGCACTCCATTCTTGTCTGTTACGTATTTGTGGTCAGCTAATAAATAGAGTTATTAGTCTGCGTTTTACCACCTTTCCTGTCTCGGTCTTCCGTGTTAGACTACATGAAAACCGGCATCGAATCCTACGTATAATATCTCGACAGCCATGGTCATGCCCTAGACGAGCTGATTCGCCAGGAACGAGAGATAGCGGGGCTTTCAATCCTAGCCGGACTCGGCCGGGAGTCACACCGTGTCGGAGTTTGACTCCGTGCAGATAACTGGACATGCAGAGCAGATTGTGAACACCAGTGATCCTCTAGATACACCGATGCGGAGTTGATGAGTTCGAGACGTGATCTCTCCTTATCTTGACTCCTACCTGTGTGTCCTCTGGCTCTGGGAGAAGTTCGGCCGTCTTACTTTTCTTGGCACCCATTGGTTGACGTGAGCCGCTTAGATACGGTAGTGAGCGGTCGACTACACGTCCTCGACTATAAAGACGACTAGGCTGCTCGACTCTAGGAGTCCCTAAACAGATAACCATGTAGTTCTGCACTCCTTCACTGGACCTTGTTCTAAGCCGGGACTCGCCATGGCATCGTCGACCACCTCATCGCCCCAGCCGCGCCAACGTCTGCGCGAGCTGCTCCCTGACCTCAAGATCGGCAACTGGCCCACTGGCCCTCTGAATGGCATCACGGACGTTCCAGGTGTGCTCACTCACACCACCACGCTCCGTCCTTCGTCCAACCCCAACATCAAGTCTGGCTCGACCGTGATCCTCCCCCACAAGAAATGGTTCAACCAAGCCGTCTACGCAGGCATCTTCCGCTTCAACGGCAGCGGCGAGATGACCGGCGCGCACTGGATCGAGGAGTCGGGCCTGTTGCACTCGCCCATCGTGCTGACCAGCTCATTCTCCGTTGGCGACGCTTACCGCGGCATTTATGAGCACGCCATCAAGCACCACAACAACGACGGCGCCGTGGGATGGTTTCTGCTGCCCGTCGTTGCCGAGACGTTCGATGGCTATTTGCATGACATGACTACCTTCGCGGTCAAGCCCGAGCACATCGTGACAGGCATTGACGAGGCTACTGCCGACCTGACGCCTGAGGGTTGCACCGGTGGCGGCACGGGCATGGTGTGCCAGGGATTCAAGGGCGGCACGGGCACCAGCAGTCGCGTCGTGAGTGGCCTCGGGGTTCCCGGTGCGGATGGAAACGCACAGGCAAAGGACTACACCGTCGGCGTGCTGGCTCAGTCAAACTACGGCCGTATCAGGGACTTCCGTGTTACCGGGGTTCCGGTCGGGAGGCTCGTCATGGAACATCTTGAGAGGGAAGGCAAGCCTACGCTCATACACATCGCCAACGCCGAAAAGGCCAAGGACAAGAAGGACGGCAGCATCATCATTATTCTGTCCACCGATGCGCCCTTGCATCCGACGCAGCTGCAGCGGCTCGCCAAGCGGGCCACCGTTGGCCTGGCACGAGTCGGTGGTTACGGTCACAATCCTTCGGGAGACTTGTTCCTGGCGTTCTCGACGGCCAACAAGATCCCCGTGCAGCAGTTCACTGCCGACAACAAGGCACTTGATCCGTTCAAGGCAAGGGCACTGGGCATTGAGGTTGTAGATGACACGACCATCAACGGCTTATTCGAGGCTGCGGCAGACGCCACAGAGGAGGCCATCTATAATTCTATATGCATGGCAGAGACAACAGTTGGCCACAAGGGCAACAAGGTTGAGGCCATTGATCAGGAGCTATTGAAAAACATCATGCGCAAGTATCAGTAGTCAATACATAGCTATGGCGGCAATTCTCACAGTAATGTACCCATCCCTGTGACATATCCGTTTAATTGATCACTTCCAACACAGCCACCCCTTAAGTTTTCGTGGTGTAAGTTCACGATTCGTAGGAGACGCTTCAATACGTGTTGTGCTTCACGTATGACTTATCTTAATTGCCTGTAGACACGCCTTTAGAATGAAGAAAACCACCCAGATGCCGATCTGTCGAATGTTTGAAGCGACTACAGTGACTTGAAACTTGTTAGGATGACAGGATATAGGGCTGATAAAGCTTGAGAATTTTGCTTACACAGTGACCTTTGACATGGGACTATTTACACATCATAGCTCATCTGGACTGCCTGACTCTTCAACGTCAACCCATCCGTAAGCTTCAACAACCTCATCACTCCTAGCCCACCACTCGAATTCCTTTTCTTTCCCGTTCCTCAAGACAATCAATCTCATGGGAACATCCAACTCGTCTTCGACGACCCACACCATAAAGCCCCTAACAATGACATCCCCTTTTCCTTAACCCCCGCCTTGTCCGCGGCTGACCCAGATACCAAGCCTCGAACCTTGAATTCCCTCATGGACTGTGTGTCGAAGCCAAGTTCGAACTTCTTCCATTCCATCTTGACAAGCTTAAGTCCGTACCTCTCTAGGCAGTCCTCTGATGGGATGATCAAGTCGCCCTTGAACATGGCGTCGTAGCTCCTGTCAAGACTTTCCTGTCCGATCACATCAGCCACCTTCTCTTTCAACGTCGCCAAGCCACACGGCTTTCCTTCTTTCCTCAGCTTGTACAGGTCCACAATCACATCATCCATCGACTTCTTGCCGTGCGATTCCTTCCATATCATCCCGTCTAGCTCCGCCAGGTACATCAAGCCCCTGTAGTAGCTGACACGGGTGATATCCACGTCACCCCAATAATCTGACAGGACATCATCAAACGGCATACCTACCACAGGCGAAGTGTAGTACGACTGCGCGTAGTTATTCATACTCTTCACCATCCAATCCTTCCTGGTAGGGTCATTCAACCCAGCCAGCGCGCCAACATACGACGCAACGCCCTCGACATACCAAGAAGCCTCGTCTTCCTGCCACTCAGGCGGGCTTGACCCGGGCGCCGCCTCGTCAAGCAGCGCAAACTCGTGCACCGTCTCGTGCGCGAGGAGGTCCGCAAGTGCGTGCTCGTCCGTCTGGCCCACCGACAGCAGCGAGTACTCGAGCATGAAGCTCAGCGTGGCGCCCGTGCCGCCGCTGTTGGCCTCGATCTGGCGGAAGAAGACGCGGAAGGGGTCCGTGGAGCCGTCAAAGTACGCTGCGATGCGGGCGTAGATCGCGCGCGTGGACTGGGCCAGGGCGGCCATGTCGTAAGGCGAGGGGTCGAGCCAGTACATGGCGAAGACGCTCTCCCCGGCCCGGGCGGCGGCGATATCGACACCCCAGTCTGGAAAGCGCTGCAAGTATCCCACTGCGAAGATGGCGTGGGTGACTGTCCATTCCATCGTGCCGGTGGCGCTGGAGGCCTGATCGTCGCCAAGGGACCACGCTCCGTGGGTGCCTTCGGGTGCGTCGGCGAGGTCCCATTCCACGGCTACCTGCCACAGTTCTTTTTGCTCCTCGCCGCCTTCGTCCTCATTGCCACTGCCTTTGCGTGTTGGTGGAGGCGGCACGGGGATGAACCCCTCACCCTGGCCGACCAGTCCGCCGCCGGTGATGTCCCTCCTTAGGTCGACCCTTGGTCCGGGTAAGGTCTTTTCATCTGTCCTCCTGTAAGGAGCAGTGAACCTGACCTTTATGACAGACGTTTCTTTCGTTGCCAGCCTCCCCTCAAGCTCATTCTGGTCCAGATACCACAGCCGCGGCCCTTCAACAGGATCCTCATCACGGTACTTCAGCCGCAGGAAGTCCCCATCGTCTAGACTGGCAAGAAGTGGATTGTCGTCGTCGTAACGAGCTGAGGGGGTCTTGGCAATCATTAGAGGAAGCTCGAGCAGAGGCGTGTCGGGTCCGAATCGTTGCCTCGGCACCCGAATAGTCATGGTGATGTTGATGGCGATGGGCTCCGGCCGACCGGTCGATCCTTGGGCAGGGTCGTTGAACAGCGGCTTCATCAACAAGCGCATGGAGGGTGAGGCACCATTGAGTGACTCGCCGTTGCTCATGATGTGTTGCTGCTCATGCATGGCTCGTGATGGTTGGTCAGTCCTTGTCGCTCCAGTTTGAAGGGCTTGGGACCACTGATGCCAAAGTCAAGACGGCAAAGCCACCGAGTCGCCTCATCCAAGGTGCCGTACTCCGAGACATGACTCATGGACCAGTGTGAACGGCGATGTCACCTGCAATGGTGATGGAGTTGAGAAGATGGATTCCACGGAATCGATGTCCAGCGGTGACTCGCTCTGCTGCACCGGACCGTTGTCACTGTGAGATTTCTGAGGGCAATTTGCCCTCACCTTAAGTCTGCTTTTAGGCTGCGCCGACGGTGCCGACCCCTGCGTACATCGCTATACCGAATCTTGGCAGAACGGCCGTGGCGTGCTTTGCTCGCTAATTATTAAGGTTTCCAGAACCCGTCCTACTCGAGGCAGTCAGACGAAATCTGCAAGGGGTGTCTCGGGGTAGGATCAATATCACCCGTGAGATTGTACAGCATGGCTGGTAGGATTTGTCGATGATCCACTAGGTTATGTAGTCTTAGCCACCAACGGGCGTCTCTTGTCTTAGCCAACAAACTACTTTCCTACGTAGATAAGTAGATACCTGGTGTGTCCTAAGAACAACAACACATTGCGCCTCTCTCCTCTCAACCACTGCTGCATCTTATGCCATTGCCCAAACATGCAATCGCTTCTAATCCTTCCACAGGCCCTCCTGGCAATGGCCTCCTTCCCATCCCCGATCCCCTTCCCCTCTCTTCCTTCACTTTTCGCACCCGGCGCCGACCTGTCAGCACCGGACCCCATCGCAGAGTCCCAGATCCGCAACACCCTTGCCACCTACACCTTCTCCATCGACTCCAAGAACTTCACCGCCCTCTCCTCCGTCTTCCACCCGGACGCCGTGGCCAACTACTCCGAGCCCATCAACGTCATCTCGGGCCTGCCAGAGATCACCGCCACGCTCGAGGCCTCGCTGGCACTGTTTGCGGGGACGCAGCATAACTATGGCACGCAGGCGATCCGGGTTTACGACGAGGGAGCATGTGCCAGGGCTGTTACGTACTACACTGCAGCTCATTTTGGGAAGGGGGAGGCTGAGGGCCAAGTATGTGGATTCTTATTAACTCTTTCGTCCCTTGTCGTTTTCATATTTGGTTTGAATCGCGAGGCTTCGATAAGCTGACATTGCTTTCCCCAAAAGGTGCTTTATGCATATGGACAGTATCAGGATTTGCTCACACCTTCGGAACAAGGGCAATGGCTGATTAAGGAGAGGAATCTGGTTTATATGGTAAGTGCTCAAAAGAGAAAAGTGTAGGGTGGTGTTCGCTGACTTGAAATATTAGGGGCCATTCGTTGGAAACCTATCGGCGTTTGTGGGCACCAGTTGACTTCGATTCTCAGATGGCTTGGAGGACAAGACAGAATAATTCAAGTTCAATGTTAGCTGCTTACTCTCAAGTAGGACTTGGTCGTATCAGCTTGATCTCCGGGTACGAGCCTCGTGTATTCTGGTCGAAGGCACACGAAGGTATTCAAACAGTCAAACAGTCACAAATCAGCACATCTCGAAATTTGCCGGCTAGCTGAACGAGTGTATTCTCTACAGCATCTATAGCAGTGGGGATAGGGTTCTAGAAACAAGACTGGACCCTAAGTGTGGTGTCTCGTTTTTAATCGGTTTACATATGCTTCTTAAGCAGTACGCATCCAGTCCCTTCATACAGTGATAAACGCTTGAACACCCCGCGTTTTTTTTTAAAAAAAAATTACACTGGACCCTAAAGAAATGCAATTGAACGATTGATTCATTTTCCATTCAAAGATATCTAGCCCAGATGCACACTATCAAAGTATACCCGGCTGTCTCGAAATCGTCCAGCGACCTCGGCACCACCATGGCCACGGCCGGAGCCACTCAACCCCCACCATGTTAACGCTTCTTGACAGGAGCGGCGGCGACCTTCTTGGCATGAGCGGCAGTCTTTCCAGCGGGTGCTCCTTTTCCAGAACCAGAGCTGGATGGCCCGGCCGGAGAGCCGCCCTTGGGCGGGCTCTGGCTGGGGCGGCCAGCCGACAGCGTGCCCTTGTTGCCAAAGGACGACCCGGAGGAGGAGGACGAGGAGCTGGCGGGGCGGGGCGGGGCGTTGCTGGGGCCGTACCTGCCGTTCTCGAGGAGGGCAAAGGTGCCCCTGAGGCCGGCCGCGACGTTCGTCCTCAGGAGGTTGAAGTCCGGGGCGACCCACCTGATCCTGGCCTTGTCGGCGGGGGTCAGGACGTGGCTGGCCAGCACGGCCGTCTTGAGGGGCGTGTACCAGCTGTCGACGAACCAGTTCTGGGTGGCGTTGTCGGGCCCGGCGGCGGCGATAACGTAGATTGCGCCGGGGGTGTTGTGGATGTGGTTGGCGAGGTTTGTGATGCACGTGTTGTAGTCTGCGCCAGTCACATGCATGAGAGTCGTGATACCCTCCGCCGTCCAGGTCGCGATCACGTTGCACTCGGACAGACCCCAGGTGTACAAGTCTCTGCGGTTGCCGACGATCCACTGCCGCATGGGCACTTGCAAAGTGTTGGCCGACGGCGAGACTGGGTTCTGAGCTGATGGGGCCATGGTGAGAAAGGAGATAAGGTGTAGCGGGTTTATTGGATGGTTCGGGTCTTGTTTCAAACAAGAGTAAAGAATATTAAATCAGATTGGCTTTCGAGCTTCGAAAAGTAAGTGAATAAAGTTCTGTAAAAATGATGCTGATGGATAAGACACATCGATAGCGATTGATGGTTGAACCGCGGTCCTTTATACACGAGCATCTACACGACGAACGGTCTATTCGAGACCGTCGTCGCTATCACCTCGACATAAACCCTCACATCCTGCTTGTTGTCGAAACAGATCAAGCCACCTTTCTGGCCGTGTGCTGTCAGCCTCACTGGTTTGGTTGCTGATTCCGGTCGCCAAGGGAAGATGTAAAACCGTGAATAGCATCAAATCTGATGCATACACTTGCACTGGCCGCTCAAGGATTGCTGCCCTCGGCCTCGGACCTATCCTTCCGAGCCTCGGACTTCGAAATACTAGGCCCAGTATGTCAGAGTCTTTTGCTGGTCTCACGAGACCCACAGGCGTCGGATCGTAAAGCACGATGGGTGTGAGCACAGGATTGCCGATCAGGTCTGGAGGAAGCGAGCGTCGTCCGATTGAAGATGCGATCCTGTTTTGTCAAATTAGCGGGTTATAAAAAAGGCGTCTACGTAAGATCAGTTAATCCAGGAATAGAAGTGAAGCATCAGGGGGACAGAAAGTCTACTGGGGCTGAGCGCTACCGACAAGCGCTGCCTACCCAACTCCCAATGTAACCCTACGCGGCCCACTTAAGACCTAGGCATCTACATAAAGGCCAATGGCTGTTATTTAAAAGAATAAGACGAGACTTGAGCGATTCTGGTGTAAATCGAGGTCATATGAAGTTTGGCATGTATTTTCATGTTCAATAGACAGTCCTAAACGTTGCATAAGGCGCTGATAGTTTACAGCGAGCCCATGCCCTAACTGTTCACTGCACACGTATGGATGAACTGGTCCATTTTATGAAGGAATAAGAACAGAGGGACCAAAGCGAATATCGTTCTAGGGGCGCAAATCCGCTGATACCTGTGCTCGCCATGTGTTGTGCCGGAGATGTAGTTCCTCTTATTGGTCCAGGCATACGGAGTTCGGCCCACGTTGGCTTGGAAGTCAGTGCTACCTACACGCGACAAAATGGTGCCTTGCAAGGAGACCTCACCCCCCCCCCCCCGGGGGGGGGGCCGGACCCAATTTCGGTGACTACTCGAGAAAACTTCAGGTTTCTTTTGAAGCCACGAAATATTGAGAGGCTCTTTACGTTCATGCCCAAACAGGAGTTGAATCAAGTCTAAAAGATAAATCAAAAGGCTTCTGTGCAAACCAACAGCAGAATTGAGAGCTCGGCTCCAGACTGGTTCTCAGTTACGCCAAATGCTGAGAAACAAAAGGGCCCATAGCAGCACGGCTCAAGGACATCACCCTCACAATATATACATCGACAAAGACCCTCCATCATCCCCTCACATCCCAGGCAGACCCAACCCATTTCCGACCTGCTGGCTCCCATCCTGCCCCTTACCAGCCTTCACAACCGGCACATTGCCCATACCCTGCATCATCGCATCGTTGCTCATCAGACCCAAAGCGCTCTTCTGCATGACAAACATGGCAGCCTGAGGCGCATTTCTATTATACGTCAGGTGGTCAAGCGTGATCTTGTCGCCGCCCTTGGCACAGATATCATCCTGCGCGTTACACAGGCTCAGCACCCTCGCCTGGTCGACTCCAGCGACGGCGGTGCCGTTGCGCGGGTCGCCGAAGAGGACGACACTGGAAACACGGGAGGCGACATTGACATTGTTCGGGGCAGTGGTGGTGTTGGACATGGCCGCCACCTTCTCCATGGCGTTGTGGACGACCTGTGCGCCCTGGGAGTAGCCTGCCATGATGATCTTCGAGTTTGGACAGGCGGAGGCCGTCTTGTTGGCCAGGTCTGCCATCACGCCCGAGCCGAGCGGTGACCCGCCTGCGAGGAAGCCGCCGATAGAGGCCGGGTATGGGACGCCCTGGACGGCCATCGTCGACGTCCCGTTGATGTAGTTGCGTAGCGCTGTGAAGAAGGATGGGCCTGTGTACAAGCCGACGTTTCCTAATGTGGTGGCTTATCAGTCCCATATCCGGACGGTAGGCACCACGGCAAGCGAGCACATGTATAACAGGAGGATCGTAGACGTACCAAGTTCCGCTGTACCGCGGGCAAATAACACCGCCATATCCGGACACGTGACGGTCCCATTCGCAGCAACGGCGCTGACCGTACCATTGACCCCAGCGGCATTATCGTCGTCGTCATCGCCCTTATCACTGCTAGTCACGTTGACGCCCAGCAAACCAACGAGGTCGTTCTCATTCGTGGCGTTCTTCACCTCCTTGATCACCGCCACAAACTGGGACAGCAGACTCGCCGTGTCGTTGACTAGGTCGGCAAAGTCATCGATCAGATCCCCCACCGCGCCAGAAAGATCTCTCTCGTCATGATACACTGAGACGGGGGCGGCGAGGCCAAAGTGGTTATGAGATGATATGAGGAGGAGGGCTGGTAACAAGAGCCGCGACGGGCTTGGGCGGCGCATGGCACCTGATTTTCGGCCGACGAGTCGGCGATGTTCGTGGTGGTGTGTGCGAGATGAGTTGCTTCCTAGTGTGAGGTGAGGAGTGAGCAAAGTCTATTTCACAGGTGTGCGCTCGGCATGTGGCACACAGAATTCACATGTTATGACCGCTCATCCGAGTCCTGAGAAATGGACGGGTGTACACATTGTCGATTGACAGACGGGGAGGGGGAAAGCTAAGATGATCACATCGAACACCGAGGACGAGATGCGCTGCCCCCGTTTCCAAATCATAGAGGCAGTGCAAAGCGCTTGAACGTGAGTGCATTGCACGACCGGGCGTCATCCGATTCGCAAGCTTGTCTTCAAGTGTTGGGCGACGAGGTGAGGGGGTTTCGCAGAGGTTAGAAGCCAAAGTGTCGGAGCGAGGCGGGAAGCGTTTCATGATCGCCTCCAGTCCCGAGGCCCCATGCCAGCCAAGCAGACTTCCGTCAAAAGTTCGGAGACAGGGGTCATCCGACCTGGGGACCAATGGCAGAGTACTTGAGTTCCTGCAAAGTCGAGCGAGATCGTCTCTCGTCGTCTTCACGAACGACAATCTTGGCATGGGCAGCGGCGCCGATGGCACAGCTCACCAGCGTAGCACTCGCAGTGAGAATGAGTTAGGCGCGTAGCGAGTCCCAAGGCTTGATCAGCTTCCATGGACCTTGGGAAAATCCGTTGTATGTATTGCTGCCTTCCGCCATGCAGATTAATCATGGAATCATCAGTAGTAGGTCGCTCGCATACAGTCCCCTCCGGCCAGCACCTGCTCACCCATCACCGGAACCCGCTCTTCACCTCCAGTCTCGGCCACTCAACAAGCACTTCCCCGCCATACAGCTCGGACACGACCCTCGCAATCCTCTGTTCCACCTCGTTATAGTACGATTCGCACGACTTCGTCACCTTCAAAGCCAGGCTGTTGTTCTCGTCAAAGTGTTTCTCAACCCGCTTCCTCAGTGACTCGATGCCCTTCCTCACTTCTTTGGCATCGTAATGCAGCAGCACCTTGTCAAACGTCGCCTTGCTGTTGGAAGGCTGGGCAGCAATGGCGGCGGGGGCCTTGCCCGACTTGAGCTGGCCCTCAATGTTTTCGAGTGTGTCTAGGAGCTTGCCAAGGGGCCGACGCATGACTGCGTCGAGGTACCGCGTCATATGCTCGTTTATCTCGTCCGAGGCCGCACGTTTCCATTTCTCGAGTGTTTCGTCGTCCCGTGTCTCCACCTCTTCGATGTAATGGTTCATGTTCTCGATAAGCAAAATGTGGTAGTTAAGCGCCTCCTTGTCCTCCGGGTCAGCCCCTGCACCTGCTGCTGTCACGCCCACTGCTGGGTTCTCGCGTGCGATGACCTTGAGCGACTCGAACATAGACCTTAAGATGCGGTCATATTCGCGGTCGACGGTCCGGCGGACATTGAGATTGGGGTCGATCCCGAGGAGCATGTTTTCCACGGCCATGCTGAAAGGCGGGAACACTTTCATGAAGGAAATGACGCCTTTTCGCTTGTTGATCTTGACCTTGGTGTCCTCGATAGCCCGTATTTGCTCCTCGACAAACCTCTTGAATTTGACAAGTAGGTTGCCGTGGACCTTTTGCAAGGCACTGTTCAGAAAGTCTTGGTTGGACTGCTGGATATCTGCGAGCTTGCGCTCCAGGTTTGCCATGACCCCAACACCTTGCCTATCGAGAATTATTAGCAAGAAGCCTAAAACGCCCACGGAAATCCAACAATACTTACAGTGGACTCTGTACCAGGACCCAGTCAACCATGTTGCTCAGATCTTTCTCGAGGAACGGGAAAATCACTTCCATCGATCGTGTCACTCGTCGCGCTAGATCTCGATCCGGCTCCATGAGTCTGTGTCTCTTAAGATCATTACCCCTGCGAGCCCCAGGACTGATGGAGGCAACGGCGTCTGGGAAGTCGATCTGCTCGAGGGTGGTGGCATGGAAGAAGTCGATGACGAAATTCTGCTCCATCTCTACCAATGGCAGGACATCGTCCAGCACATTTGCGAATATCTCATATGGCGAGCTTCGTGATAAGTCGACGGCGCTGCTGTTCGCGGATTTGTTGGGGCCTTCCCCAAGAGGTGAGCGGATCCTAGCGAGCGTCTGGCTCCTCTTTACTGTGAGCTTTCGGGCTGCTGTAGCAAGACCCTCTTCCTTCTTCTCCTCCTGAGAAGAAAACAAGAGCGCCTCCTCCCCAGTTGGCTTTCTGGCGTTCCTCTTCCACGAATCCAAACCATCACGGAACTCCATCTTGTACGTTGGGTGAGCCGCGTCCTGGTAGATCTGTATCAACCGATTCCAAACTTCGAGATCCGCATCCCTGGTATAGAGCATAAGCGGGTCGTATTTCCAGAGCATGTCTCGTCCAATATCGTGGTTGTGAGGGTCGATCTTCTTGTTCAATGCGCCCTTGAGAGCCCTCCGGACCTCATCGTTTGCAACATTAAACTGTTTGGCCATGAAGTCCACGAGCCGCTGCATGAACATGGCGCTTTCTTGCATGTACATCTGTCTTTTTTCCTGCACGACTCGCATCTTCGCATAGTCGCCGTTGAAGTCAATAGCTTGGTCGCTACTGCCGTCTCCGGTCTTGGATTCATCGTCAGCACTGCCCATGCTCGGGTCAATTTTGATCATGGCCTTGTACAGGGTGACGAGTGCCGTTTCGACTTCTTCAACACCGTTAACAGTTTCGAGAGGGGCCATTGATAAGGCCTGCAGGTCATTTGCAGTGATCGCACAAGTTTCCAAAAGCGACTCCAACTCCTTCTTGAGTAGCTTTTGATTCGCTGCCTGGACCTGCAGACCTTGGCCTTGAGCCTCGATATATGCAATGTCATCTTGGAGGGTCTGGGGCAGAAATTAGTCGCGTAGCAAGGCAGGACCGAGCAAGAAAGGCTTACAGAGAGTTCGACGGTATACAAAGTCAGGAGATTGTCCAGTTCGTCGCATTCGTCGACTGCTGCGTCAATGCCGGTTTTGATAGCATCAACACGTTCGTCCTCCTCCTGGAATCGAGCCAGCCAGCCCCCAGCTTGTGCCTTGTTCAGTTCTCTTTCTATGTCGAACTTCATTTCATCAGAATTCAGTGTCCGCATCTTGTCCCCTGGTACCCAGGAGAAGAAATCGAGCCACTCCGTGAACTGAGCTGTCTTGTTATCCAATATAGATGGGTCAACACCAAGCGTCGTGAGATACTTGAGGTCATTGCCAATCACAGCAGACTTCTTGCGCTCGTCTTTGACCTCAGGCTCTGGGATTTTCTTAGGCTCGTGTTTCGGCTCAGGCTTCTGGACCTTCGCAGTCTCCGGTGGTGCGGGCTCTGCTTGCGAGACCGTGACCTCAGGTACCGGCTCCGGCTTCTTCTCAATGGACTTTGGTCGAGGCGGTGCGGGAACGACCGCCGTGATTCCATCTGGACCGTTATCCTGTTCCTCCTTAGCAGCCTTCAGCAGTTTCTCGCCTGCTCCTCCAGCCCGAGGTTTGAACGCGTTAGACGCTGCCGCTGCTTTCCACAAAGCTCCTGCTAATTTGTTCTGCGACCTCTTCGCTTTGATCATCGGGCCTAGACCAGGACGGTGCTCCTCGGGTGAGACTGGAGAAATTATTGGGCTCTCAGCCGGTGTAGAAGCGGAAGCTGGCACTGTCGGGCTGTCATTGTTCCCCTCGTTTGTAGATACGGATAGGGGCGGAGGTGCAGTGTCAAGTGGAGGAAGAGGTTCGGTAGGTTGAGGTGGTGCCGGAGGTTCGACAGGTTCAGCGGCGATCTGGTCTATCGCCGAAGGAGGCTCTGTACGTTGTGGCCGGCCTGACGGTCTCCTCGGAGACATGCGCTCAATGCTCCTGGGTGGCGGTACCACCGGCGAGCTAGGCTCGATAACATCTCGAGATGGTACGCGGCGCAGATTCGCATTGCTTAAAGGAGCCGGCACCAATGCATCATCTGGTGGAAGACCGGTGGGCCTCAACGGGTCCATAGGCGGGCGTTTTCTCTCTGGTGGCCTGTCTCCCGCAGGCCTGTCTCCTGGGGTTCTTTCCCTTTCTCCCGATGGCCGGCCTGCTATAGGGGTCCTTTCCCTTTCTCCCGAGGGCCGGCCTCCCATAGGCCTGTCTCCTGTAGGCCTCTGGTTGGGATTCGGGGAGAAGGCGGGAGCTAGGGCAGGCGGAGGGAGATCTGGTGTCTTGTTGAATGGCGGGGCGCCATTCGGTCTCCCTCGCGACCTCGGCCGTAGACTTTCATCGCCGCTCCTATACGAGTTGGCAACCGAGTCCTGGCTCTTGTTGCCGGTGGCCAGCCTCTGCCTCAGGGGGGCTTCCTGGCTTCGTAGGTTTCGGTTCGAATCGACACTAGGGGCAAGACTCGAGGCCGGCGACGAGTTGCCATTAGGGGGCATGGGACTTCGTGAGGGTGTTCGCGTGTAGTCTGAGCCGGCGGCGCCATCAAGTCCATTGGACTGCGAGCTTAGCGCCTGGTTGGAGGCGGACGGGAGCAGCGGGCGAGCGGGCGAGGGCGGCGGCTGCGGTCTGCCCGGAGATGCGGACGGCCGGGCCGGGGAGGGACTGGGTTGATTGGGAGTCTGTTGGCTGGCTGCGCCCCGTCTGGCGGCTCCGCCGAGGACTTGATCGAGCTCGCGCTGGTCGAAATTGGACAAGGAGGGCACCCGACCGCCGGTGTACTTGCCGTAGATCTTGATCAGACTGGCAATGAAGAACTTCTTCTCCTTGTCAGTCTGTGCCTCCCAGTAATACGGCTTGCCCAGTGTGACAAGAAAGCCGTTGTCTCCAGCCCATTGTCGGAAGTCGGGAGGGGTATTAGGGCCGGTGTATGATTCTATCGCGGCCAGATCATCAAGATTCCAGGTTTTGCCGATTGAAAAGGAGCCGTTGACATTCTCTTTCGTCTTGTGTACTCGGACCCGGCCGGACTTTCGAACAGCGACGATGATGACACGCGGCTTTTCTGACTGGGGCGTTCTCGCCTGAGGGGGAGGAGGACTGGTTGGGTATTGCGAGAATTCTAGTATCCGCAGGTGTGTTATGTAGGTCTCGAGAACTGTGGTGGGTGAGAGGCAACAGTCAGCATGTCATGCGGAGTCGTGCAGATTGGAGGGGAATGGCCTGTTCCGGGGCGCACCTGAGCCATCGTCGTCCCTCTTGCTGAAGCAGCTCTCGATGATGCGTCGCTTCTCGTCCTCGAAACGCTCGGCGCGGCTCATGCCTGGGGCTGGGGCGGACATGGCGGCGAGCCCATCGGTTCGCAATCTCCGTCGAGCTCTGGAGCCGGTGGGATGGGTTGCTGGGCGCTTCAGCAGGCGGGGGACATCTAGTAAGTTGACTGATGGGGGATATTCGAGGACGGCCGGGCAGCAAGATGTACAGAATGATGTCGCAGGTCCAGGGTTGAGGCTTTGCTCTCGTTACGGAATGCGTCCATGCCGGCCAAGTGAGCTGGGGACCTTGGGCAGCCAAATGCCAAGTACCCTGGTACCGTAATACGTACCTGCCAGGCCTCTGTGGGTAGCGTTAGAAGAGCTCCAACCTGGCTGCTGCGCTACACCCTTTCGGGTACCAGGAGCTCAATGGGGGGCGGGGCGGAAACAATTCCAGAGATGGCATTCCATGGTTTCTTGCTCCAGACAACCTGCTGCACTCGCCCATCTCGACTGATAGAGAAGAGGCTCGTGTCAAACACAGCTTCAACTGCCCACGGATGAGGTATTGATCGCTTGTCTCGGCTGACTCGGCCGAGTGCCAAAGATCTTGGCGAGTAAGCGTCTCGCATTGATGGCCTTTGTGCAGTACTCTGTACTGCAGCACAGCAGTCACCCCTGGTAACAAGGCAGACCAGCAGCATGCACAACACCGTACAGCTCAGTTTCTGGCTGTTGTCACACGACGGCGACTGCCGTTCCGTTGCACAGGGTCAAATTCGATTTAGAGACTGACTATTCTGGACTGTGTTTATGCATCTTTGACTGGTTTCTATCACGGCCCGCTCACCTGTTCCCCCGTCCCCCTTTTCAGCCGAGTCCCACTCTATCCACGCCGCCGCCACGTCTCTGGCACCAAAGGTGCAGAGGTCGCACACATACTTGAGAGCTCAATCCACAGACCAAGTGCCTCCAGATATACATACATCCAGGTATGATCGCCTCGCTCAGACCAAGGTTACAGTCTTCCAATTCTTCTCGTCTTCTCGGATCTTGGACCCTTCTTTACCATCAAGGAACATCCACCCAGTTCTCTGCATCTTTCCCGTCTGCTCGTCTCCTGCACTCCTGATAACAAGTCCGTAGAGCGAGCTCATTGCCTTGTCAGCATCGCCGTCGGCCGAGTCTGACTCCTGACCTCGTTCCCCCTTATAACCACCGAGAAGTAGCACTTCGATTGGCCATTCCTTCCACTCGCTGGTACCAGTGACATCGGCGTGGTCCGTCTTCATGATCGTCCCGTTCTCAGACTCCGAGTAAGGCGTACAGACCCTCGGCAGCGGCCGGATTTCAGCTCGGCCGAGCCTGGCTTCGTGCTCATTCGACTCCAGTGTGCTGTGCCTGAGCTGAATGGCAGGCCCTCGGATCCGCACCCAGGCATCCTCCACCTCGCCGAAAGGGTTGGCCTCGTGCTTCAAGTCAACGTGCCAGTCCAGGATGTCAGCGATATCGACCCAGCCCGGATTTGGTCCCATGGCTCCGATCCCAGCATAACTTGCCCAGCTCCAGCTTGGCCCGATGTACTCGTCTTGGGATGCGGGTGCTCTCTCGCCCAGGCCTTGCCACGCCAGGCCCTCCATCATGGCCTTGCTCCAGATCCCAGCGACGTACTGTCCCCCGAATCTCTTGTGAAACAGTCTGGCAAGACCACTGATGGCTGGCAGCCTGTCGGTCGGCTTGCTCAGCTTGCGCCTTCCGTAGCCCCAGACCAGTGCGTCCCAGAGTCGTAAGTCCGCTTCGTAGTCGGGCAATGAGTCCGATGAATTACCAGTAGAGATCTCCAGGGAGGGAGCAAGCCTGTCATTCAACCTGCAGTGCCGCTCTTTCTTGTGTGAGCCATCCTCGGCGAAGATGCCTTGGTCACATTCGAAGTAAATCTGTCTGGCATTGTAATGAATAATACGCTTCGCCAGAACTCGTTCCTGCAGTGCCCAGCCTCGACGGGTAAGTGGCTCGCCGGGGAACTCGGTTGCTGTGAACGCCACCCGCTGGTCTGACTGAAACAACAGCATTGCATGTACATAGTCCGCCCCACCAGGGAGCTTGAAAACCGTCTTCGGGCGTGCCGTGCGGCTGTGGAAGATCCCACCGTTGCAGTCATCAGAGCGGTTGGCCGCTATGACGATGTGGGCATTCGAATACACATCGACCATTCGGGACGACTCACGAGCCCAGTCGCTCGCATCATCTTGACAGATACAAAGGCTATCGATCCACAGGTATCGGAGGCCCAGTCGTCGGGCTATGGTAACTGCATCGATAAAAGTCTGAGGTGTTTCACGGATGTCGATGCCTGCACGTCGGGCTTCCATGTTCTCGCGTGAAGTGAGATAGGGTGGTGATTTTCCCCACTAGGTATTCAATATCACTTTTTAGCCTCCGGAGACTTTCACTACATCGGGCTAATAAACCTACACAATAAGAAAGGGAAGCGTATTTCCCTCTCTGATGGGTACCATCAACCAGCCTGATGACGTGCCCAGGTGATCCGACATCAAGCACCCTTGTTGGTAAGACCGTGCTTTCATCGGAGCATCTTCCAGAAGTATGGTCAGTCGTACACTTTTGCAACCATGAAGCTACGAATTCTAGGCTGGGATCCGAAGCCGAGTGTGATTCCAGCGGGCGCACTAGGAACTGCTCAGCCAAATGACTTGCTAGTGATAGTCAGTAACTTCGTTCAGCTGACACAATCAATTTTCGAGTGTGAGTGAATGGGCCTGGACAGACTGGCTTCAGCATAGAACCTCACTGCCGCTAACAGGTACAAGTACTTGGGCGTGGCTGGGTTCTTCGCCCAGAGAAAAAAGCCTTGCTCTCCGTCGTCACAGGCCGTCAGCCAGAGCTGCTGGCCAGTGGGGATGGGTTCTCTCTGCAGTGAAAACTCGATGAAAGATTTGCTGTTCTTTGCGGCATCTTCCCAGCGGTCGATCCAGCCTTGCACGCCAGTCTGCGCTACGTTGCAGACAGGGCATGACCTCGCCGACAATGCCAAGGCCTCGAGGTCCTCGTGGAAGGGGAACCCGATCTGATCTGGGAGCTCTGCATCCGGGCTCGTGATCTCATCTCCTGCCTGGAACATGACCTGGATGCTCTCGGCACTGTCCGCGACTGTGGTCAGCCCCCGGCGCTCTTGGGGCAAGCGGGGCAAGGCGGTAAATGGCACCGTCAGACATAGATCGCACACCGGCATCGTGCTAGGTGACTGCGGGTGATCAAACTAGGTGCGATACAGCAAAGGAGAAAAGCACCGCTTCAACCACGAGCGGGTTTTACGATAGATAGGGTAGTCTGACAGCGAGGCAAGGAAGCGTCGCGCTGTCCAAGTTGTGTGGTCAATCACATAGCCTCCATGCGCCTCAGTAAGCAGTAGTCTACTTTGTCAAGGATCAGCCACGTTCTTGCACGTGGCCCATTAAGACCTCAGCGCCGGCAGTTGCAGTACATTTAGGCAGGATGTCTTATACTGCACGAGATCGCAGAACCTCTTATCTCTTCCCTTTAAAATCATGAGCCCTTGCGACAAACATGTACCAAAATAGTGTCCAGAAAACGCGGACTGGCAGTACTTGAATAGCATACTGGGTGCGCTGACTATTTATCATCTCAATATACACTTTCTGGAGTTACCAACTATTCGAGAAGGGCGGGTATTAACGTGATGTAGCCAGTAGGATGGTGCACGGGCATTAAAAGGACATTAAAGATATGCTAGTACTCGTCATCGTGCACTCAGATGCTCCGATACCTGCGACCTTCCTCCTTACGAGCCCACATGCTTCGTGTGAATCCTGAATTGAGGGACGCCATGCCTTATATGATCCCTGTTCTGATTGGATCCCAGATACCATTGACTGCAGAAGCTTGAATTTCTCAAGCAGAGCTCTGCTACTGGCGGAGCTCATGCTCCGAGGAAGAATTCGGCCATGTCGAGTGAGATCAGAAGTCATAAGAACAACAATGTCATTCTTGCAGATGACTTCCCCATCATTGGTTTTCGGAGACCATGATAAAGACCAAGCAGATAGGTAGATCATTAGACCCAAGAACCGCTCCATTTCTTGCCGCCGGTGTATCAAATTCGGCATTCCGCTATATTTGAACGCAGATTTAACCATGCTAACACTTAATTAGTGCTCGCAGCTACCAGATGGTGAGCTCCAGGCCGAGTGTGAACCACCTACACGAAGTTATGGTCAGATTGCCCTAGTGTGGACCAGCGATTGTCAGCTTTTGCCGCTCCTCTCAGTGGACAAATCATGGTTTTCATCTGCTCGTATAGGTCTAGGTCAAACGCCCTGAGGGTAACGAGGCGTCGATTTAGCCTTAGCGGACTCCTATCGGGATTGCTTGGACTGCGAGGCAAATAGCTTCTCGTACCACTGACTCGTCCCCATATATGCAGAGAATCTTCAAGTTCTGACGTACATTAGCCTTGCATTGCATCCCCTTCGAATCCATTCGATCCCTAGACCATTGACCGCACACTTACTTGATATCTATCTCCTTACATCTACATACCTCACCTCACTCACTCATAATGAGGATTTCCTCTCTCTCATTCGCCTTCATCGTGGCTCTTGCCGGCGTTATGGGCGCGGACGAACCCCGTGGCATTTGCGGCCTTGACAAATGGGTTTGGAGCAAAACGTACTATATCACTTTGACCGATGTTGGCGATGATAAGGCCGTAGTCTGTCCAAAACTCTGGAGGGAACTAAAGAAATGTAAGTAGCTTCCAGATATAGTTCAGCCGTCTTAAGAACAGACACCTCCCATCTATTGCCTCTCCCTCGAAAGCCTTATCAGGTTGCAGGTTTTAAAACAGGCTGTATACATAATGTGGCATGGCCCTCCCCATGTTCGAATGGAATTTTTCGTGGTGCTTTGGTAGCTGACTTCCAGTGCTGCAGTCAAGCCCCGCTGCTATGTCCATGGTGATGCATACTGTGGGCAATCGTTTGGATACAAAGAAGGGATCGAATGGAGGTTCAGAACCAGCCTTCTTTGCAGTACAGGCCGCGTTGCCTGGGCATACTGGAAGGCAACCAATAATAAGTACGGGGAGTTGGACCAGGGTGGCTGTGACAACTGAGAATAGTGGCATTTGACGTGGGTGAGGTGGCAATGGCCAAATGATTGCTTTAATTATGGATTTGCAACGTCCCAAGATAACGGGGATCGTCGTACTGACTGCCAGAATGCACGTTTCCGTGGCTAGAATTTGTTCCAGCCCCATGTCCCTAATTCATGGTCTCAATACGCGAAGGTCTGACAAATATATATCCAATTCGCCCATTTTCCATCCAGGTCAGTTCTATACACAATGAAAGACAGTGAATTGAATGCCCCCGATCCATCAGAGCACAGCTGGTAATGCAAGACACTGTTTTTAGCCAATAAGGTTTCAGAATCTCTTGGTTTTTCTGCCACTGGTGACTGCATACGTCCTGGAAAATAGATAATACATGTTCTTCTGCTTCATCCGTGTGGCATTGCATACTGTCTGGCATCTCCCATCCCATCTCCTTTTGCTATAATTGAGATGTGTGCAGCCAGAGCCTCTGTCTTTGGATAAAAATGCCCATAGACTTTGAACAGGCTTCTGCTTTTCCTCACATGCCTGTGAATTCAGCCTAAAGCCTGCCACAAAACTTGAAAAACCGAGGGTGCGTTTACAGTCGTACAGCTACATGAATCGAATGCTAGTCAATGGCATAAGTGTTTGCTGGAACATCCGCAACGCACATCAACAACTGCTTAGAGCAGAGACAGATCACATCACTTACCCTGCTCCACAAAACTGTGATGCTTTGCCGCGCCGCGGCGCAGACCCACGCTATAGCCCCTGACGGCCAGACGATACTGAACTGTTGGTTATACTCCATCATATGCTATTTTTACCTCCGGCGATCGTGATTCCGATACGCTGCCCCGACGGGCGATGGTCTTGGTCATCGTCCGGCAATGATACGCGCAGTTCTTGGACGAAGTTGATAGTATTTGGTCTTTTGACCGGCGTTACTATGTCTCTGAATAAGGTGGCCCGCCATAATGTCTGTTTCATGTGTAGACGTAAGTTAATTCAAAGGCAGCATACTCTGCCGACCATAAAAGTTTCAATCATACACCTAGGTGGGGCATCAGAGTTAAACTGTCGTGCAGAATGCGACCTTGTTTTCCCTTCCGTGCCATATTGTATGCCTAAAAACGCCGGCTGCCGTTGAGGTTGCAGTCCGGTGTACCAAGCTGCAGATTGTGGCGGAAGGGAGTCACCTTACCCGGGAGGTGCTAAAAATCCTGCGCCGCGCCTCGCCGTCCATTCCTTTTTCTTTTCAACACACTGTTGGCTCATGCACGTGCATAAGCGCTAGGAATAAAGGCTGCCTGAGCCAGGATCGCCATCCTTTGTATGGAGCTACCTGAGAGGGATTGAAAGGCTCCTGGCGCCAACACCCGCTGGTAGGGCTCACATACCAGATTTCTGGGATGGTGAATTAGCACACGTTGGTTCATCCCAGGCGCCTTGTGAAATAACGTTTGCTTACCTGCGGACCCTTGGCACTGCACCTATACTTTGTCGCTCCGCTCGAACTGGGTTCATGGGTGCATTACCAGTTGGCCCAGCTCTTAAATTGGTTTTAAGCGCAACCCATCCCCTCGGTTGCAACGACCACGTTAGCCATATGAAGGCTTCTCCTGTGACTCCGATATAGTAGACTGTTGCATCTCTGCTTTCGGAACATACAGATACGAATATAGCAGTATTGCAGTCATCTCACAGTATGGCACCCCGCGTTGCAGTCATTGGGGCCGGCCCCCTTGGACTGGTAAGTAGCTCGTACGATCTTAACCCCCTCAAGAAGTGACCTCTCCCATCTCCCATCTCCCATCTCCCAGCTGTACCTTTGCCTCAAAGCTTCTGTAAGCTGCAGGTTCGAGACAGGCCATGGTAACACTGGGGCCCGCTCCTCTCGTCGAAGTACTTCCTCGGAGCTTTGTGAGCTGACTTGGAATGCTGCAGATGGCTGTGAAGAACATGAAGGAAGATGGACTGGATGTTACGTGTTTTGACGCGAGGTCATGGATTGGAGGGTCAGTATGATTGGATTGCCTCTGGCTTGACATTGTCTTACCCATTGTGAGCAAATTCTTACCACTGAAAACCCAGTATATGGAATTATTCTGAGGATGAGAGTCTCTCTGTGGCTGCAAACACAATATTCAATAGCAGCAAATACAGGAGCGCGGTATCAGACTACCCCTTTCCCGGCGGCACGGATGATTTCCCGACATGGCGTCAGATGTGGGAATATCTGCAGGGCTACGCGGACCATTTCCAGCTGCGGCCGCACATCCAACTCAACACACGTGTGACGGCCATTACACGCGACGGCGACACATGGGCGGTTGAGGTCCTGGTCAAGGATGGATCTCCTCGTCGCGAGTATTTTGACAAGGTCGCCATCGCAAATGGGTCATTCACGGCACCTAAATGGCCTAAGCTCCCAGGCATCGAACAATTCAAGGGAAGGACTCTGCACGCGATCAACTTCCACCGGCCCGAGACTTTCAAGGACCAACGGGTATTGCTTATTGGTCTCCATGCTACCGCACAAGACGTCGCTTCGAGTCTTTTGGGACATGCTGCACAGTTGTATGTAAGCCACAGGAATGGTGTTACCTTGGTATGTTTCGAAAAGGCCCCGGCGTGTTCTTTGCACCTCGCTGATGAAGCGCAGCTCCCACGGTATGACCCCAAAGGCGCTGTGTTCGACGCAGCTTTGACTCTCCACCTCACAAAATTCATGTTGTTTGCGACGACGTGGTTTCCCAATGTACTGAACTGGCTGCTGGACAAGTTCATGATTGCCGCATCCAAAGCAGCGTTCCCCAAAGTGTCAAAGTCATGGAACTTCTTCCCAGCTCCATCCATCGCCACAACAGCGCCTTTGATCGCGGACGAGATCTACCCTCTACTAGAGTCGGGGTTTTGCGAGCCAGTGACTACGGTGGCCAAGATCACGGGCCCGAGGACGGTCGAGTTGAAGGACGGCCGCGTCTTGGAAGACATAGATGCTATTATCTACACCACAGGCTACGACCTCTCAACGCCGTTCCTCGACAAGGAACACAGTCCCCACGTCACACCAGGCAGCCCGCCTTACTTGTATCGCGGCACGTTCTCGCTCCACGAAGACCCCAAGGTCCGAAACTCGATTGTATTCCTTGGCTACGCCGCGATCTTCTTCCCTGGTTTCGTCCAGCATGAGCTCATCATCATGGCAACCTCGCAAATATGGTGCGGCAAGTCTAGCCTGCCTCCACTGAGTGACATGAAAACCTGGTACCGTGGCTTCATGGTGTGGCGCCAGAACCTTCTTAATCGTCAGAAAAGTGAGGCCACATTTTACACGGTCGCCCAACCACTCACAGACCACATGCGATGGCTCGAGGAGACTGCCGGCACGGAAGTGTTCGACCATTTTGGATGGTTCAGCCGCAAGGCTTGGTCCTTCTGGTGGAATGACCGGAAGTTGTACAATCTATGTGCCAATGGTCTGTTCACCCCGACTATCTGGCGACTGTTTGAGACCGGAAAAAGAAAGGCCTGGCCAAAGGCCAAAGAGCAGATTATTCGTGATAACGAGGCAGCCCAGGCGCAGGTTCGAGCTAGATCTGAGATGCTGAAGCATGCGGAAGACAAGAAGACCTTGTGAGCGCATTTGGATCATTATGTATTGGATATGGTTGGTCAGAACCTAAAGTTCATGGAACGTAACACAGATTTGTGTCTCGTGCGAAACCGTAGCGGCTTTCAGGTCCGAGGCAGGTTCAGAGGCTGCTGCAATGGATGACGGGGTGTAACGACTCAGTAGCACCAATAGTGCTGAATTGCACTCTTATTTTTTCAACAGGCACAGATTCCAAATGGTCTGTCCTACCTGTCCAGCATTGCATGGGGCGTCGGAGCTTTCCTTCCATTCAGGCTTCCTTGGTGCATGGGTACCTGCCCGCAATGACCCTTCCCTGAGCAGGTACTTGCCAACCCAGAACAAAGGTCAACCTCCATCATTCCTACCCTCTCACCGCAGTCGCGTCGCGTCTTGACGCTCTGGAGAGCTGCAATTCACCGTGCGGACCATGGAATCCAAGGTAAATAAGCATTCAACGCGTCCGGTCCTTGTCTCATTGAGCTCGAGGTGAGTTGCTTCCATGCTAACAGTGCCGCGGACAGCGAGAACGTCCTGTTGATGACATCGGCAACTGACTTCCAACCCACCATTGTGCGTCTCGACGCGAGCTCGAAACGGCGCCATGGCCCCTCGGAACGAGGAAAACTTGCTCAAAGTCTGCATGTCGCGCTGCTCAGGGCTCAAGAGCGATCTCAAATCCATCCCCCAAACTCGAGAACCTTAGCCGGCAGAGCAGAGCTCTTCGTACCTCCCTACGGAAAATGAACAGGGTATTGCGTCCACACGATTCCGACTCCTTCGAGTTTGACCCAACCAAGCACCCTGGCCTGAGTCTCTTGGCCGCATATCTCTTCAATTTGCGCAATACCTGTGGGTATTACGGAATCAACGACAAGACAACCTGGAGGCTTAACGACAAGCAACGGGACTCGGCTTTAAATGCCATCAACAACCCTTTTGAACGGCTTGCGGAAAAGCTGTCTTGTTTTACGCAGCAACTCAGGCTGATACTTGCCGATAAAAACATGGACGGCCAAGAAAGGGCACAGAACTTATGCGAGTGGGCCGAGTCCATGATTGAGCACTGGGGCTTTTTCAAAAGAGAACTTGGAGCCGCGAGAGGACTGGCGGCAGCAGCTTCTGCTGCGAGCGAATCTCGCCATCCCAACCTCGCCATGACAATGCCTGACACCTCGGCCAATTCTTGCAACTGCAAGATGGAGAGTTGCCACGAGCTGGAGAAAGCCCAGATCTGGGACAGTATCCGTGATAAATTGGCCGCAGAAGGGGTTGGAGACGATGCAGTCGTGAAAATTGCGGATGACCTAAAGGCTTTCGTGAGAGACCTGGTCCGAGGCCAACGCCCCGAAATCGCACCGAACGAGGCCGAGTCGTCCTGCCATGCTGTGAACACGAGCGACATTACGGCAAGTGAGGAGCTCGGTGAAGTTCGTCATTTCTCAAAGGATCTGCTTGATCCTAAGGCCATCTCCTCAAAAGTCACGGCGGCACTCGACAGGATCACCACGGACTTCCATCAGGTTGCAAACGAAGTCTTGGCAGTTGTCTTGCAGGATGGCGAAGACACGAAAATATTTCGCCAAGTTCTTGATGTGATTTATTTCACGGCCTGCCGTGATACTACTCGTGCCAAAGTTTTGGCTAAACTGGCCAAGCACGTCCAGGATCGTGCCACACCTCATATCCGGGAGCTAATGATGAGCAAGAAATGGGCCAAGGTGAAAGCTGAGGGTGGCGACAGCACCAACGCCCCTGGGCCCGTGACGAGCTGGTACTTGGGAAAATGTAAGAGGACATGGGCGACGGGCAAGATTGGAAGCAGCAAGCTCAGTGCCGAGGACTTCGCGTTTGGCCTCCCGCGTTTCATAGGCGAGCTTGCTAAGTCCGGCGTTTTCCAGGGCTATCACGTTCACATCTATATCCGCGACAAGTGGAAACCCATGATGGAAAGGGATGAATTCGTCGCTGTGTACCAGCTCCTCAAAATCACTGGCCGCATGTGCGAAGGGAAAAAGATGCGTGCCTGCTTCGAGAACATTGAAAGCCTCATCAAAAAGGAAGATACTCCAAGCTGCATCAAAGCATTGGCAGAAGAGCTCCACAACCTGAGGGAATCCGGATGGAAGTCCAAGGAGTCAGAGGTGATCGACCAAGTTGAGGAGGAGATGAGGAAGAAGACGTAAGCCGCGATGTACTGGCCACATTGTCGGGTAAGTTTGCATGACCGTTTGTGTTTGTGCGCATCGCATTTGTGTTAATCAGTTCCGGATTCACAGTCAAGTTTCCTGCCTGACAATAAGTATGGATGTGCAACATGCGCAACGACGGAATGCTCCTACGAATATGTGCGCGTTGGGGCTCAGCGCAGATGGGGGATGTACGTCGGGCGGGCAAAGGTGAAGCAAGTTTCAGGAAGACAGGTCACTCGTTGTGCGAGGCAAGCAGATGAAGTGTGTGCGTGACGGGCAGGGCTGATTTGCTATAGACGAACTATTGTTCAAATTGAGGGGGCGGTGATTACTGTCGTGTTGCCTGAAATGCAAAACTTGGGTTGCATTGGACGAAGCAGACACAATCAGACCGGTTCCCGCACCGAGCTTGCGGTTTGCATACCTGGGCAGCTAAGGCTTTCTAGCTTGGTCAATGTGGAAGGCAGGGCGCAAGGCACTCATGAAGTGTGGTCAGAAGCAGGCTTGGAAGACATCATTGATGTTTGTGAGTGACGGCTAAGATCCGGTCACGCGTTTCAAGCTGCCAAGAGACGCACCGGAAGTCGGGTATGATGTTACTACTAATCGTCTAACGTCTGTGAACGTTCGTGCGTCAGTAGGCTCACTAAGCAGCTCCTGGCGTGGATCGACCGTTTAAGTGTCAAATCTGAATTGCTCTGACAGTCTGGGCGAGCCTTGGCGTGGTTACCGTCAGAGGAGAACAAAGATGCGAGCTTGCACCGTCAGTCAAACTTCCGGTGGCCGTCAACATATCAGCCGACGACGTTGAAGGGTGAGACGTCGGACGGTCAACTGTTGTGCACATCTTCGGTGTAGCCTGTCTCATCAATGCCTCTTTTAGAGCTCCGTGACAGTCTGACGTGTTGCAAAGGGGGCTGAGGAGCGGCCAGCAGGATTCAGGAGTTTAAAATGTGTACCAGATCACCACCAACCGGCCCACGGCCGTCGGGGCTCGGCATGTGAAGGAAGTGCGCAAGGGCGTCCACCATCCCGCGAAACTGCGAAACTGTAACCGTACTGCGGCTTGCGCGTCATCCCGCGAGGCGGCAGGGAGTTGGGTGCATGCACTGCCGGACCCACCCATCCAACCTCTGGGACAGCCTTCCAGTCCACCCGTTCACCGTACCGTCAGAACCGTTACCGTATGCGTGCTGCGGATGCACATGCCAGCAGCCACATGCAGGTCCGGGGTGGGCCTTGAGCCCCCCAGCCCAGCCAGCTCAAGCCCAGCCCGGCCTGGAGTGCCTAACATTGCACATTAAATCTGGGACCACCAATTTCTGCCCCGTGCAGCTGTGCAATCAGCATCGTCGTCGAATCCACATGGGGGATCCTTGGGACCAACACCGCCGCCGAAACACTACTTACGGCTTCCGTCCGTGTCTGTCACGGCCTGCCCTCCTTTTCTGTCCATTCTCGTAGTCCGGCTCCTTCTTCGGTGCGCTACTTTTGTTTCGTCCCTGGCGTCGTAACAGTGGTGGTGTTTCTTCAACAACAACCCCTTCCATCTAATTATCCTTTCCGATCCCAACATCGAGTCACTCAATTGAGTATTGAGTCCCCATCGTGGACCGATTGCCCTTCTCGCGGCGCCAGCGCCCCGCCGTCATGAGCCCCAGGCCATCGGACGAGGAGCGCATTGCTTTCCTCGAGGACACCTCCTTCGATGGCAAGTCGAGCGACGATGCCTTCGACGAGATCCTCCTAAAGACCCCTAGCTCGCCCCGGCGAGTGCCCCAGCGCTTGAAGAAATGGCTGCGATCACGGCCACGCGTCTTCCGACGCCACGTCCTCCGGCACCCCTTGCAGTCGCTGCTCGCGACCCTGAAGATCCTCATTATCGTCGTCGTCGTACTATTCGTCGCAACCCCGATCCTGGCGCCCTCCTACACACGACTACCTCCACACTACAGCGAGCTGCAGGCACGATGCCAGGACCCCGAAGCCCGACCCGGCTGTGCGAACCCGTTCCACGAGAAGATATTTATATCCGTTAGCTTATACGACAAGGGAGGGCACCTTGCAGGAGGGCGCTGGGGAGAGACAGTGCTGGAGCTTATACAGATGCTGGGACCCGAGCACACCTTCCTGAGCATCTACGAGAATGACAGCCCAGGCGGCGAGGAGGCGCTGCAGGAGTTCAAGAGCAAGGTGCCATGCGCGCACGAGATCGTGTTCGAGGCACACGTGCCGCTGACGGGCTTCGAAAACATCACCTTGGTCGACGGCACTGAGCGGATGAAGAGGCTGTCGTACCTGTCCGAGATACGGAACCGCGCGCTAAGGCCGCTAGATAGGTTCACTAAGGAGGAGTCCGGCGTGGTCGAGTTCGACAAGGTACTGTTCCTGAACGACGTTGCGTTCCACCCCATCGATGCGATGCAGCTGCTGTTCAACACGAACCTGGGCCCCGACGGTCGCTCCCAGTACCTGTCTGCATGTGCTCTCGACTACAAAAACCCGTTCCTGTTCTATGACCTGTACGCCCAGAGGGATGCGGAGGGGTACTCTAATGGCGTGCCAATTTTCCCGATATTCACAACGGCAGGAAACGGGACGTCAAGGGCAGCCATGATTGCACAGAGCGACGCGGTCCCGGTCAGTTCTTGCTGGAGTGGAATGGTCGCCATGCAGGCCAAATACGTGCAGAACCTGAACGAGACTCTGCCAACCCCGGACTTCCAGGCTATTGGCGCCCACCAGATCAAACCCGACAGCCCGGAACCGGTCGAAGCGCCTGTGCGGTTCCGGTACGAACCGGAGGTTTTCTTCGACGCTTGCGAGTGCTGCCTGTTCCTGGCCGACGTCTCGACGGCGGCACGCCAGGACAACGCGGACGAGCAGGAGGTTTTCGTCAACCCGTACGTGCGCGTGGCCTACGAGGAGTCGACCCTCTCGTGGCTGTCGGTAATCAGGCGGTGGGAGAGGCTGTTCCCCATCCCGCACCGTGTCGTTTCATACTTCGCGGGCCTGCCCCGGAACAACCCGTACCGCGAAGTGCGCGAGGGCGAGCCGTTCGTCGAGGAGAGATGGAATGTTGGCGACAACGACTGGGAGCTGGTTAACCGCACGGGGCGGAGCGGGATGTTCTGCGCGGTGCGGGAGATGCAGGTGATCCAGGTCGAGGCGCGGACTGAGGATAGGAACTGGTATAATGTGCCCATGCCGCCCGGCCAGAGGCTCGACTTCCCTAGTTAGGAAGGGTCACGGTCGTCTCTTGCCTGGGCCTGGCGTTTTGTTTTCCTTACCTGTTGGCGTGGCTTCTTCGAATTTCCCACGGGAAAAGTACGGCGTTCAGGATTGGATCATACCCCGGGGGGTTTTGAGGTGTTTCGGTCCCTTTTTGGTCCGTTTGAACGGGAAGGCGCTGAGTTGATAGAATGCACAAAGAAAATGAGAATGCCAATGCTATCGTGTAATCCTCCTCCTTGGCCACAACAGCTGGGCCCCGCTGCCTGATATATAAGAACCCCCAAGTGCGTTCCTCAGGTCTCGCCCGCCCCTCCCCCGCGAATGGCGAATCGGGGGCTGGGCCTTATCCGGCGGCAAGCCGCTTCCGTCAGACGGCGAGGCGAGCGCAGCCAATCGCCCGGGCCTGCCCTCCGGCCTGTTGCACCCACTTACCGCTGTGGCTAGGCAAGGGCGGCACAGAGGGCAGCCCTATCTGTCTGCATATTGCCGCGGGGTCCATGAGTTAACCCCCGTGGGCGGGAATCGTTCCGCGCGTCAGCGGGCGGCTCTTTCTTTCTTTCTTTTCGTCAATGCGTTTGTGGCTCGCCCGACGAATGAGAATGGCATTCCGCCGGGCGAAGGGAGGAGAGAGACGGCCTTCCAGGTTGGAGAGGGGGAGGGGCATCCGCTCGCTTCACGGGGGTGGGCTTGATCAGGGTCTTGCTCCGTCTGGCTCCTCTGCCGGGCCCTTGTAAGCTACTGCTTGACTGGGTTGTAGGCGGCTGTTATTAGCATATGCTGGGTAGTTCGCAGTTTAGGCAGGCAGCCTTGCCCCTCCATTACACAGCTTTCGCCAGCCCGATCTGTGGTCTTGGTGACATCGATCTTCTGATTATGCAGGTTTGACGGATGTACCTAAGACAGAGTGGCCTCTGTCGTATCTTCTGGTATCGTCCTGGTATTGGGCATTGTGTAGAAAGGCAAAAGAAGTGCTGAGAAATAAGGTAGAATTTAAAAAGGTTGGCAGTGGTGGTTGTCCTGTGCCATAATCACGGCGTGTCCTGCTGAATATGGGCAAAATGCCCCTTAGGTGATATGTTTGGAATCGCAGGTCAGACTCGACATTACCGCAAATGTGGTCACTGTCGGAATGCGACGTACAATTTTTCAACGACAACTCGAATATAACCTTAATGGAAAGCATGGCATGGGTGGATATTTGCTCATTTGTGTCTACTAGCATCTGCCACGAGTTCAAACGGACTGTCTTAGCTACCATGCCGGCGTAGCGGGGTTGGGACGGCTCATTAATAGAACCAACGAAGGATGGAATATCAGTGGCTGTATGTCAGAGAGGCGGTGATCCTAAGGTCGACATCTTTTTCCAAGATTTAGATCTGTTGAGTAAACAGATTGGCTTCCAAACTGGGAGAACAAGCATGTTGGCCAAGCGACCGTTGAGACGTCGTGGCAGACACGTCAGAGGCACATCACTTCCAGGGTCCTACAGAATCGGCGAACAAGATAAGATGACCAGGCCTGGCGATGAGTGGCAGTTGACAGCATGCTCAAAGGAGAAAAAAGCGAGAGGAGAAAAACACGTCGCAGTGCAAGCAGGCCTGGCGTGACGCGCGCAGGGCTCGAGGAACCCGCTTTGAAGGGGCAAGGATGGGAGACGAGAACCCCGGAGGACCAGTCGACCAGCTTGCCAATTGACCTGGGACACGGTCTGTGTCGGTGGATTGCACGGCTGGGCCGCAGCCAAAAATATCCGGGATTTGATGGCAGCGGATAATCTGGTGAAAACAAAGCCGCACTTACACCCACCCACACACACAAGTAGAACACGAAGAGACGGGAGAAATAAACAACAGGAGAGAGATAGGGGCCGTGATGGACAGCGGCGAGAAAGCTGTTGCGATCGCGCCCAGCCAGCACATTATTGTTTTGTTCATTTCCCGCTCAAGGTTGTAGTCATTACCCACCTAGAGTAGGAGTTCAAGGGCCCAGTTACTAGACCGTTTGATTAGTCGTCAGCTGTATTAGTCTCGTCTGTAGATGGTGTGCTGCTTGTGACTCGCCGTCCGCTGGTTGCCAGGGCCATGATAGCCCAACGAGGTGAGAACGAGCGTGCCCAGGAGAACAGAAGAGCAAGGAGCCTGGCCACCCCCCTCCAATCGGTCACCCGCTCCTGCCCAACCCCATTTTGGCAAGCTTTAGAAGGGTCGAGTTGTTTTCCCTCGTTTCGCATCCGCACCCGCACACCCGCATCGCAACCGTCCGTCTCCCCTCCTCTCCTGTCCATCTTTTTCCTCCTCCCACAACACACCATTTAGTTCTCCCATCGCAAAGCTCGAAATCATTGTCGCGAAGCATTCCCATTTCGAATCATCATATTTTTGTCCCGTATCCCCCAACAAATCCCACACAGGTAAGCTCTGCAGGACAGCGTCTCCGCACGCGCGACCGCGCCTGTCGCATCTGAGTCGCATCACAGCGCCACAGCTCTGTGCCGTCCGGCCGTCGCACCGCGCCGCCACGCTCCCTGGGCGCATTCCGCGTGCGCCTACCTGTTACTTTCCTTCTCGTGTTGAGTAGCCGGGGGCTCATTGCTAACGCGTCTCCGCGCCAGGTCTTCATTTCAAATCAGTTCGCAATGGCACGAGAGGGCACACGATCTGCTACTGGCAGCTCCACACCGCGCGTCTTCCAGCAGGTTGACACGGCCCCTACTATCAAGAGGAAGCCTGCGACCAAGAAGGCCGGCGCGAAGCCCACGGGTGTCACCAAGAAGACTGCTGCCCCTAAGAAGGAGAGCAGTGTTGTCAAGAAGGTACGTCGCTGTTGGATGCCGCCGCGCCGGCGGATCTCCCGTCGCCCGCTGCGGCCTGGTTGTGCCGCGCTGCTGTTTATCCTCTCCATATCTGAGATCACGTTGCCTTGGAAAATTTAATCACATGCTGACAAAGTGGCGCAGGTCAAGGCTGCTGTCAAGAAGACCGAGGCCAAGGTCAAGAAGGCCACCACCAAGAAGACCGACACAGTATGTCTGCCCAGCCACACGCGTTGTCTCCTACGGTGTCAAGCCCCCCTAACTGACAGCCCACACAGAAGACAAAAGCCCCCAAGACCAAGAAGGCCGCCGTTGCCAAATAGTCGGCAACTGCGCCATGGTTCATCGTACACATGCAACATATTGTTCCCCTCCGCTTTAGCAGCCGGTCTCTTTTCTCTTGGTCATGGTCAGAGCGTGGAGGCATTGTATTTGCCGTCTGTTTTGCGCGCCTGGTTTGCTCGTTGGGTTCGGTTTTGTGACTTTGTGAAAGCACATGCTAGTTGGACACGGCAGTTCTGGTTCTGGTATCTAATATTTGGGTGCAGCGCGTCCGGTGGGGGTGTACTCTCTTACTTTGCCGCAGCACATTTGTGTATAGGATACCTTACTCGCAGATTTCATGGAACCACGGCGAAGCTGCGCTGTCTATCTGATGGAAGCCATTCTCTGAGACTTTCCGTTTCCCGAACACAGTGCAGTTGATATAGGTTCCGTGAAAGGCCAACCTGCTCGTCAGACCTAATCTCCGCGGTTTTAGCCCTGCCCGGTCGTAAGCTGCCAACGAAGCATACTCCCGTGATCATTGGTGTGGTTATAATCTATGATGGCCTTTGGAGCATAATGTTTGACAATCAACTTTTGTGCCACAGGTGCCCAAAGCAGAATATTTATCTACATAGGTAGTCCAAATTATACCCAGCCAGCGGCGCAGGGACGATAAGCTCAGCACAAAGCTCCAAGCCGCGGGCTGCAGGCGGGCGCTGGAGCTGGTCCCTGCTGAGCCAATAAGCTCCAAAGGTTCCACTGGAGCTCCTAAAGTTCCAAGGTTCCCAGGTTGGCGCTGGCAGCTAGGAGCTGCTACACCTACCCCAAACGTTGCGGGCAGGCAGAAGCTTGGAGCCTGGGAACTTTCATGGGTCGCGATCCAAGCGCGGCGCAATCGCGATTTCAGACCTGCAACATCACATCACGTCTCTGCCCGCTGCGTCTGACAATGCAAACCCATCACCGCCCAAAGCCCTAGCAACACCCCAATAATGCAACTTATCAAGCCTGCCTGGCTGAGCCATAGCGGTGAGGACACTCAGACACAGAGACGCGTGCATTCCTCCGGATACTGACGTTTTGGCTGGATGCGACAGGCGAACAGAAGGACTTCGAGGTTTACAGCTGCCATGTCTCCCCGGACGGCTCGAGGCTTGCAACGGCCGGCGGTGGTATGCGCGCGCCCAATTCCCCTCTCGCCCCTCCTTTCCGAGACAGAGTCCTGACCCTGCGCAGATGGCCATGTCCGAGTCTGGTCCACCGAGTCGATATACCAGTCCGACGACCTCTCCTACTCCAAACCGCGCCAGCTCTGCCACATGAGCCACCACCTTGGCACGATTCACTCCGTCCGCTTCTCCCCCAACGGTCGCTACCTTGCCTCGGGCGCCGACGACAAGATCATCTGCATATACCACCTCGACACCAGTCCTCCGTCACATGCGGCTACGTTTGGTATGCGCGTCCGGGACAACTCGTTCGTTTGGGGCTAGGAGCTTAGCTGATCTGGTGTGCGCCTGAACAGGTACCAATGAACCTCCACCAGTCGAGAACTGGAAGACATACAAGCGCCTCGTCGGCCATGACAACGACGTCCAGGACCTTGCCTGGTCCCACGACAACTCCCTGCTGGTCTCGGTGGGGTTGGATTCCAAGGTGGTGATATGGTCAGGGCACACGTTCGAGAAATTAAAGACCCTGGCCGTACACCAAAGCCACGTCAAGGGAATAACCTTCGACCCGGCCAACAAGTATTTCGCCACTGCGAGCGACGACCGAACAATCAAGATCTTCCGATTCACCTCCCCGGGACCAAACGCGACGCATCACGACATGATCAATAACTTCGTCTTGGAGACGACGATATCTTCGCCTTTTAAGAGCTCGCCCTTGACGACGTACTTCAGGAGATGCTCTTGGTCCCCGGATGGCAACCATATCGCCGCGGCGAACGCTGTGAATGGACCTGTTAGCTCGGTAGCGATCATTGAGCGCACGAGATGGGACAGTGAGATCAACCTGATCGGCCATGAGGGCCCGACTGAGGTTTGCATGTTCTCACCACGCTTGTTTTACACCCAACCACCGGCCGCGGATGGTTCAACAAATGGCCAAGGAGGTGGGAACTTGGTCACGGTCATTGCTTCGGCAGGGCAGGACCGGACTCTCAGCATATGGAACACGAATACGTCTCGGCCGCTGGTGATTATGCAGGACCTCGCCTCCAAGTCGATATCGGATCTTTCTTGGTCACCCGATGGTCAAAGTCTCTTCGCGTGCAGTTTGGATGGCAGCATTGTGTCTGTCAAGTTCGATACGGGCGAGCTCGGGTGGGTTGCAACGGCAGAGGAGAACGACAAGGCTCTTCAAAAGTATGGCGGTGGAAGGAAGGCGATGGGCATCGCAGAAGATGTGGATGGTCTGGCACTCGAGAATCACAGCAAAGCCGGCGAGCTGCGAGGCGCCGAGTCAAGAATGGGTGCCCTGATGGGTGACTTCCAGCCAGCCAACAGAGAGCCGCCACCTGCACCTAACGGTGTGTCTACGAATGGGAATTCTGACACAGCAGAAAACGCCAAGGAAAAGGAGAAGGAGAAGCCAGTGGAGGCTGACAAGACTGCAGAGAGAATCAAGGAGCTCAAATCGCGCGTCACCATAACGAAGGACGGCAAGAAGCGAGTTGCGCCACTATTGATATCTTCCTCAGGCACTGGCACATCTTCATTACCACAAACACAGCTTATCGGATCCAAGACAGTTGCAGCACGGGACGACACACCACAAACGATCATGGACCTGACGAAACCGTTTGATGGCTTACCACCGGGCGGCATCGCGGCCATGCTTCTGGGTAACAAGCGGAAAGCCGTCGCAGTCGAAGGGGAGGAAGATGAAGAACATGCCCCGAAACGATTAGCAGGCCCAACGCCCATCATGGCCAATGGCATTGACGGGGTAGAGCCTGCTACGTTGCAAACACCACACCACGGCGTCGTACCAACACCCGAGTTCCTGCGGCCTGCGGTGATGAGTCCCGCTCTCTCAGTTTCCCAGGTGAGACTCGCGATTCCAAAAGTACGTTCACATATACTGCGACCATTGGAAAGGGGAGTACTACAAGGCGAGACCAACCTGGAGGAAGCTGCCAAGGTCCCCGAGAATATAATATTCGAGGCCAAGAATCCGGCGCAGGCAAGAGACCCCTCGCACGTCACTGCCTCCAAGAGAGGCGCCGTATTGTGGCAGGACTTCCTGGCACGAGCAGTTCTGCTTGTGACTGGGACCAAGCACTTCTGGTCGGTAGCCTGCGAGGACGGAAGCGTGTACGCATGGACACCAGCGGGTCGCCGCCTGATCAATGCCATGATCCTGGAGTCACAGCCTGTCGTTCTTGAGAGTCGAAACCACTGGCTTCTATGCATCACAGCCTGCGGATTGGCGTATGTCTGGAACATCAAGAACATGAGTTCCCCGCACCCACCCGTGTCGCTGGGTCCCGTTCTCGAACTCGCCATCCACTCTCTACACCAACACGCTGCGACACCCGGGCCGGGGATCACATCCGCACACCTCAATTCAACAGGTCATATTGTCGTGACATTGACCAACGGCGATGGTTTCTACTACGCTCGCGAGATGTACACGTGGCAACGCCTTTCAGAGTCCTGGTTCGCGGTGGGCTCTCAATACTGGAACAGTAACGACAGCTCCGTCAGTGCCCTGCAGTCCACGGCCGTCGGGCCCGTGTCTAAGCCAAAAGAAAAGACGGACGAGGGCGTCAACGTGTCGTCGGGAATAATACCCTTCCTGGAGCGGCACACGACTACAGAGTTCCTACTCAAGGGCCGCGCGTACACGCTACAGCGACTCATCAAGACCTTGCTGTCGAAGGAGGGCTTCGAGGGCTTCGAGAGCAGCGTCAGCATCGCGCATCTCGAGAACCGCATCGCGGGTGCCCTGCAGCTTGGCGCGAGAGAGGAGTTCAGGCTGTATCTGTTCATGTACGCTAAGCGCATCGGGGCCGAGGCGCTCAGGGGCAAGGTGGAGGAGCTGCTGAACGGGCTGATGGGCGGGATCCTGAAGGACGAGGAGGATAAGGAGGAAGGCTTCGGCTGGTTTGCCAAAGGGGGACGAAATCTGCGGATGGGATCGCAAGGAGCTGCTGAAGGGGGTCGTCATGATTCTGGGTAAGTCTACTTTCCACTGCACTTTTCCCTCTACCGCCTGGCGCATGATGTCACCAATACATGATATGTTCAACTTGCTAACCTTGGTGCGTGAACAGGCAAGTTCAGGGAGTTACAGCGGCTCACCGTGCAGTACGCGCGTGTGCTCGAACTCACCGTTGACCAAGACGGGGATGACGACGCCATGGCTGTGGAGACTACATGATGGTCTGTGGTCTCTTTTCCTTCCCTCCCGTTGTGTCCCATGAGTAGCCGCTATCCCTCAGTCGTCTCCCCACGGGACGAGCGTTGCGCGGGTCTTGTTTCGGCGTTGTTGGTAGTGGTAGTGATCGTCATCATTAAGGTCAAAAGTCGGGGCGTGCCCGACCCAAAATGGTGGATATGGTGCACATGGATATTGAATCATTGTCATTGCCTTGAGTCTTGATGCCTGGGTGGCGGGTCGTCTTGTATGTATGCATTATAATGTTGTGTTGCCGAGCAGACCAGGCTGCCCTGCATGGGTTGGGATGTTGGAATAAGTAGCTTCTACGGGCAATGTAAGGTTCCAAATGCTGAAATTTATGTGACTCCATGGTTCTCAGTAAAATCTTCACCGTCGTCTTCGTAAACCTGATTCTATACATGTATGTACAGTAATTTTGAGAGGGTCCCCGTGATACCGTCCGCCAGTTTGGTGAAAGACAATGGTATATTATCTCTACGTCAGCATTTTAGAACATGGCCGCTTCTCAGACGAGTATCAATTTGACTTCAGTTTCAAATCCCATAAAACAGAGAATTGCTGCCCATGGCTTTGTTCCTAGTCTGTTCTAGAGTCAATGGTGGCTGTTGACAACCCACCTGGTGGTGACCTCAACGAGCTGCAACAGCAATCAACAAACGTACTATCTAGACATATGTGGTCTGATGCCTTTAGTGTATGCAAACAACTGGAATGTGCTTTCGAGTAGCTTTCGGCCCATTGGAAGTAATGATACTCCGTGCTGTTGATTGATGCGATGATGAGTCCACATATTCTTTAGCTCTTTGACAGGGGCAATACGTATCGAGGAGTGTTTGTAGGAGAATACGGCATATAATGACACATCGCACTATCTAGAAAGGTGCCTGCCCCGAACAGAGTAAATTCTCACCGGTGCTGCCTGAAATTTGGTAGCTCCAAAGGGTGCCTGATTTATTGTGCCAAATTCATACAGGCTCCGGCTGGCGTGGGAACCACAGTGAATTAGGAACCAAACATGATCTTTTGTGCCAATTTGTTTCGAAGAAACAAAACGCCAGACAGACCACTCAAGTCAAATCAAACTTCGTCGGTTTATGCCATTCTATACAAGGATCCTGCAGCCGCCCGGAGCTACTAGATTTCTAAGTCTCCCGATATTCGTCATCCTCTTACTTCGCAAGCATCCTCCCAACCAACATGTCCCAAATCATGATGACGACAGACGGCCCAACCGAAGACCGTTCAGAAATTACTAGCGATTCGTTTCCTTCCCAGGCATCAATCGAGACCAAGACAGCGCTCGCCATTACATACCTTAAAGATCACTCAGACCCCTTCATCTCCGCTCAGTCTCCTACCTGGGCCACAGACACTGCAGCCTACAACCTCCGGCTACCGGCGACACCAGCTCTTCTGGTCTATGCTCGAACAGTCAAGCATGTCCAGGATGCGGTTGAGTGTGGCATGGCAGTTGCCCTGAAGGTCAGTGCCCGCAGCGGTGGTCATTCATACACGTCTCTGGGACTCGGAGGAGAAAACGGCCACCTGGTCGTGGACCTGACCCACATGAACAGTATTTCTGTCGATGCAAACAACCACGTCGCCACCATCGGGGCCGGCGCCCGTCTCGGAGACGTAGCCCGTGAGCTCTTTGACAACGGCGGGCGGGCCATCAGTCATGGGAGCTGCCCGGCTGTCGGCCTGTCCGGCCATATCTTGCACGGTGGCTACGGATGGGCGTCGCATAGCCACGGGCTGACCCTCGACTGGATGGTCGGTGCCGACGTTGTGCTCGCGAACGGAACGCACGTCCACTGCTCCCAGAGGGAGAACTCGGATCTGTTCTGGGCGCTCCGGGGTGCCGGCTCCAACTTCGGAATCGTCACTTCGTACGAGCTTGCGACCTTTGCGGCGCCCGCTGTTTCGGTTCCGTTCAGAGTGTCGCTGGATTGGGGTACTGAACGTCAGAAGATGGACGGGGTCACGGCTTTGGTCGAGTTTGCTCGGGACATGCCTGCTGATCTGAACATGCGATGTAAGTGGTGTCACAATATTTCCCTGTGGTTTGTCTGGTATTTTCTCAACTACAAGGTTTCCTGTCACAGCTACCATTCCTGATGAACAATATGACTGACTACGGGCTATTCAAGTGATGATACACGATGTGGGAGACCATGGCCTGGACGGCGTGTACTACGGGAACACGAGTAATTTATCCAGAATCTTGAGCCCATTGCTCGAAAAACTGGGAGGTACTTTGAAGATGCACCCAGGCACGTGGGTCCAAGGTCTGGAGCACTACGCCGAGAGAAATTGTTTGACTCCCAGCACCAATGAGCACGGCAGCTTCTATGCCACAAGTCTCACGCTGAAGGACCTCAGTGGCGATTCACTGGCCAGTTTCGTCCGTTATTGGCACAGGGATGCCGTTGCCCTCAGCACAAGCGGCTGGTTCGTGCAACTGGACATACACGGCGGCGTCAACTCTGCAGTATCAGCTGTCCCAAACTCGGCCACGGCTTACGCGCATCGCGACAAGACTTTTCTCATCCAGTTTTATCATTTCGCTGACAACGACGATGCGTATTACCCAACAAGCGGCATTGACATCCTCCAGAACTGGATTAAGGCCACAACTGCAACACTACAGGAGGGTGACTATGGAATGTACATCAACTACAGTGACTCGCAGCTGGACCGCGGCACAGCACAGACCCTGTATTGGGCAGACAATCTGGAACGCTTGAGGCTTATAAAGAAGATGTACGACCCAGAAGAGCTGTTTTACCACCCTCAGTCGATCGAGCCCGCAGAATCAAGGTGAGCTCTAGGGGAAGTCGGAACGGAAGGGTCAAGCCACAACATCGCTGGGCCCAGGCCCAAGGGATGCTGGCGGCAAGGGACGGCATGTAACAAATTTTAAAAGACGTCCACTTACGAAATGAAATATTGTCCACGTGATACGAACGTGCCTGGAATGTGTGATCTGGCTACGACGTTCTACTTTCCAAGGGCTCGATTGTCGTAGGCTGATGCCAACCGCGGAATATGTCCGCACTATAATTGGGCCTTGGTAATGCCGTGATGAATTTCACTTTCACGACTCTTCAAGTTTTGACCATCACTTTCTGCTTCACTTTGAACTCAAGACTGGCTTCTCAGTGCTCCAATGGGTGCCTATATTAGTGAGGCGGAGTGTAATGCACGCAACCACATTGGTAACTAGATTGTTGACGCGGGGCCAGTCCCATGAACTCAGAGTCGGAAATGGTGGCGTCGTGTATTTTCACAACCACACCCAGCTGCATTGAGACATGGCGAATTTGTCGCGGTGATATCAACACTTTTCTCATTCCATTCAGACGCGCTGGGGACCTTGGTGGCAACTACATACACATTGTGCTTAAAACCATGGAGACCGCTGTCTACAGGTGTTCGTCCCCTGTCATCTGCAAAATTCTATCATCTGACTGTCTTTCGTTCCACAATCGTTACTGAATTCTATAGTCACTCGTTGAAACAACTTCGGAGGCAGCATGGCCTTCTGGTTACTGCTATCCCTCTGGTGCCTGCTCGTCACGGGCAGGCACAGAGGCGCTGAACTCGCTACTAGAGACAACTCGGAGCGGGCCATCCAGGAATATTTCGTGGACTCCGCTGAACCATCTTACTGCTTTGAATTCACCTACGAGTATTTGGTGCTTGTGGGGGCACCAACTAACTACTGGCCTCTGCCTCCATATGGGTTTGTACATTCATTCTCAGGAAGATTATAGCGAACCACAAGCTCACCATTCTGACAGACAGCCTACCGGTCTCCCAGGTCCAGAGCCTACATTGGGTCCTGGACCAGGCTCTGGGACAGACTTACCACCAGGTGGTGCTTCCAACTTGCCTGGTGGTGGCGGCGGCGGCGGCGGTGGTGGTGGAGGCATCACCACGGGGAGGCAAGGTACCGCAACTCTTCCAGGCCAGAGCACAAGGTCAGGAGGCCAGGGTACAGGCACAGCAGGCCAGGGCACGGGCACGGGCGCATCAAGCCAGGGCACAGGAACAGCAGGCCAAGGCAACTTCACAACATTCCCCACGGCTACGAGTTCTGGCTCGATCATTGGTCCCACACCAGCGCCTGCCCTCGATATAACCTCACCGGCCGGTAGAAGCTTCATTATCAACCTCAGAATGTACCTGAGGGCCCCTACCGACACTTTTCTGTCCGCAACAACAGACCCACAGGTTTCCTGGGCAGTTCTCTCAGGCTCGGACTTGTCCATCAACGCTCCCGATGTTCTCTCACAGTTTACCCTTATAATCCGGATGCGTGCCGCGAACGCCCAAGGGGCACCATACGAGGTCGTACTCAATCTAAGGATAGAGCCAGTCGTCCGAGTGCCTGTGACAGCCGACAACGACTTCTCGATCGACCTGAGCAAATACCTGGAAAGCTCAGCGGACGCAGCGACCATCGCCACTGAGCCAAATTCGACGTGGTTGGGATACACCCGCCCGACTCAGCGCATTGCTGGGCGCGTGCCTGCTGGGTATAAAGAACCAAGGACGCTCATCACTGTCAATGTTAATTCCCAGAAAGGAGGAACCTACGTTCGATACTTCGGCCTTGTCATTGCGCCTGTGCCAGTGGTTCCATTGGTTTTGGGTGGCCAGTTATCGTTGCAATTGGTACCTTACCTTCTTGCGTCCGAGGACGTCGTCGCTTCTGTAAAGACCAATCCAAATTCTACTTGGGTCAACTTCAACCCAGGCCCGAAGACCTTGTCTGGCACGGTACCACGGACTCTGGATAACAGCTCGGTCATAGTCACAGCTCTCGCTACCTCATTCACCCAAGGCCTTGATTATTCCTTCCAGCTCGAGCTTTATATCCAGGACAGCAGCAAGCCCGACACCGGCGTGCTGGTGCCAGTCGTGGCATCGAACAACTTTACGATCATCACGTCCAAGTACTTCCCCGCATCCGTTCGACTGTCAGCCATCACCACCGTTCCCCAGGTAAGCTGGATCAGCTTCGACCCCGCCAAAAGCACTGTCGGTGGAAAAGTGCCAGACCTGGTGGCCGGAACGGTCGTGAGACTCACGGTCAATGCTTCATCTGCCGCCACACCAGGAAGTGAGGCTGCCACTTACTCCAAGATCTTCAACCTGGAGGTACAGAGCAACGAGGTTCTGAAATTCAACGTCACGCTGGGAGCCCAGTTCGGAATTGATATTGGGGCGGTTCTGTTGAGCCCGCCAGGTGACTACCTCACGTCCATCTCAACACTACCTGTCTCGAACTGGGTCTCCCTTGGGACCAACGGCAAGACCATTGGCGGCATTGTTCCGCTCACCCTTCCAGCTGGCACCAGTGTTGCTGTCGCCGGTACTGCGTTCAACCCCAGCCTGGACTCTTCCTACAACAAGGACTTCAGTCTCGAAATCGGGGCTGGTAAAGACATAAAAGTGCCTGTCGTCATTGGGGGCGACTTCCAGATCAATCTTACGGATTATCTGCGAAGCGATGACGATACTGTGAAGTTCACTACCAGCCCGCCTGTCGACTGGGTGAAGCTCAGCCCTACTCCCCCGCCGGCCTTGATCGGTACAGTGCCTGCTGGGTATGACGGGAACGAACTCAACATAACCATCCTTGCCACGTCTCGGTCGAATGGCTTCACGTACACGATCCTGGCGAAGATCGAGATGTTCACCAACGCGGCCAAGGTTGAGATCTTCCAAGCAGATATACTGACAATCGATTTGAGACCTCTGCTCAAGACCCCCGAGGATCTGGTCGAGTCCATCGAGAAATTCCCAGCAGCCGACTGGCTCGTTCTCAATGCCGAAAACAGGTCCGTCTCTGGCGAGGTTCCTCTGAGCCAACCAGCTGGATCATCTGTGAACATCACGGTCAATGGTCTTTCCCTCCAGGAGCCTTCAGCCAGTATCGGACGCCTGCGAGGGGCCATGAGGGCCATCATGCCCCGGCAGCTGCGCTTGTATTTCCCCTACTCGGTGCTTGTCAGCGTCAAGATTTTCGATCGTCCCGTGATGAGCTCCTCTACCACCCAGTCAGCCACCGTGTTGTCGAGCGAGCCACCGAGATCGACAGCTCCCCAGCCGACTGGGCCAAGTGGCGTGTCATCGGGACCAAACCAGTCAACAATGAGTGGTGAAGGGGGCAGCAGCGACAGCTCTGTACCCCCAGCGACCCAGCCTTCTGACGCGGCGACCTTCTCCAGCGATGGAGAGAGCGGCTCGCCCAGCACGCCTGTCTTCCCTCCGAGTAGTGGAGGTGAAGGCCCGACGTCCTCCAACGACGGTGGCCAGGAGCCCACGAGTACAGAGCCAACTCCAAACCCTTCCGAGTCGAGCGCCTCGCCATCGGAGACCGGAGGTCCTTCGTCGGACAGCGGGTCACAGGAGCCGACAAGCAGTGTGTCTGGTTTTATACCAGACCCAAGCTCTCAGCCCCCGAGCCCAGGCCCGAGCTCAGCAGGCCCTCCGCAATCGTCGCCGCCCTCGTCGTCGTCTTTCGTGCCCAGCCAATCTGTCGTCGGGCCATCGTTCAGCTCCTCCCTCCCACCAGGGCAGTCAACAAGCTCGCGCGGTGTCTCGTCCCAGTCGGGCACATCGCCCGTGGTCATCCCACCGTCATCAGGAGGGCAGAGCCCAACGTCTGCAGGACAGAGCTCATCGCTAGCAGCAACCACCCGGGCGGGCTCTTCGATCTCAGTCCCTTCGGTTTCTTCACCGATTATCCAAAGCTCCACAAACGTCGTCCTGCCGACATCAGGAGCCACGTCATCTGCTGGTGTTCAGTCCAGCCCTGGCGGCCAGTCTCTGTCGAGCGCTCCTGGAACATCCTCCCGAGGTGCCAGCACTTCGGTCGCGGGCTCTCAATCACCCAGCACCCAGGGAACCTCGCCAGCATCGAGTGCACCAAGCCAGTCGAGTCCATCCAGCCAGTCGAGTTCGCCCGGCCAGTCAGTCAGCCCGTCTCAAGGAACTCCATCAGCAAGCCCATCCCAGGGAACCCCGCCAGCATCGAGTTCGACCAGCCAGTCTGTCAGCCCGTCCACTCAATCAGTTAGCGCTTCGGAGGCAACTCCCCCGGCACCAAGCCCATCCAGCCAGTCGGTTAGCCCATCTCAGGAAACACCCTCAACATCAAGCGCATCCAGCCAGTCAGTCAGCACTTCGCAGGGCCCCCAGAGCCAGTCAAGCAGTGTTAGCAACATCCCATCAACGGGAGTGGCTACCTCCCAGTCTTCAAGCGGTGGTCCGGTGCTGCCAACTTCTGTGTCTACGAGTGCTCAGCAGACATCGTCACTTGCGTCTAGTGTATCAACGAGTGCTCAACAGACATCGTCGCTCGCGTCCACCGTATCCACGACTTCTCAGCAGACCCCATCGCTCGTGTCTACCGTATCGACGAGTGGTCTGCTGGGATCGTCCTCTTCTGCGCTGTCCTCGTCTGTGCCGACCACGTCTGTGCCGACCACTTCCGTGCCCTCGCTCGTACCGTCCTCGTCAGTGTCTACGTCGCTGGTGTCAACATCTTCCGGGGCTGCCACCACCAGCAGCAGTGTGTCTCCGACAAGCTCGGTCAGCACGGGGACACCGACACCCGCCAGCTCCACCCCATCATTGTCGACATCGTCCCGAGCTCCAACTAGCAGCAGCAGCAGCGTGTCTCCTACCAGCAGTATTAGTGCGTCTCCCACCAGCAGCATTAGTACATCTCCTACCAGCAGCATCAGTACATCCCCCAGCACCACCAGCATTAGTGTGTCTCCGACCACCAGCATCAGTGTGTCTCCAACCACCAGCAGTGCGTCTCTCAGCAGCAGTAGCAGTGCTTCCCTCAGCAGCAGCAGCAGCAGTGCTTCCCTGAGCAGCAGTAGCAGTGCCTCCCTGAGCAGCAGTAGCAGTGCCTCCCTGAGCAGTACTAGCAGTGCTTCCCTGAGCAGCAGCAGCAGTGCGTCTCTCACGACTTCTGGGGTCTCAAGTACGTCAAGCCTTTCCACCAGTCTGTCATCAAGTGAGTCCCATACCAGCTCGGAGTCCGTTTCTTCCTCAAGCCATTCGTCTACCGCCGGAGCCACCTCTTCCACGAGCCTGTCGTCCAGCGAGACGTCTAGTGCTTCTTCCAGTGAGGTTACGACTACCTCACATGAAACTTCATCTACAAGCGAGATTGCTTCATCGTCGACGGAGTCGAGCACCTCGCACGAGACTACGTCTACAAGTGATCACTCTTCATCGACGGAGTCCAGTACGTCGCAAGAGACTACGTCGACAAGTGATCACTCGTCGTCAACGGAGTCCAGTACGTCGCAAGAGACCACCTCTACAAGTGCTTCGTCGACGGAGTCCAGTACGTCGCAAGAGACTACGTCGACAAGTGATCACTCGTCGTCAACGGAGTCCAGTACGTCACAGGAGACCACCTCTACAAGTGCTTCTTCGACGGAGTCCAGTACGTCGCAAGAGACTACCTCTACAAGTGCTTCGTCGACGGAGTCCAGTACATCGCACGAGACCACGTCTACAAGTGCTTCTTCGACGGAGTCTAGTACGTCGCAAGAGACTACGTCTACAAGTGATCACTCCTCGTCGACGTCGGTGTCGTCCTCTGAAACAGGTCCGTCTTCTATAACCCAAGCAATTCCGAAGTCAAGCTCAGGTTCTATTTTCCCCAGCCCAAACGTCGTCCTCGTCCTCGTTCTCTACCTTCGACTCCAGCACGCTGGCGTCATCCGAGAGCCCCACTACATCATCCACAGATCACTCGAGCACCATATACACAAGCCCAAGTTCAGAGCAGACATCACAAACCTCCATGTCCTTGTCAACCGATTCTACCACAAGCCCCCTATCACAAACAACAGAAGCACTGTCTTCCTCAGAAGACTCAAGCTCAGAGTCAAGCACTCTAAGCCAGACGTCTGAAACATCCATATCTATAACTACAAGCTCCAAAGAGCATACATCTGAAGCCTCCGTATCCTCGTCCACAGAATCCACCACAATCCCATCACCTCAAACAACAGAAGCATTACCCTCGTCTACAGGTTCCAGCACAAGTCCCCTTTCCCAAACAACCGAGGCACTATCTTCTTCATACACAAGCCCAGACTCGAGCACCGCCGACCAAACTTCTCAGACGTCTCCCTCTACCACAAGCTCCCTTACCCAGGCATCATCGTCATCAAGCCTCAGCTCATCATCCGAGGCCCAAACAAGCTCCTCTTCGTACCCATCCTCTACCACAAGTTTCGTGGAAGAAACCACCACTTCGGGCCCCTCAAGCTCTGAATCCTCAACGTTGAGCAGTAGTAGTTCTTCTGTTTCCACAACGTATACCAGCAGCAGCTCTTTTGAGTCCACATCGCCAAGTAGCAGCAGTTCGTCTGAGCCCGCAACGTCAAGCAGCAGTAGCTCTTCTGCCTCGTTGTCATCCAGTAGCAGCAGTAGTAGCAGCTCATCTTCCACTGCCGAGCCAACCACCCCTGCTAGCTCTTCCAGCTCCTCTAGTTCTTCTAGTCCTTCAAGCTCTTCTACGTCGTCGTCATCAAGCTCATTAAAATCTACTACAGCGTCAACCACCGAATCTACAAGCGCATCTACGTCAAGCTCCTCTAGTTCTTCCAGCTCCTCTACGTCGAGCTCCACTAGTTCTTCCAGCTCCTCTTCGTCGACGTAAGTCGGGCACTCCTTGAGAACCGGAGACCTTCCCAGTTTCACTAATTTACGGAAACAGCGCTTCTCCTACTCCCACCCCGTTGCCAAAGTTCGCCTGCGGTCCAGAAGCTTTCGAAGTGCAGAGCAACACACTTTACAAGTTCAACCTCGTTGCCAACGCAGTTACCACCTCGGTCAAGAACCCTGTTTTCACTGACGCCCCCAACGCAATGGCTTACCACTCCGGGGACGACTATCTGTATGCCGTGGCGCAGAAATCCAATGCGAACGGACAAGTCATTCGTATCGGCTCCGATTATGTGTCCCGGGCAATTGGTGTGACCGTCGCGAACACAACATCCATAACCAGTGGCACCATTGACCCCGATGGTTACTACTGGGTTTCGTGGAACAACTCCAACTGGTACGCAAAGCTCGACTTGAGAACCAGTCAAGCTGGTACTTCGAACTACGGCGCAACGGTCCTTACTGGCTCCACGAACATTCTGACTACCCCTAATAATAATGGCCAAGCAAAACATTGGATTATCAATGACTGGGCAGCTATGGGACCTACCACTGGTTCCCCCAATCGCAATGGCAAGCTCTACACCATCGCGGGGCAAAGCGGCGTAGGAGGCGCCACAGGCTACAAGTCATATCTTCTTACTATGACCACAGCGGACCCCCCCGTGTGGGCCATAGTTCAAGATTATACTGAGAACGGAGGCACGGGTGGTAAAGCAGATTGGGGCGCTATATATCCGACCAGTGACGGCTACCTATATGCCACGGAGAACACTGTTGGTCGGGTCTACAGGTTCAACCTCAACACTCCAGCCACAGCGCCGGAGTTTGTCTTCCAAGGGCCTGCTGGAACGACCAATGATGGCGCCAGATGCATTACCGCCAATATTACCTAGGGATCCAACCAATCTAGATAAATGATGCGGGATCCAAACACTTCATCAGTCTGGGGAAGCAATGCCTCGGGTTTCGCCCCAGCTCGCCACGCCACCTGATGGGTTGTTCTCTCGGATTCAGCAGGGCAATCGCCACAGGGTGGAGTACGAGTTGTGATGATTTGACGCACAAGTATCTTGATTAAACTTTTTGCCTGCGAGTCCGGGGTTCTTTGCGTTGGAAGAGTAATATTTTTTGGTTTGAATTGATGATTCATGTAAACATAAGTAATGAAGTGGATTTGTTGACGTGGGATATTGGTAATACGAGGATAAAGCCCGCCACAAATGAGTTGTGCTTTCTGAGAATAACTGGGTGAATGATGCTAAGAGCTCGCTATGTGACACCGTCGACGTCAACCGGTCGCGGCTGCTATTTATTCTGCTCAGCCCCTCTTCCCACACAGCCCAAGCCACCTTCCGAGCCTGCTGCCACGCACCTACGCAACCAATCAACTAAGCCTTCTGACCTCACCGAGCCGCCCCGGAGTACAAATTCGACGTCGAGTAGCGATCTGGAAGACCCGGTGCGGCAGGCATGTCGGGCACATTATAAGCACTCGTCCTCTCCGCCACGGCCCCTGGCCTCTGGATGTGCACCCATCGGCCCACGGGGTGCTTCAGCCCGAGCTGGGCAGCGGACTCACTGCCGAGCGACTGCACGAGCGCGTCATTATCAGCTTCCTGGCTCTCTTCATACGGTGTGATGAACGTGCCTGCACCCGCAGCGACGCCCCCGGGGCCGCTCGGGAAGTCGGGCCTCATTTTTTCCATGGGAGGCTGACCTGGATAATAGGAAACCCTTGAACCATCGCCTTCGTTCTCAACCCGGTAGGCGATCCGCATGAGTTCTGCCATGGCGGCCGTCTCGGCCCTGGAGAGGTTTGGGTTGGTCCTTGGGGGTGGCTCGAAGTCGAATGACTCCGTTGTGGCCCTTGGTTTTCCTCCGCCCTTGATACGCTTATTGATGAGGAAGAAGACAGCGGCCAGTATGGCGATGCCGACTGTAATGAATGTTAGTTGATTGTATTGGCATGTATGTTTCGATATATTGTGTGGATAGCTTCTTTAAAGCTCACAAGAGCCATTCTTTTAAATTTTATATTTATAAAAAAAGGTTTTTTAATTATATTTTTTATATAATAAATAATAATTTAAAGCATTTATTATTAATATTAATATTTAAAATTACTTTTTATATATAAAATTTTTTTTAATTTTAAATTATTTACTTAATAAATAAAGAAATAAAGAAATAATTTAATAAAATATTAAAATTAAAATTTTAATTTATATAAAATATATATAAAATATAAAAAAAATAAAAGAAATATATAATATAATAAATAATAAAATACATATTAAAATATATAATATTATAAATAATAAGATATATAAGAAAATATTAATATAAATATAAATATCTTTTTTTATTAATTTTTATATTTTTTATATTTTTTTACTTTATTATTTTATTTCTTTTCTTTAATTTCTTTTTTAATTTTTATATTTATTTTTAAAAATTAAAAAATATTAATTTTAATTAATAATAAATAATTTTACTTATATATATTTATATATTTAACTTTAATTTTAATTTTAATAAAATAAGTTAAATATAATTATAATTATTATTAATATAATTTATTATTTAATTAAAGAAATTACTTAAATAAATATTTTTAATTAATTTATTAACTTTTATTAACTTTAATATTTATTTAATATAAAATATTTAATAATTATTAATATTAATTAATATTAATTACTTTTAAATGCTTATTTTAAATTAATTATATTAATTAAAAGTTATTAATAATATTATATTATAACTTAAAATAATGAAGTTATAATAAGAAAATTAACTTTTAATAATAATTATATCCTTATTTCTTTATATTATTTATTTATTAATATTTTTTAAAAAGATTTAATTTAATAAAAATTAAAACTTATTATATTTATTTATTTTAACTTTTTAAATAATTAAATAATTTAAAATAAATTAAAAAAAGATTATAAATATATAAAAAGCTATATAAATCTTTTTAAATTTTTAAAATATATTATTAAATAAAGAAATTAATTAATTTTATTATAAAAAGATATATATTAATAATTATAAATTTAAATTAATTAAAAAATAAATCCTTATTTAATAAATTATTAATTAAAATATATAAAGTTTTTAATATAAAGTTTTAATATAAAAATATAATTAATATTATATTATTATTATATAATAATAAGCTTATTAATAAATATTAAATTTTATTAATTTAGCTTCTATATAGTTAGTAATAGATAAATAGAGTATATAATTAATTTGGCTATAATGTAAAGGGTAGGTTGCAGCAAAGCTACAGCCTTTCCCCGTTTAGCTATAAGCTAGCTATAATAATTTATACATAAGGCATATAACTATTAGCTAGCAGCTAGCTAATATTAACTAGCAGCTACTATTAATAAGATTAATTTAAACTTTGCATCTTTAAATTTATGCATTATTTACAATATACTTATTACATAAGCATGCTATACATAATGCCTATATATATTATTCCCATATTAACAATCTTTTATATATATATATATAAATACTTCAAAATCATGCTTTTCTTTTAAATCATTACTTAGTTAATTAAATCGCTTAATTAACATAAATATCTTATCCTTTAAGAGGCTATAAGGGGCTAAATACCCTATAGCCATTACTTTAATGAATTAAGTGCAAATATTTAAGTGTAAGTATATTTAAACATTTTAAATACTTAAATCGCTTAATTAAATTATTTAATTATTAATATTTTAAAACTTTAAAGTATTTAAATGCCATACTTTAATTAATTAATTATCACTTTAGCAATTTCTTTTTTTTTATTATTAAGTTAGCTAAAATATTTAAAAGATAAATTAAGCCTAAGTTAATAATAGCTATTGCTATTATATCTTTTAATAAGGAAAAGGTTATTATTATTATGGAAAAGGCTATTATTATAAAGCTTATATTAAGGGCATTGCCGGCTAAGAAAAAGGTTATAATTAATAAAAAGGAAAAGAAAGTTATTTTATAATAATTAGCTTTATCTTAATTAACTTAGGCTTCTTTTCCTTAAAAAGCTTTTATTAATATTTATATGCTTTTAATTATAAGTAAAAAGTTATTGCTATAAATTCCTCTTAAGGCCATTTAAGCATTTTTAATTAATTATCTTTATTATTAATTAATAAAGCAATTAATACCTTAACCATTAATATATAATTACATTTTATATAAATTTTATAATAGCAAAGCATTTATTTAAGCTTATAAAGAAGCCATTAATTAATCCTTTAAAAGCATTCTTTTATTTATTTATTAAACTTATATTAAAAATCTTTAAAAAAATCTTAATCATAAGCTAAGTATTTCTTATAACTATTTAATATATTAATAACCTTCTCTTTATTAAAGAAAGAAACTATTATTAATGCAGAAATTATTACCATTAAGTAAATCTTATAATAATTAATTATAAGGTAAAAGAAAGGAAAAGAACATTTTTATGCTGCGCTTATAAATTAATAATTAGCTTTTAAACTATTTACCTATAAATAATAATACTTAAATATTATTATTACTTAGCAAACTAACTTTTATTAGTTTTAAAGCAATTTATGCTTAAGGGTTTATTAAAGAGTATTAATAAAAAAGTTATTAAAAAAAAAGAAGGTTATGCTTATTAATTAAATATTAATTATTATTAAAAGGTAAATATCTTAAAGGTTTAATTAAGTTATTTATATAGTTAAATTAATAATAAATCTTAATTAATCTCCTTAATGGTTTTAAGTTAATTAAATAAATAAAATAATTATATTAATTACTTATTTTTGCTAATTAATACTTTAAAATATTTAATTAAGCATGCTAATTAAATATATAAATTGCTTAAAAAAAACATTATTTATTAATATTTTAAAGTTTTGGTTTTATTAAGTATAAAGTTATAACTATATCTGTATTTATTATATCTATATCTGTATTTAAATATAAATACTATATCTATATTTATATTTAAATATAGATATTGTATTTATATTTATATTTATATTTGTATTTTTTTTATATCTATATTTATATTTATATTTAGCTTTTTTATATATTTATATTTAAATATAAATATAAATATAGATATAAATATTAATATAGTATTTATATTTATATTTATATTTATATTTATATTTAAATATAGAATTTTATATTTATATTTAGGATTTTTTTTATATTTATATTTATATTTATATTTATATTTAGGATTTTTTTATATTTATATTTATATTTATATTTATATCTTATATTTAAATATAAATTTATAACTTTAATTAAGTACTTAAGGGGTTTTTAAAGAATAATAAGCCTTAAGGGTATTATATTAATGCCTTAAGAGCGTTAATTATAAATAAAGGCTTTCTTTAAGAATGCTAAGCAAGGGCTTCTTAAGGGTGCTAAGTAAGGGCTTCTTAAAGGTGCTAAGCAAAGGCTTCTTAAGGGTGCTAAGCAAAGGCTTTTTATAGTAATTATAAGCAAGGGCGTTAATAATTAAAAATGCCTTATAAAGGGCTTTTAAGAGTATTATAAAAAGGGCTAAAAATATAAGGATAATATAATTAAAAATTAAGCATTTACTATAAATTAATTAATCTTACTTAAAAGTTAAGCATTTATTATAAATTAAATAAAATTAAATAAAGCTTATTGCTAATTTATTTAATAATTAAGAGTATTATAAAAATACTTTTAATAATTAAAAAAGGTTGTAATTACTTAAGGGTATATTAAAGAAGGCTTTTTAATTAAGGCTTTTTATAATTATCATTATTATTGCTAATAATTTATATTAATAAATATAATTAAAGATTAAATATTATTATTATAAACTAGTTTTTAATGCTTAATTAAGCTTTTTAGCGGCTTATAATATTATTATTAATATAAAGTCCTTTAATAAAATCATTATAAGCAAATAAGCTTTTAAGAAATAAGATTTATTTTTTTAATATTTAACTATTTATACTTACTAAGTAAGCATTAATTAATATTAATTTAGCTTTTATATAATTAATAATAAATAAATAAAGTATATAATTAATTTAGCTATAATATAAAGAGTAAATTATAGCAAAACTATAGCCTTCCTTTATTTAGCTATAAGCTAATTATAATAATTTATATATAAGGCATATAACTATTAGCTAGTAGCTAGCTAATACCGGCTAGCAATTACTATTAATAAAATTAATCTAAACCTTATACCTTTAAATTTATGCATTACCTATAACGCACTTACTGCATAAGCACACTATATATAATGCTTATATATATTATTTCCATAAATTTATTAATTTATAAATATATAATTAAGTTTAAAAAGATTATTTAATTAATTTTATAATTATTAAAAAGCTTTTTATAAAACTTTAAAAAGTAATAAAAATTAATTTAAATTATATTATAATATAATAATTAAATTTAAAGTTTTAAAAAATAATTTAAATTATTTTAATAAATTTAATTTTATAAGAAGTTTTTTAATTATATTAATAATAATTTTATATATTAATAAATATAAAATAATTAAATTAATATATATTATAAATAAAAAGTAAATAATAATTATTAAATATAATAATATTAAGAATTAATAAATTTTAATATTTATAATTATTTAAAAAGCTTATTATTTTATAATTTAAGTTATAAAGTTAATTTATTTAAAGAATTAAATAATTAAGCTTATTTTAAATAAATAATTAATTAATAAAATTAATTTAAAATAAATATTATTATTATTATTAATATATTATTAAAGTTATTATATTTTATTTAATTATTAAATATTATATTATATTAACTTTTAATATATATATATAATAATAAAATTAAATGTTTTATTTAAGCTTTAATTAATTATATTATTAAATTTAAATTCTTTTTTATATTTAAAAAAGCTTATAATAAAATTTGTATAATAAAGAATATTAAACTTAATATTTATTTATAAACTTTATTACTTTTTATTTTTATTTTCCCTTAAAATTAAGAATTAAAATTATTTAAGATTTAATAAATTATATAATAATTTAATTTTATTAAAAATAAAGATTTTAAATATAAAGAAAAAAATTTAATTTAATTATTTAAATTATTAATTAATTATTAAAATATTTATAAATAATAATATATAAAATTATAATTTTAAAACTTAAATTTATATATTTAAATATATTAATATAATATTTATTAAATATTAAAGGATTTAAAAAAGTTAATTATAATTTAAAAAAGAATTTAATATTATAAAACTTTAAATAATAATTAAAAGAAAATAAAAATAAAATAATTAATTAATAAAGTAAAATATAAATAAAAGAATTACTTTATAATAAATTAATTAAATAATAATATAATAATTATAATAAAATTAAGTAAAATATATAATTATATAAAATAAATATAAAGAAATATAATTAATTAAATTTTAAATAAATTATAGTTTTTTTAATCTTATTAATATTAATTAATATTAAATATATATTTTTTATTAAAAGTTATTTATTTTAAATTAATATTATATTTATATTAATTACTTTAAATTAAAATAATTAAATATAAATAAATAATTTAAAGTAATAAAAATTAATAAATATAAATTCTTTTTAATTTTTATACCTTAAATAAATAATATTAATTAAAATTAAAATTAATAAATATATTAAAAGTATTTATTTAAATAATAAATTATATTATAATGATAATTTAAATAAGCCTTAAATAATGCTTATAAATTAAGCTCTTTATTTTAAAATATAAATTTAAAAAATAAAATAAAAGCTATATAATATTAATTATTAATTTTAAAATAAATAAATAAAATAAATAAATATTTTAAAGATTTTTAAAATTAATAAATACTTTTAAAGAAAATTAAAGTTATTTATTATAATTTTAAAAAGATTTTTAATTATATTATAAGCTTTATTAATATTTTAATAAATATTATTAACATATTTAATATAAATTTAAATTAATTAATATAAATTTATATAAAATATATTTAATAAATAATAAATTAAAAGTTAATAAAAATAAAAAACTTATTTAAAATTTTAAGCTTATTTTTTAAATTATTAAATTAATTAAAAAATTAATTAATTATTTAATTATTTTATTAAAATATAATTATTATTTAAATAAAAATAAAATTTTTATATTTTATATTAAATATAAGTTATTTTTAATATAATTAATATAATTTATTATTAAGTAATAAATATTATTAAGTAATAAATCTTTTTAACTTTATTTAACTTTTATTAATTATAATATTATATTAAGATAAATAAATTAATAAAAAGTTAGCATTAATTAATATTAATTATATTTAATTCTTTATTTTTAATTAATTTTATTAATTTAAAAGCATTAATATAAGTATAATATTAATTT